ATGAGAGTTAGATCCAACTTGTCCCATCGAGTAGATGAGTTATGGAACGTCATAAAGAGAGAAGTAGCCACACTCATTTGACTCTACTCAGCTAATGCTGTAGTGCGTGTGGAATCATGTCTACCAACCACATGCACTGGTTTAAAAAACCGGCGCTGCTTTTGAAAGGATGTGTAATCTTACCGTGATTGGCAATTTAGCTTTTGTTGTGTCTAACGCAACGGTAGCTCCGGTTTTCAGTGACAGTATTCCTCCGAGCTCCCAGTTCGATAAGTTTGCCCTTCTTTACGTGTAATTCTGTTCATACTAGGATAACGAGGCTCTACCTCTGTCCCAGGTTTTTTTGGATCTGATAACGTTTAGGTTACTGCTCCTTTTCAAGCTTCTCCGGAGTTTAAACCTTCATTGTTTTAAAAATATATGCCCTCTTTATACTTTCACTGAAAATAATGGCCAAACAGATGTATAAGAGGCAGGGCTGTCGTAAACCTGTTCAGGCGGGTACGCATTGTGACACGTGCGACGGATGGTTCCATAGCGCCCGCACTAACCTAACGCAAACTGAGTAAGCCTGGCAGCAAGCAGCATCGCCGCTTGTGTGGATCTGCACTAAACGATGTTCTTGAAAACATCATCGGCATGTTATCGGAATTAAAAAACAGGCTGAAAGTAGATCATAAACAGGAGAAGCTGGAGAACTCAAAAGCAGTGCCTAAGTTAGAAATTCGTCTGGCGGAAAAAGCACTCAAGTCACTCGAGAACAGCAAGGGTCTGGCTTGACTGAGGACATGATGCACCTCAGCAGTGCAATAGCATCAACTGTCCTACAGTCCTTCACTCGGATTTTGTCATCAACAGATGAGGCGCCAAATTAAGCGGTCATACCAAACAAGGATGGTCAAGATGGAGAATGGGTTACCACCGCACGAAACAATAACAAGCCAGTTTTAACTCTAGTCAAACCCATCGGGTCTGGGAAGGTGAGAAACCCAGGGAACAAGCACAAGTCGGGCAATCTGGAAATCAGGGATGCTAAACATGGGTCCTCAGGAAAGCGGAATGGATGTAAGACCATGCAAGTCACTAACCAGCTTGCCAGACAAGCAAACGTGTTGCCCACGAACGGGGGCAAAGCTGGGGAAAAGATGAAAACTTAACAAAAAACGACCGAGCGTCAGCAGTTGACAAGACATACCAATGTCCGGAATGGTTCCTTGATCGCCATGAACCTGACAGACAGCCATGAACTCCCAAAGCCTTCAGGACAAGAACGATAGGGTCCTTCGGGAGAACGTTTGCAGAAAGCTCAAGCTAGACTACATGAAACCAGTAGCTGCAACTAGGCTCTCTCGCGGCCCCGACCCAATAACTAAGGGCAAACCCCATCTTTTGAGGCTCACGTTCTCCAGCCCACAGGATGTTGAGGATGTACCCCTGGCATCTCACCTGCTGAGAGGAGAAGCGGAATTTAGGATACTGTCGGACATCCCACATTCTGAGGGAAGAGCTCTGAAAAATCTGTTGGGTGACAATCGTGACGCCTGCTTCAGAGGAAGAAACCTAATAGTGCAAGACATACCAGAGAACCCGGTCTCCGAGGAACCATCCAGTCGACTGGAAAATAGAGAGGGTTAGGGAATTGCATTCCGAGTACAGAGCATAAACTGCATCTACACTAATGCGCAAGGTTTACTGAACAAACTTGACGAGTGCGAGACCTAAGTAGGGACACTTTTGCTCACCCTATCGGTGTTACTGAGACATGGACTTCGCCTGACATATCGAACCGGTAACTGGCAACTGCTAATACCATGCTGTTTCGCAGTGACAGGAAGGCTGGTAGGGGGGGGGGTAGGGTAGCACTTTACGTCAGCTCTCTCTCTCTCGGCCCACCGAATCCATAGCCAAGAACTGGAATGCCTTGACGAGTCCATTTGGTACACCACAAAGCTGCCCAAGACTACGGAGTGCTTGATGGGAGTCATTTACAGAAAACCGCCAGCTGATTCACAATTTGACAACCAGATGCTGGAGGCAATCAGTTGCCTTCTTAAAATGCGGCACACACACGTACTGACTCTAGGAGACTTTAACCTGCCGAAGGTCAACTTTGCAGATCGCACGTTTAGCGGGGGCGACAATTCCACTGAAGCCAGGTTCTTCCACTTGATTGAGGGGCTGGGGCTCACTGAAAATGTGGGAACGGTAACGCTAGTTAGGGAGACTCAAACCTCATCTTGCTCGAACTGAGTCTTCACGAATGAAGAATTCGTGCTAGATAACTTAGGGATCCTACCTCCCTTGGGCAGTAGTGACCACGTTGTCATCGGCTTCCAATTTGTTTGAGAAACCAGTCTAACCAGACCTTTCAGCGAACATCGTTGGAACTTGAGACGACTGAACACTCCGGCTCTTCTAACCACACTGGAACAGATAGATTGGGAAGTTAGCCATGCATGGCAGGATACGAACACCCATCGGAAATTCATACTTGACGAGATCATGCATGCGATCAGTCAGTCTGTTCCACTTTCGAGACCGAAGTACCTCAAGTTACCTAAGGTGATGAGGAGCCACACTAGCGAACTACTTAAGTTAAAGAGACATCACTGGGCTGGTCACATAAGGATTGGCACCGAATGTACCTACAGACAATTCAAACAGACAGGAAACATGTGTACGAAGGCTTTGAGAGCCGATCGGCAGCGGCATCAAGTCAGGCTCACAAACATGTTTGTGTCTAACCCGAGAAGTCGCTTCTGCTACACTGCTTCATTCCGGCAGGCTAAGGCGGGAGTCACTCAACTACTGGGTGCCAACGGACTGACTAATAGCAACACTGAAGCAGCTGAGCTCTTGGCCGACCAGTATCTGCAAATCATTTCGTCATCGTCCACTTACTCAGGGGCCTACGGACATCCCACTAAGGAAGTAGGACTCTCAGTGGTCAGCCTAAGCGTTGAGCTAGTACAGCACAAACTGCTGCTGCCCACCAGAGACACCCCTCCGGGACCAGATAAAATCCGTCCGGTGGTACTGTTAGAGGGAGCTTCAATCTCGTCCGAACCTTTAGGTGAGTTATTTAGGAGTTCTCTGGGCCAGGGGATAGTACCTGACTCTTGGAAGCTGGGCCATATAACGCCAACCTTCAAAGGGGGTCAACGAAGCAATCCAAAGAAGTACAGACCGGTGACACTTCTATCCATTCCTTCCAAAGTAATGAAATCGTTGATATACGATGGACTGAGGGATTACCTCACAAGGACAAATTTCTTTGCACCCCAACAATATGGATTTCGAAAGGGGTACTCCTGCATTACCGATGAGCTCACTACAGTAGATAGATGGACTAGCGTTGCTGACCGTCGAGGACAAGTTGACGTTATCTACCTAGACTTTGCTAGGGGGTTTGATCGTGTTAATCACCCCTGTCTTATCGATAAACTAAAATTAATTGGGATCTACCTCCGCTCATTGACTGGTCGTCGTCACATCTACGGGGCCGTTCATTTGGAGTCAGGGTGAGTTTCTGTGTCTAAAGAGACAGAATGTCCTGGTGGTGTTCCCCACGGTTCAGTACTAGGGCCTGTCCTTTTTCTAATATACATAAACGACTTGCCTCAACAGGTCTCTTCCGAACTCCTTCTTTTTGCCGATGACGTGAAACCCTGGTAGGAAGCCAAAAGTGAAGAAGACAGTGTTTCTCTACAGGAAGACTTAACCCCACTTCACAATTGGGCAGTCAACAGTGGGCTTGAATTACTTCCTGAGAAATGCAAGGTGATCCACGTAAAACATGGTGCATCTCGTGTATATAGCCTCAACGGCATGGAACTTGAAGCTCCATTGACGGAAAAGGATTTGGGCGTGTTGTTCCCTCAGGACTTAAAATCCTATGCCAACTGTGACAGAAACGCACTTCGTGGGAACTTGGCGTTGCTAACTCAGACGGATTTTCGGGCAATTCGATCGTAGATGCTTCCACCAAATTTTCAGCAGCTTCATACGGCCTCACCTGGAGTTCGGGACCATCGTCTTCCCCCCTTATCTCCAGAAGGACAAACCGAGCTTAGAACGCATCCAGAGGCGTTCGACAAAATCCGTTCAAGGACTGACGTCCAAAACATACGATGAAAGGCTGGTTGCGCTGGATCTGTATCCTTTGAAACGCAGAAGGCTGAGAGGTGACTTGATAATGACTTACAACATTCTGAGCACGCCTGGCCATTCACTCCGTCACTTATTAAATCTTACCTGCAACGATAATCTTAGAGGACATGCACAGAAACTAGACCTGGAACATAGCAGGCTGGATATCGGGCAAAACTTCTATTCGCTAAGGGTTGTTAAACTCTGGAACGATCTTCCTGAGGATTTGATCCAGGCTACTTCGTGTAAATCTTTTAAACGCTGACTGGATACCCACTGGATGTGTGTCTGGGATCTACTCAGAACTAAGTGAATTTTTCACATTTTAATCGCCACTCTTTCACCTTTCTTCACTTGTACAAAGGGTTAACAACCAAAAGAAGTAGTGATCCATGGACTGTAGACGCTGAAGCTAGTTACGCGAAAGCTTCTTCTATTCCTTCAACAACCAATTGAACCATTTGGTAGAAATCGAACATATACTCGTTAGTCTGCATCTCTACCTTGGTATCTACACCACTGACCACCTTCATCCAGCCTTATTAAGAGAAATACTGTTATTCTCTCCTGGTACTTTGCATTCCTCTTCTCTCATTCTCTAGTCACTCCGTTACCCTCACTAATTTAAGGATAACGCTTTAAAACTTGTAGGTAATTATGCAAACAGGAACTGCAAGAAGTTCGTTGATCTTACTACCAGCTCCGTTGCCCAACCAAAGACAAGCATACAATTTACAAAAGAATAGTTACACAATCACAATCTTCAAAGTTGTAAGGAGGTAGAAATAAATCTTTTGTATTGCCGTCAGATGTGTTCAACCGACTCAAATAAGCTTATCTCAAGGCCCCTTATAGGTGTTAATTTGAAAAAGTAACTTGGACCTTTCATGTTGGATATTAGGAGAACCTGTGTTCTGGCGGCAGTTTGTCCATTAACGGTATAAAAGGATGTTTTCAAGGTTGTTCCGCAGTTCTGCTATAGAGACTACTAATGTTAGCTGATGTAATCCGAAATGATGACCATAAACAATTGGACAAGTTTCTTAATCAATCTATCTCAACTCCCCAACTTCGTGAGATAGCATATAGTTGTGTCGTCAATAGCAGCTATAACTGTTTCAGGCGTATCTTAGAGCATCCACAATGTATGTCGTTGTTGAATCACAATTTTAAAACCGGTTGTTTTAGTTGGTTTGTACGAACCTTTTGACGCGGATGGGTGTTATCTTGTAAGTTATGAATAAGCCTCCTTATTTTTTCGTGTATGTCAATATGTAAGCACCTGTGGCTCAGGAAGCTTACATCTCTTTTTATGATTTTAATTATTTTCTTAGTGTCCTGATGTAGTAGAAGTGATTAATCAATAACTTAAGTTCACTACTCAGTTGTGAGAATCAGCGCAAGCTCTTCTAATCACAACATATATTGTGGAAGAATATTCTTTCTCACTATTCAGTATTAAGGATAGGAAGCCAACTGACCCGTGTCAATCCTTGCAGTTAGTTTATCTGCGAAGATTTAGTTTTTCCTTGACTGGGTCCTACAAAGGAGCTGATGCCACTTATCCGGGTAAGGAATTCCAGTCGTTGACCACTCTGTGCGACCAGCGTGAGCTCCCTTTAAGTTGACTCGACCGTCGTTTATGGATTTTCTTGTGGTGGCCTCCAAGATGATCATTTATTCGAGGATCGAAGAAATAAGACATGTCAGTTCCAAGATCATTGTTTAGAACACGAAATGTTCATATTATCTCCCCTTTTCTTCGATAAAATAACCGGAAAAATTTAGTCTCCGTAAACAGTCTATATACTATACGTTAGAAAAACCAGCCACCAACTTACTAACAAGTCTTTGAACGCGCTCCATTGGTTTACCATCTTTTTAAACGCTTCGACTGGCTGTTTTAATGCAATATTTCGGATGGGGCTGCACAAATGCGGGGTACAATATCTAAAACATTTAAATGTTTTAAAAAGACTATAATACTCCGAACTCATTTTCTGCATTCCCAGCGCTGATGTTTTCAAATCGTGGCTGATGATAACTCCAGTCTTTAATTTCTTTGACATCTGGTATTGGTACTGCATCTGTCAGATACTGATGACAGCTGCTATGGCTGATATGCATAACTGCAAATTTGCCAGACTTAATTTCTGGACACCAATGGTTTGATCAGCTGATTAGTGGATTGAGCTCCGCTTGTAGTTCACGTCTGTCGTCATCGTTACGGATGACCCTCCATATTTTCACAGCGTCAGTAAATGATAACACCGGTGACTTAATCACATCTGGGAGTTCACTGACACAGATCAAGAAAAGAAGAGGACCCAAGATTGTTTCTTATAGAACCCCACTACTTACAGGTTGTCACTTAGTGTACCATTTACTTTCACTCTTTGTTTCCTATCTCATGAAAATGCTGTAATCAAGGCTTGGATTGTAGTGTCAAACGTAACGTAGGAGCTCCATTGGTCCAATGTGCTAAACTTTATAAAACGCCTTACTAAAGTCAATGAACACAACATCTACGAGCATCTTGTTGTCGCGAGCTGCTACCCATTCTCGCTATGCGGAGGTTAGTTTAGGAAGGTTGACCATCGCGAAACCCATGTTGTAGAGATATGAGAAGGCTGGTTTCCGACATGGTTGCTCATTCTACGTCTGATAATCTTCCCTAGTACTTTAATAACTATACCAATTAGGCTAATGGGACGATAGTCGGTCACGAGTTACCTACTGCCTGTCTTGAAAACTGGGTTGATCACAGCATCTTTTCAGTCTCTTGGACGCCGAGTCTGACATAAAGCAATTGAATAGCTGAGCAAGCGGCCTATGGATAATGTCAGACACGAAGGATAGTAGCCTTGGGTGCAATTCATCCGGACCAGGGAATTTCTCAGGCTTAAAGTTGTTCAGTAACTGAAGAACTACTTCTCTTGTGGTGTGTATTGGGCCCATTGTTGGGAAGTTGGTTGGGAATGCTGTTCAGAGTAATAATGTTTCCGTCTACCGATGTAGTTGGGGAGACATTCAGCTACGAAAAGGTTAGACTTAGTCAGCCATGCTGAATTGACGGCTGACAGGAGAGATTGGACGTTTCGTTTTCCTTTCACTGCATGAAAATAGCCGTTTTGAGCAGACCTGTCAGTCGACCGCAAGTTGTCTTTCGTATTTTATTCTGAACCTCGTAACATTTGATTTAAACGTATTCCTAACCTTGCAATACGAAGTCTTGGAAGCCTCACTGCCTGTTTCTGAGAATAGGTGCTACAGTCATTTCCTCCTCTTTATAAGTCTCAAGATACTATTATCAACCCATAGAGGGCAATGGAATGCCTGCGTGTAGTTGACCATTTGGTAAACGGTGAGGTTACTTCATTATTTGTAGCACTACATTTTTCCCAAGCTTTCTTTACAGATATGTTATTATCCAAAGTCCAGTCAAGTATAATTTCACACTTTCTGATAGCCGGCATATCTGCGAGTCATGTATTCTTTCTAGTAAGGACAGAATCGTAATCTAAGTCGTATGTACGAAACTTAAAAAGCAATGTTACGTGATCGCTATTAGCTAGTGGAGGTAAATGTTGGAAGTCAGTTACTTCTCTTCAGTGTATAAAAGCCAAATCTTGGGGCAGTGGTTTGCGTTATCGATAAAAACGCGTTGCACTAGTGACGTTTTGAACCAGAGCACCGTCTAGAACTGATAAACGTAGGTCGCCATGGAAGCAGGTGTTTGAATCCGGAGATACGACCTGCACTCAGTTAATGAGTTGCTTTTACGTCTTCTAGTATCAGACATCTGTTGCTATTACTCCGTTCTCTTATGAGATTCAGGACAATGTCGTTTGCTATGCGGCATGGACTTCGGTATATTACCCTGATTTTGACTATATCATGAAATGACCTAAGATCGCAACTTATTAATTCGTACGTACCGTTTTCATCTACTTCCGTGTAAGTCAACCTTACATTTAAGTCCTGGCGAGTGTACAGTAGAACCCCACCCTTGCGACGTAATATCCTGTCAGCCGTACCCAGAGAGTAGGGGAGTGGAATTCATATCTCGTATGAGCCTTATTTCTGTCACAGCGACTTGCTTGGGTTTTACTTCGTCGAAAACAACCCTGCAGCTCTGACATTTTCATTACGCAGGCTGAGGGCAATCGTATATAGTACTGTTAGTGTTTGGGTCATAACCCTACTTACCCTTATAGGTCTTGGAAGCATTCGTTTTCAAGACCGTACTATCCGAAAACTCACCAATTTCATACTCGCTTTTCCATTCTCTTCCCAAGCCTTCAATTCCGTTAGGGCTCCCTGTCTTTTTATTCTATCCTCAAGAGGTCAGTTTAGATGAATGCAAATATTCGAGTCTCGTGCTGTGTGCATTACCCAAAATATGTCTATCTCTTCCTTATTTCTTAGGGCCCCTCTTAATACTCTCTTTGTATCAGGTTTCTTTTTCTTCATGTTCACTTAGTCTGACCACCCTAGATGTGTGCACTCCAAGCGACATCTCTGGTAGTATGTGACGAATGATTCCCTGGAATAAATGAAAATCATGAGCATGACACTTAGTGGGGTCTATATTCTTCGATTCTTCAACATTGCAGAAGTATACACTAGATGTTGGACGAGTATTGACTTCACCCATTGCCTTCTGTTGTCTTATACGTCCTAGCCTAGCAGTCTGCACCTCAGTGTGTGCCTTAGATCAAAAGTATCACGTTCTGGTTTTGCTTCGTTTCCTCCAGCTGTAAAGTGTAACAGAGGGAAACAATATGCAGCCTGCTTATTGTTCAATAGGCGGTAGAAATTGCATAAGTATACTAAGTGCAGTATGCTGGCAGACCAAATGATTCTTCTTTTGGTAGTGCTGTTATATCATCAATGACAAGCCCTCTTTCTAGTCAAATGTGCTTTAACACTCCGTGGTCCATCCTTGAACTATCTGAGGAGTAGTTATTAAAAGCATTTAAGTTGTACTATCAAACCTACCTGTACTTCTGACTTTGCTTCGAAAACTCAGGATCCAATTAGTGATAGTATATTTTTGTGATATTTAGTTTTTACTGTTACCATAGTTTAAGAAGTAAAGCAGTGAAGTGCCTACTGAACTTTTAAGGACAAAAGATGACTGGATGGAATGTCAAATTAATTCTTTCTATTCTCAATAAAGTCGATGTCTAGTCTTGCTTCAAGAGAATCAGTGGAAAGTGATGAAACTGAAGGTTTCACTAGTTCACAATACGATATAGGAAACATGTTTCAAAATGAAGATAGTTTGACTTTAATTTTTTGAAATTTAAAGTAATATCGTCTTAAGTGATCAGTTCTAGGGGAGAGAAGTAAATAGGATAAATGAGCACTGGCTCTTGATTGAGATATGTTACTCTTCCTAATGTATCTGCTTCATATTTGAAACTTGTGCTCAGCATGTAGATTCAGTGTTCCGAAAGGTGTCTGATTTATATCCGGTGTGATATTCTAAACACATCCTCATCGAAGCTATTTAATACCTTGTTTAAAGATCATAATATTTGGAAAACCTTAGCAACTGTTATACTAAAGTTGTTTGGAGTCTTCAGACCATTTTTTAAATTATCCATTTCAAACACCTAAGATATGAAAAACAGGCTCTAGATTTCTCTTGTTCATTCGAGTGTTTGACTCTTAGTTCGATCAGGGTATCCTTACATACCACTTTTTCAAAGAACAATCAAGCTCGACGTATATACCTTATCCATTGGGTTCGTATGCAATCTTGTTGACCCATGTAACCTAATACTACTGTGATGTATATGTATTGCTGAGTATCGCTGTCGCCACTTTTCCTTTGTTCCTACCAGCTTCGCAGTACTTCAGAGTTAATATCTGAGTTATTCTTCGAATAAGAGCTTCAACTAAGTTCAGATTATGCTGATATATCTTCTCAAGATCAAGTTATCTGATTTTACCACATTGCAAACTATATTGCATTCTTGAATTCTCCTATTTGACGGAGATATGAACATCTTTACTGGCGATCTTCGGTACTGTGCAATATATTTATCTTCTAGTCGTACCGGTCACTGACTCTTGGTTCATGTAATTAGTCGTCATGTTTCTTTATATATTCCATAGCACTTGTAATGGTTGTGACAACTATCAGTTTTTTATATTATCGTCACATATCTACGTTATTCATTTATATTTCAGCCAATTCTGCATCATGCTATCCGCTTGGGAAATCTTCAAGTGTGCAAGTTACTCGTTGAATATCGTGTGAATCCATTAGTCTGTACTGGTCAGTGTTTTCAGCAGAATGCTTCAGATTTTACCTGTGAAGATGCTGTACGGTTTGCCTTCCGTTATGTTTCGAGTTCAAATCATCGAAATACTATAGCTCTTCTATTGCAAACCACTTTATGTTAGTTGAATTCATTCTTTAAAATTTGTTGTGTATCATTTATTTTTAAATTGAATTTTTTAGTTTCAGGGAACTGATTAAATTAAGGCTGCTACTAGCCTCAAAGTAATATTTCAATGATAGATGAATATTATTGAGCCTATAAAAGCTGTTTTTTGGTGGTTTAAAACTTTTTCATGATTTTCTTACTGGCTCAGTTTAGTAGTGAAAATTTTCTTCAAACTACTTGAGATTTTGTAGCCACCTATTTTAAAAAAGCAGTTGACTGCTCACCTGATAAAAAGGATTACTGAAATATTTATTTGAATCAGCCATCTCTCGGGGTAATAAATTTCGAAGTCATGACTGAGCTGAATAACTTCCATATTATTCACAGATTATTTAGTATCGAAGGCTAGCTCTATTACTTAAGGTATCGTACATATTTCTGAGCCTGATTTTCTTCGACTGGAATGCGTGAGTAATCGTAGTCTCACATCTGAAGATGACAGTTATGGGACGAAACGTTCAGTTCTCAACGAATCTCAATATTTCAGTTGTTCATACTTGTTCTGGGCGAAAAAATGGTTCCTCAGTAGTTTGAATTAGGTATTTGACTTACATTCATCCTATACGAAAAATGTTTGAGACATTGACTTATCGTGCAAACTTATATGTGGTTGATACTGAGTGATGATTGAATTTGAAGTGGAAATTTGGGCTGCGGCCGGATTTGAACCAGTGGGTTTCTGGCCCGATGCTCTTCCAACTGAGCTATGAAGTCCTGACGCTGACCAGATTTTTATTTCACTCCAATCACCAAGATTGTTAGGTTGCATTGTCTTAAAATCTGAACGTGACTTTCAGGTATCAGATGATGTTTAGTTTAGTTGTTCTAATTGTATACAGCTCTCACAGTACACATTGTTCTCAGTATACTGGAAGGACATTTAATTAGTGGTCAAGTAGATGATTTTTTGCATCTGTACTCTTTTAATGCGATCGAGTGAACAAAAATACAGACTAAGTTGTTTCAAAGGATTATTCTTGATCTAGCTTTAAAATATTTACTGTCCGATGAAAGGTCTTGGGTTCTGTACGTTTAAGCTAGTCTACATATTGCGTCTTTTAAAACGCGAACTTCTCTCAGATTTCTGAAAGATAAATCTTAGTGACCAATGAAGATTACTGTCTTCCACTTGTCGTGATGGTCTTCGTAGTATGCTTCTTTGGATTCGAAGAATCTAAATAAATATCCGAAATCAGTTTTGTGCAGTTTCATTTTTTCACTACAAATCGTATTGGGTTTGTTTGATTTCGGATCATAGTAGTCCAGGCACTCATTTGGCTAATAAGTATTTTATCTCATAAATCGAAAACAAGAAATTGGGTGATGAATGATTCTGTATTTCATCAACTTTGATCTTTGTGTTAAGAAGTTTACAGCTATATATCAGATGTAATGATAACAGTGATTTGGAGTAGCGAAGCCAATCTACGTTTGTGCTTTATTCATATCTACATCCAGTGCCAACAAGAAACAAACATTGATACGATTATGATCGATAATTTATGCTCGAAACGTCATGAAGTAAATAATACTTTATCACTATGTGCTGTGTATCAAGTAAACAAATCTGATATGGAAGAAAAAACCTCTTCATCATTTGGTATTGTTTCCTATAAAGTATATGCCATCCTATGTTATTTAACTGGCTAATGTTTTTATGTTTCTCTGATTAGAAAGCGTTTGTTAAACTTTTTTTGAGAAAAGTAGTCATATCTGCTTTGCAGGTAAACATGTATAGATTAAGTTGTAATTTTGGTATCTTTCAAAGTATACAATTGTGTAATTCAGGTGTTTAATATAAAATCGAACGAATCATCTTTTGTGCTTTGTCGAAAAAATTGCAGTGAAATATATAGTTTTCTAGGAGTGTGTTTATTATTTCCAGTTTTTAGATGAACTACTTTTTTAAAGGACGTAATGTTAGCGTTTTATTATTTGGGTTAGACTTCAAGTTGAATGCTGAACTTGTTAAGTTCAAATAATTGGTCGGAGTTAGTTTGCATTGTGATTTGAAGTCTGTATCCTTCTAGATTAAAAATCCAGTTGTTAGCATGTTCCAAAATTATTTGACTACGTCGTTTAGAGGTTCACCAAGTTAGAAGCTAGGATGCTTACTAGCTGGTGATATTGGCAAACACACTGTGTCGCTAGTAAACTGAAGTCGAGAAAGTGTCAGTTATCAAATTCCGACAGAATTCTCCGTGAATAGTGTGGGCACTATCATACTTACAGGAATCGTGGGCTGTTGCTATCCGGACACTCTGAACTAAGTCGGATTAGTTTTCAAGACCCTTAGATTAATTAATAATGCAAACTACCTCTAAAGTAAGCATTTCAAATCTAATTTAGAATACTTTATGGAAATCATTCAACATATTGTGTTTTATCTATGAAACGCCACATTGATGGTTGTGTTCAACAGTTTTGTACCATGGATCCTAAATTTTTAAGCAAGCTACCAGAACATCTTTATACACTGCTATCTTCCACTGAGAAATCTAACAGTCAGATCTAACCTATATAAACACCTTTGTAAACAATCGGTATGGCTCACAGTCCAGTTCATGAATGTCTATAAGACCTTTGAGTTTGACAGTTAGGTCAAATAACATAATTTTCAAGTTCTATATTGACATGTATACAAATATTATATATATAATGATTACTTTGTATGTCTTTGATTGTTGTCTTCTTGTTCACTTTCCATCTATTTTAATCTTTCTTTCTCTACTGCTTTAGGTACACTAGTTACCAGTAAGTCCGAATTTGATTGGTAATTTTAGTGATTTTTGACTTTCCCGTCCTAAATTATTATAGGTCCAATGGTCAAAGAAAGTCACTACACAACTAAGCTGTTGTATTGTTTCAATGTTGGGATTTCTGTCAGGGATCATCAATCGTTTCTAAGATAAAACCCAGGACTATCAAATATTTTCGACTTAACGCTGAAAAATATGAGTATTTAGAAGACACACATTGATCTGTAGACTTGGGTAGTCAGATAAAAGTGATCTAAACACCAGATGACCATTTCACTTGCTTGTGTTCGAGCTTATCATCGATGCACTCCTACAATTCAATTCGCAGAGCGGAAAGATATGTTTTTTGTCTCAAATAAAACTTCATGTTGCTTCTTATATGGTACAACTTGTTATCGATTTTCTTACATATTACTTCCGATATAAATGTCCCAATTACTTTAGGATGTTACATATCATTGAAAGGGGGTATGCTTCAAAAAGCGCGGTTATGGTAATCTGTATCACAACTGGTCAGTTGGAATCCGCGGGTCTATTCGGTTTCTATATTCCATTTCTGAATTAGTACAAGCTTATAGATTGATGAGCAGGTTTTAGGTAGTAATTGAATACATAATAATTTTTGTGATAAAATTTAGCTAAATTTTAGGGTTTATAGGGATTTATTTATTGGTTTCATGTTGGTTTTCATCGTGAACTGACGTCAGTTGAAGAAACATTAGAAACCTGGGGGCACTGGACAGTTGTTTCGTCCTAGTATGGGATTCCCCAACAGTACAGACCCATGACTCCTCCAGGGATCGGATTCAGGACCTTCAGGTTCCGTGGCCAGTCACTGGGTCGGAATCCAATGCTTCATATTTCTTACTTCTGTCGGTTCACGATATAGCGTGACCTCCATCTCAAAGTAATCTTCATCGGCGACTATAAATAGGCTCTTGTGTATTTTTGATCACATTGCTATTTTTAAACCAGTAATCATGGTGGTACAAGCCTTTAATAGTCATATATTGACATTGTATAAAAGAAGGCATACCTCAGTGTCAACGTCGCGTATTCTAATGGGCACGTCGATACTTCATTGATATCATGGCTGGATTAACTTAACAGTTAATTCTTAAGTCTTTTGTATCCGTACTAAATGTTGCCTCAGTTGCCAACCGTCAAAGGTCTAAGCGACACCGACAGTAAACCATATATAAACATCAGGTAGTGTGAAAGCTAAGCTGCTAGTTTATAGTCAGTTGCATTAATTATGTTAGTGAATATTTGTATGTTGCATAGACAATTTTAAATTGATTTGATTGGAATGTAAGCAGTGGACTCAGATAGTTATTTGCTTCTTTTTTGTGTCTTCATATCTTACTTCTCTGATACCACCAGAGTATGGATATATATGTATATATGGTTTGTTCTGCAGTGCAAACCTATCACATATGTGTATGTATTTGTCAATTACGGTGAAAATTAAGTTATTTAACAGACATTAATTATCAGTTTAAGACTTTTACTGATACAAATTTCTGGTTAATATTGGTCTGGATATACTGACGTAATGCATATCTATATGATGAACGTCGAAGACACCACACTTTAGTGAGAGGTGATAACATTAACTAGCTGCCATGTCCTGAATAAATGGACCAGAATTAAAACTCACTACCCACTGGTTGAAAGTCTATCTCCCTTAGACAATGAAATACAGCTATGAGAGCAACACACTGGACGTAGACATATGTTGGTATAAGTTTCGTTGAATTGCTTCAGGTGATAAAAATAGACTTTGAATTGATGTAGAAGGATTTATTGGCGATATGCAAAGTATAGGCTTTTTATGGTAAAAGAAGTTCCCAATGCGTTGGTATGAGAGATCTATTTGACTTGTATTAAAAACTAACATATACAAGGGAACTGAAGAAAACTATGGCAGGAAAACAACCATTAAGTAAATGATGTAGTACAGCCCTATATAGTATAAAAATGAGATATAGGATTTGCAGTTTTGTACTCAAACCGTAGGTGTAAACTAATTGATTATCAGGGCATATGCATTGAAGGAGGAATCTTCGTAAGATCACGTAACAAGAACTGATTGGAGCACCAAGTACGTATATAGGGAAGAGATAGCTAAGCATTAATCTGAACTTGACAGGAATTCTAATCCTGGGGAAACCTTATATGATACTAAGTCTGCTGTAGGAACTGCGGTAGAGATAGTTGGCAAGATACATTCAAAGGTCAGCAAGCGTCAGGGGGTTTCTACATCATCATGCAAACTGGTTCGTGCAAGAAGACTGATTTCATATAACTGACCACAATGAGGGGTGAAAACAACTGAAACTTAGAGTCTTCGCAACGAATGTGGGCAGTGGTGAGTGGTGAAAGTCAGAGAGCTAGAGAAAGCATCAGGTAGTACCCGATGATTATTTGGGTTTAATAAGGATACTGGTAAGAGGACGATAGTGAGACCATTTCTGAAAAGAATAAGTCCGTGATAAGCTCTCAGGACAAGTGGATAGAAAGTTGTACGGAACACTGTAAAGAACAGTTCAACTGGACTGTGACCAGGCTTTAGTTGTCCAGCATCCAACCTGAACCTGAGTGGTCGGTGTCGCTTCTTCAGCTCTCTTCAAAGTTGAGAGGGCTGTTTTAAACTGGAGACCATGCAAAGCAGCAGAACCTAACTGTTTACTACCAAAAGTTTTTAAGAATGAAGGTAAGAAATTACTAGGTGGGATTTTATAGGCACTAGGTAACGTATGGGAAACAGAGGTATTCCCATCGGATTGGTCTACACTGATCATTCCAGTGTATAGGATGGGATGGAATGGAAGTGTTTTTGTTTAACGAATACTATTCAAGATCCTGGGGTCCATAGTTATTCGACGCCTAACTGGAGCTCACTAACGGCAAACTCGAGAAAACAAGACATCGATTAAATTTGCACCCTTCATCAGCCTATGGAATACAGGCGTCCGACACTCGCCATATTTCTTGACTTGAAGACAGCATTTGACTCTGTCGACCATGAGATGTTGTGGCATTGTCTGACTGTTAGGAGAGTGCCAAGAAAGTATATGACGCTAGTCAAAGTTCTCTACTAGAACTCATGCAGTCGTGTCAGGGCTTATGGGGAGTTGTCGTGTGAGTTGGTGACATTTAGTGGTGTTCACCAGGGATGTTCGGTGTTACTGTACCTGCGTAATTTCGTATAGATGTGATGATGGACACAGCCTTAGGTACATCTGACTTCACAGGGATCAGTCTAATCCCTGCAGGTTATGTGGTTGAGTTGGAGTAGGTGAAAGGAATAATGCTGCTAAACGAGTGCTGACAAAATGCAGGGTCTTTTGAACTCCTTAAGCAGAAATCTGTGTATGTTTGGCGTGCGTTTTGCACGTGTCACATACAAAATGACTCTTGGTGACTGGTACATAGCGACTTTTAGTTTAAAAATAGTGAGTGAGGTGGTTGAATTCGTCAACCACTCCACATACTTGGGGAGCGGCATCAGCCCAAACGGGTTGAAGGAATCTCAGCTCGGATACGGAAGGTCCCTTCGGCATTTGCCAAGTAGTGTCATCTGTGGTGCTGATTGGTGAGATGTCTGAATACCTGTCAAAGGATATGTTTACTGCTCTGTAGTACGTTTTGTCCTGTTATAAGGCTATGAGACATAGACGCTGAAAGTATACAATGTGGAGATACTACAGGACATCCAGCACAGGTGTCTTGGTAACATTGCTGACATATAATGGTGAAACCACCATGTTAGCAGTGTAGTGGGTAGGTGAAGGGTACTAGGCATGGAAGGAAAGTCAGTCAATGAAGTGGTGAATCTTCAGCAGCTAATTTGGCTTGGACATGCGTCGCATGTGCTAAGCTACCTCCCACCTTGGCATTCAATGCTTGGAGACGTTGGATTAAGTTGGAAGAGTGCTCAGGGTGTCCAGACTAGGACGTAGCACTAGTGCATGAAGTCTTTGACTCTTGATGTTCGCCTTGTGGGGTGGTGTAGACTGCCTAACTGGGGTCCTCGAGATGAGTGGAACCAGTTTTTGGAGATTCTTGGTGATATGACTGAAAATCAGTCACAATGGCAAAAATACATGCACTCTTTGATGTCTTCACTAACTTTCATTTTCAGATTCCTTCTCCCGTACGCCTTTTCTGCTCTTTTTTTTTGCGTGCAACTGTGAAGTGTAACAACATGAACCGATGAACGTCTGCGAAAGGTTCTATATTGATTTCATCTGTCTGTCTATCTTGCCGTAGAAATAAACTACCGGGTTATCTTCATATTAATTCAGATCGATTCTTGTTTACCTCTCAACTAGTTGCTGAACAGCGTCTCAATTTATACTATCCCTTGGGGTTTGCGTAATATCTTACCCTCCTTGATAATGTTGATTTGTATCAAATTCGTTGTGTTATGGAATGGAATATAATTGACTGTGCACATGATCGGGTAGTATTTTCACAGTTTATGCGAATTTTCACTTTGATAGTGTTATAAAATAATCATAGACACTAAAATGTTTTTGAAAGAAACTATAGTAGTCGTGCTTTATCGAAACTACTTAAGAAAAGGATACTAATTATACAGTATTTGATGCTTATATACTGTTGTATCAATTTCGTTTTACACTTTCTCTCCAGTTAATGTGGTAAAATATTTTTTGCCAGAGTATTATCCTATAAAATGCCAAGAAAATTGCTCGAGGAAGAAACTCTGAGTCCACCGTGGATTGATTTAAGAGGTATTATTCAAAACCCATGGAGAAATCCAGCCAAAAAATGCGCCAAAAAAATATCAAGAATACATTAGTTCAGAAAAGGAATTGATTTTTAAGAGATTGAATTTCGATGGTAGTGAATTCATGAAGAGAGGTGGCACAGGGGATTCTCATAAACTGTCCAATAGTTAACCAACTACAAAGTTTGCTTCTATGTATGAGACAGCGATATCATTGCCTCCAATTGTACTTATCAACTTACACACAAAAGCAGTTACATCATAATAACAGATATGTAAACATGTGTTTGAAGTTCAAGGTTGTATCAAGAACTCGATGTTATAGAGTTTTCACAATCCAATAGCTCGTCAAACAAATGACTCGGTACAAAAATACTGTATCAAAATCATTTACTACCGTTAAAAAGCTTTAGTGTTTTTATAGCTCTCTGAAGGACACGTGAAAGGCAACGGCTACTTGCTTCCAACGTTTCCCGTACTGCTCACTTTTTTAACACTAACATATACTTCACTGCTAATTTTTTCCACTACTCTCAACCACTATAATAATAATTAATAATGATAGTAGTACCAATGATAATGATAGTTATTGTTACTCCTGTTACGCGCTTATCTTCTTACTCCATATAAAATCTCATGTGATTATGTAACTGCCTTTTCCAATATCTAGTTTCGTCTTTTCTAAATTAGGAACCCTTGTTTACTCGCCTTATTAAAAATGTGTCTAGTTTTAATGAATATGGTTGTCATGATAGACAATGCGATGGGATTGGCATAGTTGCACAATAATGTTTAGCTTTAATTTTTCGAAAGAGTAGAAAGATTTTTGCCATCTTACTTCTCAATTCCATAGTAAAAATTTTCATCTAATGTAGTTGTAAGGTTTAGGGGTCATTCATTCACTTTGTTCATATCTTCGTGAGTTCTCTCGGTAAGAAAATAAGCGTTCACTGGATGGTAAACACAACAATATTTCTAGAAAAGTTTTTAGGTGGGTATATATTATCTTCATCGAGAAGTGAAAATAGTCATATGGATTCACAGTGGCGCTGATGTATTGACTCCTTGACACTTATAGCTTGAATATTTGCACTAACCTTTATCTTCAAATTGCCCATTCCCTCATACACAACTTTGTCTCAATCAACCAACCAATCAATATCAACATAGGACCAGGCATTACTGCGTAACGGTCCGGGTTACCACAGCTCAGTAGGAAGGTAGTGAGGTGGAGGATGAAGATAAGAGAATGCAGTCAAAAGAAATATTAAGTACGAGAAGAAAGGAGGAATGACAAAATGGTGAGATGCGGTATAGCGTCGTTAAGATGAGGATAATGTGTGTATACATCTGTGCCACTGACATCGGTTCTGAGCCATATTCCCTAGAGTCTCCACCCACTGGTTCATCTTGTCCCGTGGACCCCAACCACCTAGTCTGCATCGCCTCGCATGGCTCAACAGTCAGAGACTTCATACATTGGTGCCATATTTTAATCTGGCCACCTCGGGCCTTTTTCCAGCCTGGACCTACTTCAGCCAACATTGTGTCTACTTTATATCACTCTTTTTCTGTCCACCTGTTCTCTTTGCACCACTGTGAGCTGATGCAATCGTGTATGAGGTTCTACTTTGATTTCGTAAGGCAGTTAGTCACTCTAACGGATTATTTTTTTATAAATAGCAGTCAATACATCTTCCATATATTGGGTGATATTGTGTCATTTTTGTGTTTACTGTAACCCGAGTTAATGTCAACTTGATTTCTCTTAGCAACATCATTTAAATTAGTTCAAAAAACGGTTTTTTCATGTTTTGACATTCTTACTATCTTAAGTCAGCTGGTAAGCAGTTGAATGCCTCATACAGAGGATTTTCTAACTTTAATAGTCTTTTACTAGGCCATTTTGCAGATTTTAATATTATGCTGTCCTGACATTAATAAATGTAGTGACTAAATGATAATATGCTTGTCAGAAGACTTGACTACTCAGATCTTGATCTCATTTTGATATAAGGTTGTGGACTGTTGAAGAGGAGTCCCAAGCTAGAAAGACGCGTTAGTTATCCAGTAGTCTGTTGTTTTAACTAACTTTTTTCCAGCTAATAATACTCCACATTCAACGCTTTTTGTGTAAACCAGTAAGTGGTCCTTTCTTTAATTTTTAGCACAAGATTAGTGGTTGTTTCACTAGTCACATGAAATAGTTTACAATGGCATGTTAACATTGCTTGCAAACGTCTCATTGCAACTGAAATGAAAATCAGAAAAATTATGTACACGTGACTTCATAAGAATAGTTTCGAAAGTGAATGTCTTTGAAATAAAGTTAAAAGTATAAATCGATATTTAATACTTCATCTTTACGTATTGAATGTTAGGTTACATTGGTTCTACTGTATTTCGTTCCTTTCACTATAGTTGATACACACCCTTTTGCTAGTCCTAGTTCAGTCTAATTAGGATTGATAAAGAATATCCAAGAGCAACGACATAATTGTATTTTCCATAGAAAATTAGTTACATTAACCGAATAGCCTTAACTAGGAACATATGAACTAGATAGGACTCGAGATGAAGTAAGTGTTGATTGAACTAATTGAGTCTATTGTTCGAAAATAGGTTACGGTTATGCATAGCTTAGTTGTAACACGAAAAAATTGATCTGAATTATGCATTTGCGTATGAACTATGTCGTTGCCGACTTTTTAAAAACAGTTGAAGTATGCAAGAATAGTTTGTATCTATTTTCGTAGCTGAGAAAAGCAGTCAGTGGATTTATGGATATAATATTGTCACCTCTGACATTGAACACACTCCTCTTTTTCCAGTCAATATTACTTGTCTTCATGGATGATATGTAGTATAAGGAGCATACTTATTATTGAATTTAAGCTAATCGTGATATCTTTCTGGAATTTCGGTAAGCTTTTCTGACCTTGTTATTATTGTCACGTTACATGTACCTAACTATATACATTTATTTCACTTTTTCGCTTTAACAGATTTGGTAGAAGCTTGTAAAAGAGGTGATGTTGAATTGATTGAAAGCTTGTTACCATCAGAATTACGAATTCATTGTGCTATCAAAAATTTTGCTTGTAGAGTATTTAATCTGACGAATTCTTCATTGAATCCTGCACCATCGAATACTTACTCTTCATCCAATAGTAATACTGATAATCATAAAATTATTCAACAGCCATTAGGTACTTTATTATTGAAAAGGTTGAAAAGTTTAGGATTCAGTGGACTTGCGTTGACCGATTCGTCATCCAGTCGAGAACAACAGCGACAAAGTGAATCAGATTTTTTGTTATCTGGGGATATTTTGCAATCGACTACTGATGCTGAACCAACTTTTTGTCATTTATTACCATTAAATGATCTTTTGGAATGGATCAGAAGTCAACTAAAACCTCTTTTACTGATGTAAGCTGATGTCGTTCTTTGTTTTAGTGGGATTTTATTGTGTTGTACCAATATAGTTGTAAATACGTCCAGTTATTTCTTCCGGCGTGATGTAATTGTTCTGTTAAGACGGAAGGCGTGGCCGACGAATAACTGTCTCACAGAACCGTATCCTTTAGAGAGATAGTGATAATAATAATAATCACTGTGAACTGGTGAGTATTTGTAGCTCAGGTGGATGGTCTTGGTTGTGTTGTGTTCTCTGAACTGGGTTGTCTAATTGTGAAGCTCACTTCACACTGAAGTTAGTGTTAATGATATCGTCTAGAAAGACGATGAGAGTCCCATGATTGAAAACCAAGAATAATCACTCTCCATTGAAACGCATTCAGTATTTGCTACATACACTCGGATGTATCTTTCAGGTGTTGTTTACGTTTAAAAGGGTATTTTGAAGTAAAATAGTGAATATAATGTACTATATATTATAAAGCACTAGAAACCGATCGATACTTCCGGCTTTATGCATGAAGTACTTACTTTCACAACAGTTCCAATGGTATCATATATACAAAATTGTTTTTATAAGTTGCTTTTAGATTCATTTCAGCGGTAGAAATATGAATTACGTTTCAGCTTCACCTAGCTCATGTGACTTACATATTTATGAAATATCTTGCACCGTAACTAAACTTCCAACCAGTTGTCGAAATTCCATTCTTTACTAGTAGACACCGATGGTGATATCTTGTAATGAGAACAGTGTAATATACTAGTGCACCAGTTAGATTTGCTCCACTTTGAGTCAGAAAATGAAGTCAGTTAGGGAAAAAACTGTTATTCAGTGCGCATTGGAAGCTGACTTCGAGATAAATTCACTTGCATTCTAACAGTAGGCCACCACCACTATGGTCAGCCAAACTGAGAGTGAGGGTGGATGTTCACCGATGACGCTGGATAATGACTGCGCTACTTCGTAAATTGCCTAAGGTTGGAAAATATTTGACATTGAATTCCAACCCTGTGACTGAGCTTAATGATTGTAGACAGACATTACCAAAAATAGGACATGTTGTCCCCGTATGATGATTTAACGTGTATTGAGTTTAGGTTGTGCAATAATTTGGAGTCCCTAACTAAGAGAAAAATCCATCCAGTTCTCTCTGATATTCGATATCTCTCTTGACATGATTTTTGATGAAAACTATCTCCGAAGAAAATGAAGATTTTATACTGAAACGAGAATTTTTGTTGTGGTAAAAACGTGTAATAAACTGGCTTCCGATAGACTGCCTATAGATTTGCGAGTGAGATATGGTGTGCATATGTTTACGCCACTGGTAGCGACCTTCTGCTGTCCCGCTGAAAATCTGCCTGAACCGATTTTGAACAATGTAGGAACAAAAACATTTGCAGAATAAAATGAGTTCATTTTATTTCACGACTTTTCATCAGCTGCAAACAGCCTACGTTTGAAATGGGGCATTAATATTAATAATGTCAACAGACAAAAATCAGTGTAAAAGGAGGAGCTGTTAAAGAACCAGTAGGCTACGTAAAGAACTAAAAAAAACATCAGGTTGAGTGATTAACAGTCAGTAAGTAATTAATGAAGAGATGATGCAATCATAAAAAGGAGACTACATACGGACACATGCAAAGAATTGTATACAGTTACCAAGGTAAAGAAAGGTTTATTACAGTCTCTTACTGAGTACATACATAGGTCAGGTTGAAAATGTTTGGTGGTGAGAGCTTCTGGAAACCGTAATAAACAAGGCGTTCTTTGTTTCTTGGTTATCCTGATGTCCTATTTCCGTCACGTGCCTGGGGACCGCACTGGTAAAGACCTTACTACCTTTCAGACACAAATTTCTGAGAATATGCTCATAAAATCTAGTAGATGCCCTTCTTTCAGTCCGTTCTATGTATGTGCTTCCACTAGCACAGGTGAATTGATATACACAGTCGGAGGTGATGTGAGATGGATATTTGTCTACTTTCGACAGTGTCATTGAGCATACTGTATTGTAAACTTATATCAGTCTAGCGGCAGGGAAGCTCCTTCTCAGTGGAGCTTCTATTCTTCTGCCTATTCTTTCGGATGTCTCATCATCTTTGAATGCTAGACGAAAAAAACGGGCTTCTCAATGGTTGGATGTTTTGGTCTCTCAATAAATTCTTTTCCATGCTTCATGATGAAATTCTTCGGTTATGCATTCTGTATAAGAGCTTTCTCAATTATACTGAGCTCTTCTTGTTTATCTTTTGAGCACAGCGTTTTTATTCTAGTGAATAGCGTCCTGACTAAACCGTGCCGAACAACTTTGACGCATGACTCATATTATCTCAAACAATGAAAGTATCATCGACATGCCTGTGGTAATACGTCATGTTCGCTTGAGATGAGCCATGAATATATCAGCTAGGATAGGTCCTATCGGTGAACCCATAGCCACTCCATCAGTTTTCCAGCATAGTTGATTATTAAACTGAAACTGAACACCTTTTGCACAGAAAAGCAGTAATTGTTTGAGTTCTGTTTTTGACAGTGGAAGTAGTTCAGACTGCTAACAGATTATGTCTATCGTTTTATCCGCTGGTATGTTCGTAAATAATGAGGAAACATCAAATGATGCCACGAATTTATCTGAAATATCTAATCTATCTAGTTTTTCAGAGAATTGGAATGTATCCTTCAAGCTGTGATTTGCGAGCCTTTTTCTTATAGGTTCCAATTTCTTTGCTAACCAAAGAGCGGATTTGTGACAAGATGAACTTATCATGGACAAAATGTGGTGTCAAAGGAACACTAGACATACGTATTTTCGGAAGGTCGTACATGAAAGGTAGTCGTGAACCTCTTGGTTTAAGTTCGTTACAAGTTGCACCACCAATCGAAGGCTTCTTCAGGAGTTCCCTGAAGTGCTTGTTTACTTTGTTCTGAATTGAAACTGTCGCATCCTTTTAGGATCTATCAACTTTAAATCTGGATGAATCGCCTGTTTGCTTTTTCGGGTACTATAATCAAATGTGACTGAAAGCATCAGCATTCGACTTATTCTATCTTGTTTCCAATTCTCTGGGTTAACATGTTGTTGTAGATGGTACTTAGAAATACCATACTGACATGATCAAAAGAATCCGAGAGAACTGTTTGCATGAATGCCGTGATTTTATATGCAACTAGTATGCGGAAGCTTATGTAAATAACCCGACTGGTCACATGGTGGGCAGACTTAACGTGCTATACCGTCTATTCAAGTGTTTGTTCCGATCAATCTTTTACAATTACTTGCCTCTTAGGTAGTCAGTAAAAACTGCTTTTGTTTACTGTTTGCCTTACTGGATATAAAATACGCTAACTGCATACAAGTAGTTAGATATTTGACTTTCTTTGCTTTCTGTTTGACGTTTTGAAACTACATTGATTAACAAATAATGCCAGTCAAAATGATCACATTATTTGTGTTTTGAAGCATATTTCTGTTATCATTGTAGTGCAGAAATACTGTGCACTTTGAAAACATATAACCTATAATTAGTATGGAATGCATATAATGCACATAGCGTGTCCTGAATAAGTGATTTTATGACTCAGTAAAGCTTAATTTACACTAAAACCAGTAAATAGATAGGCTTCCAGTTTTCGTAGTCTATATACACATACTACTGTCGCATGTTCACAATCAATCAAGCATAAGTCTTAAACCCAGTTTTTGCTAGCATTCACAAGCAAGGCATATTTATAATCTTTGGAAAACTTATTTTCCCGGAAGGACTCGAACCTGGGTCATTCGGAGCTGAAGTCAAAGATTTTACCACTAGGCTATTCATGTCACCGTCGAGCTATTGTAGGACTAGAGCATACACACGAATTGATCCCGAGATAAAAACCAACACAGCTGTCAAGTTGTAGGTGCTCCCCACTGGCTAAAGGTTGCCATCAGGTGACCCGTATATATATATATATATATATATATATATATATATATATATATATATACGAATGCATAGGACAAACTAATTAGTTTTAATGATTATAAGGCAAATAGCTTGCGTACATTCCCTCTGTCATACATTTTAAATAACATTGTTCTATTCGATTTCAGTTGTGTGCAAAATAATTCTATGCAATGTCTTGTGAAGTTATTACAAATTGGTTTTCAAGTAATCCCAGTCACTTCCTCCGTATCTTCTACTCTCTGCTCATCGTTATCACAGTCGAAAACTCTAGAATTAGATGGTAACCAAGAAGGTAGTAGTGATTACAGCAGTTTCGACTATTCATCTTCTGTTGGTATGTTAAAAGTTTTAGTTGAAGAATCCAGCTCTATACGAAAGCAAAAATTATGGATTGAATCAGTGTGTTCAAATGAAGAGAGTGCTATTCATGCTGCTATACGTTTGGGTCGTAAAGAAGCTATTGAATTAATAATTCAGGTAAAATTAGGACAATTTATTTTTGAATGATTTCGATGACTCAATTTTTTCATTTGTGTACTCTACTCATCTTGATTAGGTTACCAATACATTGTAATATACTCTTTCTTTAAGCAGTACTATTTATAAGATTCTGCGTTCGGGAACAGTAAACCTAAGAGAACTAATTAGGTTTGAGCTGTTTTTATGGTTTTCTCTAGTAAATTTTTACCTTCTACCATATCCTTAAAATTAAAACACAAAAGCACCCGATACTAGCCGTATTTCTTAATTTGATTCGTTCAACTTGATCTTTGTTATTCGGTTTAATTAAATAATTTTTGTAACTATCCAATATAGTTAAACAAAAATGTACAAATTATGTAATTATTGGACCTTAGGATCATGAACCGTAATCGGAACTTGTTTATTGAATCCATTCTGATTTTTTTTCACGTATTATGATATTTATCCTGTTTTCGCTATGCGATGCTGTAATTATATATTCCCTGATAAAACTTGAAAATATTTTTGTCATTTACTTGACAAGATTCTGTAATTGATCTCTCCTGTTTGATCATACTTTCACACTTCCTGTGTTCCAACATAGAAGTTGGCTATTCCCTTTCTGTTTTTAAAAAGCATTCAACAAAATAATAAGAAGAAGCAGGGTAAGTGAAAAGTGTGATGTGTGAGTGCAATACATTTCGAACAATAAAGTCATACACTTGGTAGGCATATCTATATGAAATATAACAAATGAATTTAAACAATATTCGATATAATATAAAGGGTTAAATTGTTAGTTTACAGGTCAAATTATAGGTGGGAAGAGAAAGATTATGTACAAACCGTCCTTGATATTGAAGCCGAGGTTTAATGTGACAGTAACTCAGCAGCGGCATTGAATGGAGGTTGCGCTATATCCTGAACTGACAAAAGTAGGAAATATGGACCATTGGATTCCGATCCAATGGATGACCTCAGAACCCAAAGGTCTTGGGTTCGGTGTCTTATGGGGTCATGGGTGCGCACTGCTGAGGAGTCCCATACTAGGACGAAACACTTGTCCAGTGTTTCCAATGTTTCTACAACTGACGTCAGTTCATGATGAGTGCCAACGTGAATTCAATAAACAAATCCCCACAAACCTGAAAATTGAGTACAAGAAAAAGGTCTAAAATTCCTGATAGCTGGAGTTTCAACCAAGCTAAGTACTTGGCTCCAATACCTTTTGGAAATCGGTTTGAAAGATTTGTATATAACAACCCTGTGACCTTAGTGTAGGTGTAAAACTTGGGCACTGTGGTAGAAATTAATTCCATATTAGATTTGTTTATTTGATTTATAACATACAGTGATCTAGTATTATCTATTTGATGACGTTTCGACCATAAATTATTGCTCATAATCATATCAATGTAATCACGCTACTTTTGACATTTGATTTTTATAGTTACGTCACTTCATATAAGTTGTTTTTATTGGTGGCAAAATTTTCCATATCTCTGGTATAGGTGTGCGTCATTTTTATTACATGTGTTGAGTGTTGATTCGATGAACAAAGATTCAGTAATCAATCTCTCCACCTAAGTACAGTGACTTTATCCCACCCAATAGGGTGGGGTAATGAGATGGGGAGAGAGAGATTGGTTACTGAATCTTTGTTCATCGAATAGAATGGACTGTTCCATCCTGTGTAAACACGAACCGTAGTGTCCTCATTCCTTTAATTTCTCTTTATATATTTTTGTCTTTTCAAACTTCAAAAAATTAGTGGGATCCAGGTTCACTGAGTGTTGTTCTTCCTGGTACAGGAATGGGAACTTTACCTATTCATATTGCCTCTGCTTTTGATCGTGTGGAGTGTTTAAAACCTTTATTGATAAGTATGGATAAACGCGTACTTGATATCGAGAGTCATCATAATGGAAACTCTCACTTCCTAGTTGGTGAAAATTGTTGTGCATTATTTTCTTGCAGGATACACGGATCACCAGCTTTGTACAAATACTATTATTGGTGAGTCAATACAGACACTTAATCGACTTTTACCTCAACGTATATGACTTTTTACATGACTTCAATGTAATCCTTTTAAGTACAAACTTCTTTGCTTTGTTTGTTAAAAAAAAATTTGTTTGTATATATTAATTTGAGAAAATGAAATGCACTCATCAACCTTGTGCACGTCCGTACGGTAGACAATAAACCACATGTATTGTGTCAGCCCTGATGATAGTGCCTAGCTGCCGAACTTCGGCAGGTGAAACGGTGCTTGGATCCATGACCTGTTGATTGAAAGTCATCTTTTTAAGACAATAAGCAACAACTTCACTACTCGCATTGCATCTATTGTATGTAAAAGAGGTTTGTAGAAAGTACTGATACGTTATTTACTGACTATGATATATGGACTTGGAACCTGAATATGAAGAAAATCAAATACCAAACAAAAATTTAATTAGATCATCTTTATTTGCGAAAATATGATTAAGTCATAACTTTGTAGACTCAAGAGTTGGATAGTGTACTTCGATCTACGATAAATTCTGAGGTAAGCGAGCTGATAGGTAAGCGATATAAATCAGTAGTTTCAAATCACACTGTTTTATAAAAATTCAAAAAAGATATTAGTGTTATTACATCATAGTTAACACTAGTTACTACAGAACTGTTCAAAAATTTTACACAGCATTACCAGATTTACTCTTCAGAATAACCTCTAAAAGAAAGCAACATGAAGCCCGATATGTCATTAGGAAGGTGGGAATGTGTTTAGTGCCTTCTCTTTCCTTTTTGTTTTCTTACTGTGTCACTTCCTTCCAAACTTTAATGGAGGTTTGACTTGTGGTCGATGTTTTTTAGGTTATTTCTAGTCTCAATCATGTCGTTTGCTATCGTATTCTTGCTTTTTATTCATAAATTCATCATTTCAAAATAGGATAGTTTCGATATATTAAACAGAATCAAATAGTGTTAGAGGTACACGAATTCTCATTGTAGTCGGACAAAACTCTTGGGAATCGGAGTGAACTTGGGTCGCTGGCATCAGTATACTATGTGGTAGTGCAGAGTGCCGTTTTTAGGGTCGGTCTTTCATCACCTTCCGTTCCTATGGGGAAGGCAACATCAGCATGACATTACTGGCCCTTTGCAGGAGACATCTTATTGTTATCATTCTCTCATCCAGCGGGCTAGACGACTTTGCCCTGGTACCTCTACCATAGCGTGAAGATTTACATTATTATTTAACACTATCCAACAGACCTTTCTGATGTGATAGCTTATGCTATTGCAGATACTTAGATGCTACATTCATTCTACACAATAACGATACCAACATTCAACATTGTTCCTGTATGAAACTGAGAAAAGTTGATATCTGTCAAGTCTTGATGCTTTGTCATCAGTAAGATCAGATGGAAGCTTTTGGCGCAGTATTATCTGTAAGAAGTCATGAATCAGTTGGTATATGAATTTCCGACCGTGTATCCCTTATTCTGGTGTTTCGAACTAGGAATATTTGCACAGATGACACATTGAGTTGGGAAATTAGAACTATATAAAATTCTTTATAGCGGAACGGTTAATTTGAAAAAGTTTTTGTCACGGGTTGATACAACTAAGGCAGACACTATCGAAGATACGATCTTATTGATATTTTTTCATTCAGAGAAGATGCAGTTAAGGAACTGTTGACTGTGGATCTCATAAAACTATTGGACGAAACTTACTTTTCAGTAACTCTATGTGTGAAATTTACTCCTCTTTGTATGATTGCAATTCAGTTGATGGAGTCATGTCGTACCTCAGTAATAATAACTACATCGGTAGAATGACTCGGTAATCCTGTCGTTGTTTTGTCAAACACTTTCCATAATTATAGTAATGATGGATAGTAGCTAGCTGTGGAATCCAGGATGCGCATTTCGTCCTATTTGGAAGTCATCAGCTGGATGTGCCTGCTTTCAGTGAGTGTTGTCCTTACCGGGATTCAGACTCAAGAGTGATTATCCACTACACCATCGAGCCATGAAAGCTACTTCTTGTGTGACGAGTATTGTTTTAGTATAATTACTTGTATTGTACCGTCGTTGATTGGACCGAATTGATCCATCTCTATAATGTTTGGGTAAAGGAACAATGAAGTTCATCAAAACCTCTATAGCTACCTATCTTGGGGATATTCAGCATTAAGATTGACAAAGTTTAAACCTTTGTTATCCCACTTACAGTGCCAGAATGACTGTCTAGTTTTGTTCACCTCCGGTTACTAAACACAACAGGGAAATGAGCAGTTAAAAATTTCCAGTTTGTGTTAGTTCTGTCGCTTTCTCTTCTGTGGCTTTCACCTTCCCCAGTCAAACTGGGTAGATGTAAAGTATTATCTTTGTTTGTATTAGTACGATCATCATCATCGTTATACTTTTTCTTAATTTTAACTTTATATATATATATATATATATATATATATATATATATATATACCCTTGGTTTCATAACTTACTAGCATTTCAACCTTTGCCACAATAATTTGTTCCTCTCTACCCTTACACATCATAACCAATCTACAAATACATACATGATAACTGACAACTGAAATTATATAAACTCTTGCATAATTTTGTTATTGTTGTTCTCAAATTCATCTACTCAAACTTGAATTTTTTTAACCTTAATGGTACCTAGTGTCTATGTTGAATAATTTCTATGCTTAATTGTGACTTCTGTCACATTTTTGTCTATAATTATTACAACAGGAATATTTAAGGTAATAAAGATCATGATGAGAACAGATTTTCCTCGCAGCAACTAAAAAATAAGTATTAATTTACATGAGACATTTGAGACAAACGAGCAAAACAAAGAAAGATAATTTTGAAAATAGAGATAGGAAAGATCATACAGATATATCATGACTACAGTTTAAAATTCTGTTGCTAAATTGATGATGTATATACGTGGATTTTAGGACTGTGTATGTCTACAATATGTATCCTGAATCAATAAAAAGATGCAAAATTGAACTTGTGAATGATTACAACCCTTTCAAGGTTAGGGTCTTCAGAACTTAGACAGATGAATGAAAACTCATCATTTTGCCTTTCGAAATATTTGCTATGGAAAGTACATGTGGATTCATAAACACAGATTAACTTGACACGGATAAGATATTTGTCTGCTTTTTGCGTTGAATATGTCTCGGGTGGTTTTGATTCTTCTTTGCATCTTTAAACTATATCCAGTATTTAATTATTTGCCTTACTTTATTCATATTCCAGTATTGATCAATTTGACTGCAATAACATGACCGCTTTTTTGTTGGCCATAATTCACGGTCATGTTAGAATTGTACGTGAATTGTTAACGTTTACAGTGAAAGCTATGAAAATAACCGTTTGTTTAAGGTCTAATAGAGTCAGTACTGATCATGAAAATATCGATGAAAATGCTAATCTAGTTATAAAGAAGCCTACTTCATTTGATGACCAGCATAGTTTACCTGATAGTTGTACAAATACAATCTATTCAGATGTCTGTCCAATTGATATATATCGAAAAATTTCAGGGTGTTGGTATTTTGGAACTTCAGTTGACGGTGATAATGATGACAATAATGGTAACCATTCCGCATCAGTCATCTACAGTCGACCTATGATAATTATTAACCCCCGATGTCATCAAAGCTTAGAAGGTTATGCGATATGTGGATATTTTAATGCTCTACAACTTTCTGTTATGACTGGGTAAGTTACTCATTTTTTATACTTACTTTAGTTGTGTATTAACAATACTATTACTATAATAATGATCACCCACTAACCTCGAAATTTTGTCGATTCATTTCATGTGTCAATTTGGCTGCAGCCATATTGACTAGTCTTATGGTTACGTTGAAGTTGACTGACCAAGGGTCATAGGAAGTTTATGAGACCAGTTAACACTCTACTGTGTTGTTTCATGTATACTGGTAAGTATTTTAAGAGGATGATCGTCAAGATTGTGGGAACCAACTGCAGTCAGAATGAATCCAGGATTAACGTGTCCGTCTGTAAACTTTATCGATATGTGATGTTCTAATCCCTATAATGATTTGGAGATAGATACCTATGCTTTTTTCTCGAAACGAAAACGCACTCAGCCACCTCATACACATTCGTGCAGTAGGTAGTGAGCCACACTGATTGTTTGAGGGCTTGTTATAATACCTGACTGTCCAGACCTCAGTAAGGGTGGGGCAGAGTTCAAGCCCATAACTGCCTTTCAGTTATCAAAATCACCGAAACTACGTATGGTCCTTCCTAATTACCTCCAGTTATTTCTCACAAGCAGTGAAAAAACGAATTCAGGCTCTATTATTTATTTTTTGAAGGCTTAAGATAATGTGAAAGGGTTTTGTCTTTTCATATCACGATTAGAAAGTATTATAATTTAGTGTACGTCGAGTTTACTTTTTTGCTTACCAGTTAGTCACGGTAATGTAGTATTCATCACAGACTGATATCAGTTGAAGAGCCATTAAAAACTTCGAAGCACTATATGTATATGTCTGTTTTATTCTAATTTAGGACTCCTATGCAGCAACCACTCACGACCCCACCGTGGATGGAAAATGGCTGGAAGAAGACTAGAGGTGACCATACTAAAATATAACATTAGTTACGGAAGTCTTTGACTGCTGATCTGAGCCGCGTAGGGGAATGTAAACTTCCCAGTTGTAGTCCAAGCGATAACAGAAACGAGACTGTATGTGACATGATTCAGAATCAATCTCATTGACGGAGATGTCAACACACTTTATCTTCATCTTTATCGTCACAGTATTTCCTCGTTCTTCTTACCTCTATTTTTACTAATTTCTACCACTTTGACCACTTCCTTCTTTATTGCTTTTTCTTTCATGTTATATATTGTATCTTCTCGGTCTTCATGTACTTTATCGTGATTTTCAAAAGCTATATCATATCATTTGGAGTCAGTGTTTATTACAACTTATGAAGAGACGATGTTTCTCTCTGCTGGCTTGATGCATACTTTAGGCTATCAAACACTAGGAAGTATTCATTTTATCTGGCCTGTTTTGTATCAATCCAGTCACTTTGGAATTTATTATTATTATTATTAGTCCCTTGGGTTCCTAGTGGAACATAGGGCTTCAGTAGCACGCCTCCAGTGACCTCTGTTCTCTGAGATCTTTTGAACCTGGTCCCACGACAGCCCAGAAGCTCTCATTTCCTGCTCGCACGACCTCCTCCATGTCACCCTTGGAATTGAATGGACTGAATTGAATGTAGCTAAATGACCGTGTGAGTTTTTATGCTTCTGTTAATGATCTACACCGAATGTAAGTTGGGCTGATGGTATTACTTGACAGCCCAGATCTCAGTAGGTGGAGTGAGACTTGAACTTATGACGCAATAGTCAAAAGTCGATTGCTTATCTCAATAATTATGGCTCAACCAGGTGGAGATATCATGTTATTCAGGGTGGGAATAAGTTGGGATAGGGGTTAAGGTGGTTAGACCAAGATAACAAAGTAACAATCCAGGATCTCTGACTACTGGTCTAATCATTGTGCGAAGGTGTAGGCTACCTAGGTGAGGTCGTCCAAGTGTTTGTAATTAGCAGCTGTAGAATTTTTGACATGACTTTAAATCGATCACCGTGGTGCGGATTTACTCAGTCTTTGTCATCTAAATTTTGAAACTTTCATTAACCCTTACTTACCTTTCTCTCTTCTTCTACTTTATCGTTTCTGTTAGTCTTTTTTCCCTGTTTTTTAAGTATGGCGACCTTTACAAATTCACTTCTGCCTAAGGTTCTACAACGCTTTGTTACATATACAGTAGTCGAACTATTGATCACATTCCCTGAATTTTATTTTCTTGTGGTGGTCGCACTTCATAAAACATTGATTTTAATGAAAGAAAAACATCAATTGTGAGGTATATTCCTAGTTTTGTGGCTAAAAGTATGTGAATTGTAATTTATGCTCTGTGGCACTGTTCATTTTCAACTGAAATGTTAGTTTTATTTATCAGCTGGATAGACAATTAGAATAATAGACGTTCAGGACGGTCTCATCGGGTCAAAGTGTCATACGTCGTAGTGATAAAGGCTGAAGGGTTTTAAAAAGCACAAAACATGTTAGACGAGTGACTTAAAACTATTCGACAACAACTCTCTCAGATGAATAACTTCACTTAGGGTTGTGTAATTAAAAAAAATCAAGTGTAACCTTTGTAATCGTATGTATATTCCTTATCTGTTCCTTTCTATGTTTTTTTTAGAAACTGTAAATTGGTGTCAGTTGTGGTAGATTATCTTCGTCAGGAGGTTAATACATACTGTACATCATGTATACATGGCTATTGTTACATTCAAGAGGACTGTTCATCCTCATTGCCATCATCACCAGCATTGTCAGCATCCTCATTTTCTGCACCTCATCTGACTAATTGGAAAACTTCAGTACAGTCGATTATTACATCACCACTTGGCTTGGCTTGTTGTTTAGCTGAAGCCGATGAAGTTGTAAGTAGATGAAAGTGATGCATCTTTTATCGCTTTTTTTTAAAATTCACTGTTACTCAATACTGGTGGTATATCTTTCGTTCTTAATTATTGAGAAGTATTGATCAGCAGGTTTTGCAGTGATCATTCACTTTAATTACAAAGTTGAATGTTTGGAAAATTCCTTGCTCACCCATGGCATATATGCACTACATTAATTTTTTTTTCAAAAAAAAACGGTACAGCGTGGGTATCAAGAAATGCATCATGGAAAATAATGTAGCAACACTAAAAAGACAAAAATGTAATATCGAAAAAAGAAAAAAAGAGTGGAAATAAGAACAGAAATAAGTTATTGAAAAACTGATCTTAATGATGCATTCAAAGAACTATTCGCTACTGTCGTTTTACTTTTAACTAATAAAAGAGACAAGAAAACTACTGCATAGTCGCCACTGGTTTCGATTCTGAACCGTGTCTTCTGTCGTCTCAAACCATTGAATCGCATAATCTTGTTGTGACTTTATCTAGTAGAAATTGTCTAAAGCACTTTGATTCTGCCGATTCAGTCTCTATGCTAACTTCGCACGTGATTAGTGTGGCGTATACTTCCTGCGTCTCGTATGCTCGCTTCACTCACATGAAGAGTAGCGCATCTTCATGCAAAAGAACACAAAGTTCAGTGCTTATTGTCCGTATCTATTAGGTGGTCTAAATTATCTGTATATACAATTAAATTTCATTTCCACAATGCTCTATAATTCGTAATAATTAATAAACCGATTTTTATGCAAAGATTGAGATAATATACAATAATGTTGTCATTACTATCGTTGTTATTGTTATTATTATTATCTGTTCTTTAGCTTCCTAGTGGAACACAAGGCTTTAGTAGCACATCGGCATTTCACTCTGTTCTCTACAGTCTTTCCAACCTGGTCCCACAACTGACCAGAAGCTTTCATCTCTTCCTCACACGATCTACTCTATGTCACCTTTGACTCAGACGCCCTTTGGGTTCCACTCGACGATCTGGCCTGGGGCATGATGTCCCCAATAGGTCTTCTCAGTGTACGCTCGATCCAATCCATCTCCACTTCCTTCTACAAATTTGTTGAGCGATGAGTTCTTGGTTGGTTCGTTGCCAGCCAGCTAGAGTTCCTTGTTGCTTATTCTTACTATTCTGGCCATCTGATCTTCAGTGTCAGTATCGAGTGAGTGTAGGGGGCAGCTGTTGATGAGTGTCTGTAATTTGTTGGAAATGCTTTTCGTGACACATCAAGTTTCTGAACCATCTCATAGAAGCACTGACTTGATATTAGTGTTGAAAATCCGTATCTTGTTCCACATAGTGAGTGCAGTAGATGTCCACACTGATTTCAGATTAAGGAAGGCCTGTCTTGCTTTTCCGATCCTGGTTTTGACATCCTCGTCTGTACCTGTGCCAGCTCTAGTTGAAATGATGCCGCCTAGGTAGGTGAAAGAGAAACAATAACAGGTTTCAATCAACATGGAATTATTTCTTAAACATAAGTGATACAGAGATAGATGAGCAGTCAGTCGAGAGCTCTTGAACTGAGCTATACCAAATAGGTCATGCGTAAAATAATTTTTAAAAGAAACAAAATAATACGACGTTTAATACTTACCTGATATTCACGTTTTTACTTTTTGGCCCATGTAACAAATCTCTTGAGACCCATCCAAGAAATTGTGAGGTACCAACAGATATTAGCCTAGCACAAATATCCTTCGTACCTTGGCGCCATATCATACACTGGCCACCTCTCCTCTTCTTTTTATAGTGAGCGATTTAGAAGACACTGTGACGAAATACGCAAAAACATCCAAGCTAGTGAAATTGGCATTTCAAGATTATCTCGCTCTACGAATGACTATCTTCATCGTATATATACACCTACCTCCTTATTTTATAATTGTTTACATGGTACTTCCACCTAACGCCTGAAATCTTATGTAGACAACAGTGCTCGAACACACAGTCGTTGGATATCTTCAGCTCAGAGAGGTCAGGTTTCACAGGTATAGATCACAACTACCCACACTGACGCGTTGTATATCCGACCTTTTACAGCAAGATTAGTCTCATACAGTGCCAAAGGTGACCTAAATTGGAGTATACCACTCTAACGTTCAATATACATTTGGAAATCTCGCCAGCCATTCCTCCAGTAACGCTAATACAATTACTAAGCGACAAATTTCTTGATAAGTCTCAGCGCTCATATGCAAGCAAGAGTGAAGTACAGGCTCCTACCAGTCCTGTAGCAGCACTTAATGTTTCTAAGATGTAAAGCATATACCATACTTACGGACACTCATCGGTAACTGACAGTGCGATTTGGGTATCTTTCATGTTGTTGTATAATAAAAAGGAACTTGAATACTCAAGGTTAATCATTCTGCCCAGTAACAAGGTTTTGCCGCCACCAGCGCCATGCACTCCCTTTAGGGTTGTTTTGAGAATGTCATCCATGCTCAAGTTAAAAAGTAGTGGCGAAATTAAGTGGTTTTACCTAATCCATTGTTGGTTTGGAACAGTGGAAAGAAGTAGCTGTGTGCCCTCAGTGCATCCAGCACAGGGCTTTCAACGTGTTAACCAACTTTTCAAGAATACTCTTATCTACTAGAAAACTCCAGAGTACAGCCCCGTCCATCGAATCAAAGAAATACCGTCCAACTCACGGACCGTCTTAATAACAGCAGCTTTCTTCCTTTCGGTGACTTGGATGATCTATAATAACTTCAAACTGCTGCAAAACGCAGTTGCTACTTCCAACTAACTCTCCCACTCTGTCTATCAAGCCTCTTGGATCCTTGGTAGTTGCTGTGCAACTTGTCACATACAACTCACGCTATCTGTTGAAATAGACCGACGAGGGTCTAGAAATTGCTAAGAGCTCGTAGACGCTCGATGTTTAGTGGTGGCCGTTCTTCATAGCTACAGACAGCTTTACTCACCAGTTTCGTGGCGTCTTATTTTAGATCTCAGATATACCGACTAACCAGTCAGAGTACGTTTCCTCTCGAAGTTCATTTTTAGCAACCACCTCAATGGATATAATCTGTGTAGTGAAATCGTGATTTTGAGGTGCTTAGCTCAACACATTCACTAATATTACCATCACTCCTGACATTCCAGCTACGCTGCGTATGCTAAGTGTTTTTTCCCCCGAGATATTTAGAGAGAATTATACTATTTCAGTCATTCGTTGCTTGCTCATTAAAAATAAAAGGTGGGAAAAACCTCATAACTTATTGTTACCCAGTCATTGTTAAATATTATTTTTTATGTACAGTCGGTTATGTTTATGGTAAACAGGATAAGTAAGTTTATAAACGGAGAAAATTACTTGCAGCAATTCTGTATTTGACTAGGACTCGACAAGCGTTCAAACTGCACCTGTCAAGTAGTTTTCCTTTCAAGACTAAGATAAGACTATTTGTAGCTTAAACAGTTAATTGTTGTTATTGCTGAATTTATTCTAGTTAGCACTTTTTAGAACTCACAGTTAACTGTTATAATGTATTGATTATTGATTACTGATACCTTAATTTTTATCGTTTTATGTGTTTTGTGTATGATTTTTGCCATTGTAGAAAGCTGTCGAAATCGCTTCGATACTATTAAAAGCCGGTGCAGTAGACGTGAACAATCAATTATTTGTGTATACAGTAAAGAAATCACATCATAGACTAGCTGGGTTACTGTTAAGTTTTCAGACATTGAAATTTCATCAACTGAAGGAAAATACTGAAACGGCAGTGAGTAAAGTTCAGGATGAAGAGGAGGAAGGGAAAGAGAAGAGAGAGGTTATTGGACATTTGAATTTATCTGATAAACCACTACAACCGTCAGTAATTCCAAACTCATTTTGGTATTTCAGTTCAATTATACCACTGTGGATTAAAATAATCGAAGAGGTATTCGGGTTATGGACAACTGAATCACTGACGTCGTCACCAGCATCATCATTACTAAAGCTACAATCTCTTGTTATGAAAGAAAACAATACTGACATATACACAAGCATCAATAATTTATTTACGTCATTACCATCTCCTTCTTTCAAGATTAATTATGTGAACTACGTATCAAGTCAGACGATTACACGTATCACATTGTCGAATTGTGGTTTACAAACCCTTCCATGGTGTCTGTTTAGTTGTGTCAAAAATCTAAAGGTAACTTTTTTTGAAATTGTAGGATGGATCTGTCTAAACTCTTACATTATTGTTATTATTGCTTCCATTTCATGAATGATTTCGAAATAAGTTCCTTACAACACGGACTGTTCATTGGATAGTAGTCGACGAAATTGTTAAATTCCGAGTGTTCAACACTGATTGAGGTCTATCGATCAAGTTTGCGAGATGAAAATTAGGCTAGGTGACACGACACTACATTACGGTATCAGATGCTAAGAGTCAATTTTCAGGAAGCTCTACTTGACTTAGCCTTCTTGTGTCGGTACTCTCGATTAGTGCATGTCTGCAACCGTGAGGTGATTCATGTTCCTGTAGAGATTCCGTTACGTTTCTTTAGGCAATCCGTTTACATAACACAGACTTGTTGGGAGATCGGTGATGATTGTATTGTCTGGATGTTAGAGTCTCTGATTGAAACATTTAATGTTGCAGGTCCTAGTTTCAAAGTAAACGTTAGTTTTACTAAAGGCAAAGTTAAGCTTTGCTGATGTTCGCCAGCAAAATGAAATCTGGGTCACTCAGGACCATTTGTGCAATGACTTCTTACTAATTCAAGCATTTGTTTCACCTACGTTTTCGTAAAACTCTAGAAACGTTTGAAGGTGAGGTAAATTCAAATATAACGCGTATTTTAAGCTGACTAAATCATAACCTTGGCTAAGAAGTAGAACTGTGCACCAAATAAAAGCGAATTGTAGGAATAAGATGACTTTTGGTCATCAAATAGATAATCTGTAGCAATGTAGAATTTGACACAAAGAAGCTATCACTTGGTGATCTAACGATTACGTTTACCTATTTGGTTAATACTTTACACTCACTCTATTTACATCAATTTAAACAGTAGGGTGGTATCGCTAGTTTTTATGCGATCAGGGCGGCTGATTATCCAGTGAACGAACCTACTTGAGATTGTTGATTGGTATTGGATTTTTAGAAGAGGCTTTCGTAATGTTGAGATGCCTCACTTTGTAAATAAAATAGCGATGACGAAGCAAAAAGGCAGAAAAGTTGATAACGATGATATCACAAAGGAGAAGCAATTTCAGAAATGCGAATGCGAACTGTTTGTGTAGAAAAAATACAGAAGAAAAGAATAAGATGAAGAATGGGTATGTGTGTGACATACTGACCGAGTTTTATTCGTACCACATGAATTTTATAGCTATTGGTCACTTAACTAAGAAGGCTTATAGTTCTTCAAGGAATTTAGGCCTTATATCGTGCACTTTATGGATTACTGCTACGCTCCTCGATATTCATCCTTAGGCTTTTCCTCTTCTTCTCCTGGTCCTTCTAGCGTAGTATGCTGATGTGACTGCTTATACGCCTTGTCTACCTATTCGATGCAATGCTGCAACTTTATGAGCTGTTTCACTCCCTCCTATTGGTAATATCATCTTAACTGCAACACTGCGAACTCTATGATTCCATTACACATAATAAGTATCCTCAGGGCATCGATAATCAAATATTTGTAGCCTTTTACCTTCAACGACGCTGTTATGTTAAAACCGAGGTGACTGTCTAACACTGATTCAAGTTTTCCCACAACGACTGAATATCTCACCAGTCTATCTGTTAGACAACTTCACTCTCTCTTGGCAAACTATGAACCTGTCTACTTCCCATTTGAATGAACAACTAATATTCTTTTCGATAGTTGCTTCTTCACATCGTACAATTATATGTCCATATTGTGCAGTTTTTGTCAACGAAATTCAGATTTGTTTAACAGTTTGTTATAATACAGTGGAGGGATTCTCTTCAGAAAGGTCTTGTGTGAACGGCAATGTCATAATCAATTATTACTGTAATTTAGTTCAAACTAATTGACTATATAAACGCTTATACTGCATATGTAACACTATAAAGTGAAAATGAGTCATATTAACTTCAATAACGAAAATTATACGAGTAAAGCCTATGGTAAGCAGAAGGGGACTTCAAATGTGCTGGAGTTTAGATGTTAAATCGGATAAACAATGACAGTTCCATAAAAAAAACGCTAGGTGGGTGTGCATGAAATTAGAATGCAATGAACAGATATAATTTGAGGAATTTTAGGTTAGTAAGTTGTTACTTACATTAAGGGAACTAATAGTTTAAGAGAGTGTGATCAAATTATTTCAGATTATAGGGATCAGGGAATATCTACATAAAATGTGGAAGTTGAGAATTAGTTTACGGGGCTAGGATACTCAGGAATTTGTGAGTCCCGAACGGGGCCAAGATAGTTGTTGCTCAAACATCTGCTTTTGATGAAAAAATAACTCGGATTGTGTAATCGTGAATGCTAGCGCTTTTGGAATTTGAAGGATTCGGAGCCGGGTGCCTTGTGGTAGTTTGATGGGAACTCGATAAATAGTGGAAAACGACCTATTCATACCCACCATTTGGTTCGTTTGAACTAAGTGTGCTAATATAAACCTGTTAATGGTGTTTCTTACACCTGGGAGATGTTCATGAGTACGGCTGGCTCCAGAAGAGCAGTTGAACTGACAAACGCGAAGTGAAGTGGTCAGTCTAGGTAATTCATCTTTTAGTCCATTTCGCTTGTGCAAAGCGTTATTTGTAGGTTACCAGCACTAAAGGTTCTTTGACATGGACAGAGCGTATAGTAAAATAATTCTCTAATTTTAGTTTCAAGTGTTTGGAAAATCATATTGTGTGAGTGTTTTTATGATCTCTGTGTTGTATATTATGAAGGCTGAGGAACAGGTAAAACCATGTGTTCTTGATGATGTGAAGTGATGTTAAGATTGATGCTCTATTAACTCAAAAATAAAATGAATTCATGGAATTTTGAATCTGTGGCGCTCAAGAATTATCTTTTTAAGCCGATCTTATTCTGACTTTCGGGAAATTTTGTTAATGCAGATTTACATCTATTTCTTAAAGAACTTTGTTTTGGTAACTCTGAGGTGTAGAAAAAAGCGCAACAAGAACATTCCAGGTCCAACCTTTCGGTGTCATTCCTTCTAAAAGGAGAACAAATCATGTATGAGACTACTAGTCATTGGGTAAAATGAGCGCACTCCTATTGTACCTCTGTCTTACACATAGAGGGTCTTCATTCTCAGGGTGTGTTACAGCGAAACGTTTTCATACTGTGATAGTATTTAATTTGAAACCTCCCACTTTCAGAAGACTTTTCTGTATATGTAAATGTCAAGGAATGGTCGTTTTAGCCAATGCATGTTGGCTCTGTGGCAGTAATAAGTACTGTTGATTGTTATTCTGGGTGTAATAACTACAAGTTACGCCACGATTGTTCACGTTAAGCCAAACTGTTTTGAAAGATAGTCACCTACTAGTTTATGTCTCATTTTTATATATTTTAGGAATTAGATCTGAGTAAAAATTCTATCCAAAAGCTGCCCAAACAGCTGCCCAGTGTTCCACTTTCCTACCGAAGGTCTCAGTTGACTGGTTGTTGCTGGACGGACAGTCTTACTTATTTGGATTTATCAGAGAATCATATCGAGTACTTGCCTTCATGGTTATTTGTTAATAAAACTCATCCATTCACATCATCAAATGAAGCAAAGTTATCAAATGAGGAAGAAAAATCCAGTAATGATAATAATGCAGCCTCTGGTTGTGGAAATGAATGGAGTTATAAGAATTCAGCTAAAAGTACTCATTTCTATATTTCTCGTCGGCGACATTATTCAGAAAGTGAAAATGATACCAATTCCTTTTCAATATATCATAAAATAATGGGAAAAGATTCATTTGCACCGAATCTTTTGTATTTATTATTATCAAAAAATAAATTGCGTACACTACCCAGTGAAGTATGGAATGGTTCAGTTCTATGCAAATTGCAGTTTCTTGATTTAAGTTGGAATAAAATTTCTTATCTTCCTCTACCTCATTTATTGAAAACACAATTTGAACGTTCCAAGCAGTTATATAAACAATTATCAAACATGAAGGTAAATGATAGTACTGACACATACACTCATAATGTATCTTTATGTGAAGAAAAAGGTCGAAACAATCGATGTCTTCAACTGTTTGGTAAAGGGTTTCTTAAGTTATTTGTCTAGACTAGCAGAGAACTTAAGTTACTGGGAAATCTAACATGGCCGATTGGAGGTTCCAAGATATAAAATACGCTATGCGGATATAGGAGGATATTTCGATGTAGAGGCTTCATTTACGTGTATTAGTGTAATTAATTTTCAACTACATTGGCCAGTTTCACCAGGCAGCTACCTATTTCTGTGACCGTTCGGTTGCCAGTTACCAAGCCTGTTTTCTTCTACATGATTCAAATCGACAGTTAATGATTCTGAAAATTGTTCTTAGTATCTCGAGTTTCTTGACTTTCTAACTGGAGCCTCAGTCATCATCTTAATAAGGTAGACGATGACTATCTAATGCATATCCCAGCAATATGAGTGACTGTAGATCCCCAGTTTCACTAACTTTCCTTACCGACCTAAAGTTATGTCCCTTCTTTAGTCAGTAATCAAAAAAACCGTTTCCTATTTTATGCTTTCAACGAATGATTGACTCATTTCTGTTAGTCTGTAAATTAGTTGATGATATCACAAAAGAGCGAAACTGACACTTGTATGAAGAGTATACTTGTCACCTTTAGATGGAAAGCCTACTGACAAATATATTGCCTAAAATACTAATATTAGTCTTCAGTTGCGTCATAACTGTGTTTGGATATGGATTTTTGCTTGTATTACTACTGAAAACGATTTGCTTAGTCATCAGTGTTGAAATCATATGCATATGTGGGCATTACTTTGTTCCTAATATGATAAAGATGTTTATGTCAGGTTCTTTAAAAACAGTTTTGACTCGATTGTAGGTGGTTTCTTCCTATTTTGAACTTACCTGCATCTCAATGAATGATGATGGTCCCACTGAATAACTGTCTAGTGTTTGAAGCGGTGAGTGCTAAGTTCTAGTTTCAGTGAGGACACCAACACACTGGGGATGCATGTACATCCATCTGATGAGTCTCAGACGAGATGAAGTACTCATTCTGAATTTACACTGCTCATCACCATTTATCAAACTACATCATAAGCAGTCGAGATATTTAAAAACGAGTCACTGTATCAACAGAGATCAGTTCTTAGTACTTGTTGATATGCTTGTGACTCTCCGTTGTTTTACTGGATCAAATTGTTCAACTTCTATTGACATATGGGCTCCTACACGGATGCCTCGATATTACCTGAATGTTTATTACGATGATTTTTTGGGTTGTAGCTAGCAGAGGAATTAAGGGCGTGCGTTTTGTCCTGTTTGGGACTCATCAGTTGGATGTTCCTGCATCCTAGTGAGTGATGTTCCAGCTGAGACTCGGGCCTCGTACCCATCGCTTCAAATGCCAGGGCGTTATCAATACTAGGCCACTGAGGCACGATAGCCACCTCTTTTTGTTATGCTTGTAGTTCTCCGTTATTTTTTTGGATCGAATTGTTCGACCTCTATTGGCATATGGGCTCCTATGCGGATGCCTCAACTAAGTAAATTATTAGAGATCAGTTCTGTTTAGTATAGTCATCAATGGGAAATTAAAATTATCGGTAAATAACGAAACTGTTCTGAAATGTTGGTTGGTACTTCTTGTAATGTTTTTCGGGATTAAATTGGTCGATGGAAAACCTTTGTAGAGTTAAGATTTATTGTAAAAGCCAATCATGAAGGGTATTTCGTTATCATCTTCGAATACGGTAAGTTAAACTTACCTTTATGTTTAACCAAAGTATTCAGCTTTACCGTACTTCATCGAACCTGTCTCTGTTTTTTTTCGTTTAGAATGTGATAGTAGTTATTTATAAGAAACATAAAGGCAGTTTCAGATTAGAAGTGAATTTCCTTTGGAGAATCATTGAAACAGTGGAGCACTGGATAGTTGTTTGATCCTAGTGTGAAACTCTTAAGCGATGCTCAGTCACAACCATATGAAGGATTGAGCCCGAGCCCGTCAGATCTAATGGTGAAAACATTACCATTCAACTACTGGGTTTATATTGAATGGTCTACATATCCTAACTTTTATCATCTATCATCCAATGTCGTAGGCGAGTATTTATCCTCATACCCAACTTTAATCACCCCACAGGTTGTGACTTCTCTGCACAACCCGGGCAACTTATCTCGAAGCAAGTCATATCAGTTAGTCTTAACAAAACATCAATTAAATTGCTGTGTAGTGCTTATTAGTAACTTACTTTTAGAGGAAGGTCTTTTGAGTTCATTTCATTCAAGTTATTGGTTTACTAATCAGAACTATATATAATTACTGTTTCCTTATCTTAGTCATATACCTTGGTTCTAATTATTATGCATTTGATTTCACCGACAGAAGAATCTTGAGTTGAGATTGATAGCTGTATAGTTTACGAAACTTTTATAATCTGGTATGCATCCTATTTTAAGCTGTTGTCTCGACTTATGAGTTCCACTGGTTTCATTTTTCTAGGCTTTTTATCAGGATCTTAGGATATCTTAACATTGAACTGTTAAACAGTTTTTGAGGTTTATGAAAATTATTATATGAACAACTTGATTTTTTTTCAGGTGAATAAAAAACTGGAATATTTTCTATATTTTATACAAATCTTTAAAACTATATTCTTCATTGTCTCTTGTTTGTAACAGCTGCTTACATGAAGTATATTGTATGTACTCATGGTAAAGTTTCTTGATTGAAAAAAAGTAGGTATCTTTTCAGCATATTGTATTTTGTAATTTCCTGTAATTTAGTGTATTGGATAAACTCGGTAAGTTTTTGTCACCACACAGACATCTATGTACGGTCAATTCGGCATGATAATGATTAGTAGGTTCACATCTTAGCTGGAACACCACCGCTTATCGGAATACAGGTGCACGCATCTATGGGCTGAAACGTGTGTATTGGATTACGGTACTAGACACTAATAAATTACACTGCTTTCTGTTGTACACAAACTCCTTATTTATTTATGTTTATGGTGTTTTTTCGTTCATTCAACCGATAGATACACCACTTCAACCAAAATGAAAACAGGTATTCTACACAGTTGACGAGCAATACCGATTGGTCTTTAGTTATGAATTCACAAAGAGTTTATTCGTTACCAACTGATCAAATTTTAACTCCCGTTGCCATTCTTCCGAGATCCATACAAAGTGATCATATGGATGGAAAAAGTGACAGGAAGATGAATAACTCTACTTTCGAATGTGTTGGTAAGTAGATTGGTTCTTCCACTTTTGTTTCGGTTATAAATCGGGAAGAAATATTTTGTTCATCAATGATCCAGTATATGTGGGTTATGATAATATAAAGTGATTTAACTAGAGCAGCAGAAAAATTACTGCATTAGTCACCTCAGAAGGGAATGATTTTTGGACTTTAAAAAAAAACAAAAAGAAAAAGGGAAAAATGAATCAAATAAATCAATTTCGAGAAAAGGTAATCAAAGTGGGAGCTCCCTTTCCTAACAAAAACTTTTTTCCAGTGACTGAATTCTTAAAATAGATTCCAAAAAGAGCGAAACAATCAACCACAAAATGAACCATAAATACAAAGGAAGAAGTAGAGGTAAAGTACTAGTGAGTCACGAGGAATTACAAAGTGTTAGTTGGAATGCACTATTTGGTGGGTAGTAGTGACGGACTAAATAGGTAGCTTCATTGGATTTAACATTTAACATCGAAGTGAAGACAGGAGTGAAACAAGGTTGCCTACTATCCCCCATGATATTCCTTATTGTGGTGGACTGGATCATGCAGCAAACAGTAGGCAGCGAGAAGAGGGGATACACTGGACGACGGAAAAGAACCTAGAAGACTTGGATTTCGCCGATGACTTATGCCTAATGTCACACAAACTTGAAGATCTGCAGGCAAAAACTAACAAGTTGACAGAAGAGGCAGCGAAGACGGGACTTCAGGTGAATATAGAGAAGACAGAAGTGATGAAGATACCGCACCACCACCATCAACAACAACAACAAACTGCAATCACCGTCAACGGGAGAAACTTAAAGGAAGTAACCTCCTTCACTTATCTAGGAAGCACTGTTTCAACTACAGGCGGGACGGACGAGGACGTCAAAGTGAGAATCGGAAAAGCAAGACAGGCGTTCATTAGCCTGAAACCAGTGTGGAGATCTTCTGCACTCAGCATGTGGAACAAGATACGGATTTTCAACACCAACGTCAAGTCAGTGCTCTTGTATGGCTCAGAGACTTGGCGCGTCACGAAAGGCATTTCCAATAAACTACAGACATTCATCAACAACTGCTTACGCTCGCTGCTGAAGATCAGATGGCCAGAAAAAATAAGCAACAAGGAACTCTGGAACGAACCAACAAGAACCTATCACGCAACAAATATGCAGGAAGAAGTGGAGATGGATTGGCCATGCACTGAGAAGGCCGACGGAGGACATCACGCGTCAGGCCCTCGAGTGGAATCCCCATGGGAAGCGACGAGTTGGACGTCCGAGGGTGACATGGAGGAGGTCATGCGAGGAGGAAATGAGAGGCTGTGGGCTGTCGTGGAACCAGGTTCAAAAGATCTCAGAGAACAGAGTTCACTGGAGGCGTGCTACTGAAGCCCTATGTTCCACTAGGAACCCAAGGGACTAATAATAAATAATAATAATCGAAGAAATATAAACGCATAGCCTATCCAACACTGTTTTCATTCTTGTATGACTTACTTAACACCTAACCTGTTATTCAGTAGCCAGCAGTTAACACTTGTAAATAATAATATTTACCCACACTACAGCAGTGATGTTTGTTCTAATGAATATGAGTTGCTTATTTCCCTTTTTACAGCTCATAGTGGGCAAATTTTACGTATGTGAGGTTTTGAGGTGCCTACCGAACTTATAATTGTAGCTTCCGGTATACGTTCTTATCTTTCACTGGTGATTCTCTCTAATCAACTGCGTAATATCACTCAACACTTCGTTTCGACCTAAGATCAACCGATATGATGTATATCACTGAAGATTAGATCAGTTTAAGCCTCAGTCTGCATAATAGAACGATTCAACAGTATTTGACGTAATAAAAATCTCATAGTAACAAGACAACTTGTTGAATTCACCTTGAAAGTAAAACAATCCCTTTTCACATACCAGTATTATAAGCAATATTACGTAACAATCAGCTGTTGTCAAGTATCCCCCTAGTCTGCGGAGGAACTGATGTGCCCTACGGGATTCAAATTTTTGTCATACAATGTTGCAGTCAGCGAATTTACCACTATGCTGTTTGGAATGCGATTGATCTCTTGTAAAATTGTATTATATACATTGATTGGTTACTGAAGAAAAACCGCAAAGTGTTCGATTGAATTCGGTCAGCACTCAGGACTAGACAATATGAAATTGCTTGCCCTCCAGTGACCAATCATTTTATCGATCTAGGTATTCTGGTAAAAGTTACATAATGTATTTTTATGTGTTTAGGAACCCATTGCTATTCACCGCTAAGTTAGTGCTTTCGGTAACTTGCAAAAAAACAGGCTAAAAACATGTTAAAACATTACACACGAGAGTGCATAATACGATTTGAAAACGTAGTTGATGGATTTAAAAAAATCAAAAGGGGGCAATATTTGATGTAATTTACTCAGTGAAAGATGTTTGGTATCCTAAGTTTTGAGCAGACTATCATGGAAATTGCAATTATAACGTGTAATCATGGATTAATCTTCCTCTACGTTGTAGCCAACTACCTGACATTATTGTTAGTTGAACAGGTGCTTTTTCATTTAGTTATTTATCAGTGAATTAGTTTTATTCATTAAACAATATTTCATTTCTACTCAACATTTATATATATGAAAATTTTTAATATTCTTTTAATTATAGGACAGCAAACAAGTCATCTTACTCATCTTTGGTTACACCATAATTGTCTAAAGTCGTTACATTTAACCTCATCTAATCCTTCAAGTCGTGTCTCTGTAAAACGATATCCAACTAGTACACATTCATTCAAACAACAAGTATTATCTCTTGGTCAAATCTGTCCAAATCTTGTATATCTAGACGCTAGCTATAATTATATTGAGCATTTTTACGACCTTTTTTTATGCCCTAAAAATATAATTCATATTGACTTAAGCTATAATCGTATGAGAACAGAGGACAGATTGATGAAAATGAACGCCAATAACAATGATAATGACAATAATCGGCATAACTGCTATAGACTGAATGATTCTGTTTCTTCACTTTCCTGTCGTTCTGTAACTCGGATTTCATTGTCGGCGAATAAATTATTTTGTGACAACAATATACACAAGTAAGTTTTGACAGACATGTACTTCATGTATTGCTTTTACTTATTTTTTCCCTGGCTTTTTCCTAATGATACTTTTGATAGATAGATGAAGTCAATTTGAAATTGTTCTTGAACTCATCAATTTGATACAGTCTAACTCAATAATCAGATATCTAGGTTGGTATAATGGATTGATAATTACTGGTTGACAACTATTGCTGGAGCTGTGATTCACTGATTTAAGTTCTTGACTTTCAAATGATGGGTTACGAATTCGACTGAGGTTTAGTCAGATAGTGGTATTGTTAGCTACCACACAAGAGGTATGGTTAATTACCGACTGCACAAAAGTGTATGATTATTGCTGAGTGCATTTTGTCTCGGTGTTAACGAAACGTTTACATCAAACCTAGTAGAGTAATTACAAGCCTATGACCAAGTTTTCTTTTTCAAAATTTAATACTACAAATCGAGTTTTAGATGTAGAGTGCATGTTTAAGTTTCAGATTGAATAATTCACTATGTTCTGTGTAAACTTCGCTTTTTGGTGAAATTATTTCTTTGAAGTATAAAATAAGTAAAGCAACAGGTAACGTACTTCAAAATATAATCTAGATCTTCTCCAGTATATCCTTGTTACACAGTTTCATTATTCTAAACCCCTTTTTTTAGTAGTTTAAAATGTCATACGAGATAGTATCATACCCACCTGTCATAAACCATCGGTAACACATCATGCTACTAAGTAATCACAATAAAACAGTAGGATTACTATCATGACCACAAAGGTGCTAAAGTCATATTCTCAGAATTCAGATTTGACAAGCTTATAATAGGTGAATTGCATCTTGTTAAGCCATTTTGTTCGGTATCCTTTAAAAGAATCAGTAGTAGATTAATTTTCCTTCAGATGCTTTTAAGAATTCAATTACAGGCTTCTTCCGGCATACACGAATCTGCATCTGAGATGTCCCTAGAAACTTGCAGCGCAATACTATCTTCGTTTTGATGACGAGTTTAAAATTATTATCCAATAATATCAAATAGGTGCTGATCCAATAGTTGACGAAGTATGACATCGGTAATCATCCTTATTTCAAGTAAGTTCATGCGTATACTAAAACTTGTCAAAGTCAGTGAAATTCAGCAGCATTACGGAACTTATTAGTGTTTTAAAACTCATCCATTAAATCTATGTGCAGGGGAGGGTGGAAGCAGATGAACTCAAACTGACCAGGTATGCTCACTGATGATGTTTGATATTTGAAATGTCTTATGATACTTATCCACTAATTTGTTGAGACAAATGACTCCTAGGCAAAACGAATCAGTGCTTTAATACTGTGCATAATTGACAGAAACGTTGGATAGTTGTCAGTAGGTCTTCAGATGGAAAATATAGTGACTACTGTTGCATAGTGTAGAGGCACCTATTGGGCATTTAAGAAAACAGCAGGGTTTTAGTATCGACTGAAGTCATCTAGACTGGATGACGACGTCATATTTTGTAGTATGTACTGATCAATGGTATGTCCTTTTTTACCCCCATCTTGTCAGTATATATTAGAATGGAACTTTAGTCACATTTTTTTCTTTCGTGTAAGTAAAGTAGGTTATGATCAAAGTGGAATTGACTTTTCTTGAGCAGTTAGGTCTCTTTATTTGGGTAAATAAGTCGAATGGTTAGTTGGAGACGATCGATCTTCATCTAAATCCTGGTTAATTTTCTCCTAAAGCCTTTCATAATTCCCTGTGTGTGAATGCAGAGTCCAACAGTTGACATTTTCTCAGACCAAATAATGACTTGTTTGTTCATTTGCTTCTGATTCTGCAAAACGCTTTTTCTCGTCCTTATACGTTTCAAAGAAGTAATGAATCTAAAGGGATGAAAACTTAATGAGCTCATCCACCTTGGTATAACATCTCAGTTAAATCACTTTACATACATATTGTTGTCATAGTGGACAATAAGATTACCAAGATCTTCATAAAAAACCCTCATTCTCTGAAGTCTTTGATAACCAATCGTGTTGCTTCCAAGTTTCTAGAGGAAGCACATGAACCAATGTTCTCGTACCAGATAGTTTGAATAAGCAAAAATTAACGGGAAATAGTATTCCAAAACGACCTAGAAATAGTAAAGGCCATTGTAAATGTATTTAAACCAGTGTATTTTGACGTTGTTTTTGTACCCTTTTGTTACTTTACCGCCTTTTTAAAGTACCGAAGAACCAGGCTACCATCAAGGGTGAAAACAGGTTTTTTTGTTAAAGCGCAGCTATATATATCTTATAATATAATCTTATTACCCAATTACCTGATCCTGTTCGATTGAAATCTCTCTGTATGTTTATGAGTCATACTTACTCCTACCTAAGTGACTTAAGACCACTTTGGAAACTACGGAAATAACCTATTCGGTTTCTCCATTTTATGGAAAAAAACTACCTTTTTTAGCCGAAATAGATAAACCTGGTTGGCTATTTTAGCGGTTGCTGGAGTTGTGTAAGGAGTCACTTCTTTTGTCTCTATACCTCTTCTTGTACTTATGATCTTTATTCTGATCGGCTTTCTTTATCTTTCCAATGGATTTGTATATTAGTGCTTCTTGGTTATTCGACCTAGTTTTCTCATTTGAGGAATGAGTTCCTAATTTTGACTGTACATTATTTTCAGACCACTAGGTTCTTGTTGCTTTTTTGTAATTGAGTCAGGGATTTTTTCTCAAGAAAGTAACTACAGTTGAATGTTATTATTCTTATTATGGTTATGATCATAATTTAAAGTACCGCTTAGAAAACAAACGTCAATATATTGTTCTAAAGTTTTTCGCTTTTGCATTTTACTTCAACTGAGGTTTAGTAGTCGTTATTTTAGATTTATCAATATATATGTTTCATTGTCTAAAAACATGCATAACATTACAAGTAAAAGAGATCACGTAAGACACTCCGACATAAGGAGAAAAAATGTGAATAACACCGTTAGTCATTGGTGTATAGCTAAGAAACTCTGATGCAGAGAAAGAACAAGTTTTATGAAAGTTATAGTTGTTCGTAAAGTGGAGTTCACCAGGAATAGCCTTAATAAGACGAAACAAAACTATTGCATAATGTGCTTAAAACAATACAGTAGCAAACATGTCTCAGATTAACTAGCAATTTGATCATAGTTTACAAATAAAGAATGATTATTGATGAGTTTGGTGAGATTTCCTCAGTGCAACACTGTTTGACGTTATAGGTTTTGTATACTAAAAGCTACAACTTATTAGACGTTATACCTCCTTTATTTATTCTTTACTAATAGATTTATTTCCAAGAACATAATTTTATTATTGTCGTTAGTATTACACCTAAATGTTTTAACAGTCATTGTTGCTTATATATTAGTACTTTTAAGACATTGTCAAACTTTTATAATAGCAGTGCTAGTTCACAATCAATATAACTTCATCTTGTGATCATTACCCCATGACTTTATGTGTTGGTATTGGAAACTTAATTTTAATCACTGCTGTAATGAACATTTTCAAGTTTTTAAAAATGGTATGAATTCTTGGAGAGGTTTTATTGGTTTACATTCAGTTAAATATATAGTATGCTAGCAACATACATTCATTAGTCACTGGAAATGAAAGAAGTTATGTTGGTGACTGAGTTGTATCAATCAAATTTGCAGTGTGGTTGTGTCTAGTTGCAGGTAATCAGCAGGACTTGGGTTTCATATATTTAGTTTTTCGTCAACGATGCGTTTTGAAGCCTTGAGAGAACTAATACCACCTCAGAGATTTGAATGTGCACCTTCTAGTGCTGCAATAGAAAGCATTACTTATGAGCTGTATTGGTCGTGATCGCCCCTCGATAAGACTTAACTGAATACGTTGATTGATCACTGGATGTAACAAATTCTGATCTCTGAGGATGAAGGTATCAGTCGTCGAAACGTTCAGGAAATCTATTCTGAAGAATGCTAAGAAGCTTAAAATTTAGGTCTATGGCGTCGTGCTGATGGCCTCTAGCCACCTAAAGTTCTAATAGTATGTATCCATTTGCAGATACATAAAATAATCGATAATGATTCATAAGACTAAAGGTATTACTCTCATTTTCGTAGTTTAATCACCTCGTAAAAGTTTGCTAATGGAGACCTACTGATATCTCATGGCAACTTTCAGTCATGTCATTCTACTTAGGCAATAACGAGCCACTCTAGCACTGAAAGTAATGTATGAATTATTGGCTTTTCTCAAAAGTGGTTGTAATCTAAACAAGTAAAAAAAATATGTCGTTATCTAAATGAACCGTATCATTCACAAAAGTCTGTTAATTTTGACATCATTTAGTGTGAAAAAAAGTGTTTTCAGTGCGTATATCTATTTTCTAACCTGCTAACATCCAAACCAAACTAAGAATGGAAATTGAAAAAGCTGCAAAAATGTTCTCAGTTCACTTGTATTAAACAACGTATGCATTTTATTTGTAAACAATCTGCTTTAAAATTTTTAGTCTTTGCCCTAATGAGTTATGGTGTGTACGTTTCTGTTCAAAATGTTCGCTCATAGCTTAAGTTCATGACACTTTGATGTCAGAGATCGCACTGTAATCTTGGCTGCGGAGTGGTTTCCATCGGAAAACCTACTGACCTGCATAATATTTGGGCGGTTGAAAAACTACTGAGATGTGAGGAATGCTCACATGTACCGCGCAGTTGATTATCCTACTTAAGGTACACCGGTTAATACAAGATTCAAGTGGTCTGAATAATTCGACTCTATTTTATCTGAATTTGTTTTTGTACACCGCTGATGAACTCGGCCGTAAACGAGCGAAAATGCCGTGCAGTATTTAGATCACTTTTATCTGGCTGGCAAAATCTCCAGATGAGCTTGAGTGGTTTATAACTACTCAAGTTATTTAGTAGTCCGTTCTTAATGTCTTTCCTTCTCACTTATCGACTGGCTGCTATCCGAAGAATCTATGACTATTTATTTTCACTTTCTAATACGAACAATATGGATTTTTGATTGACATGTGCTTTTTCATTCTGTTTATTTACATTCGAATTTGTTTAGACTAGGAATTATACACATTATTACAGTTACATTTGAATAACCTAGAGAATAAAGCGAAGAATTAGAACTCATGACACTAAATTTCGAATGGTTTTAGCCAATTGAATTAGCAATATATATGTGAGTTTTAATATAATGACTCAACCTGACTCGGCTCTGAACTTCTTTCAGGACATTCGTAACAACTATAGCCTGTATGTTTATCACTGGGTTAGTAGTTGTCCTTTTATTTTTATCGAAAACTCCGAGTTTGCGTGCCTTCTCACTTATTCCATTACTAGTGACAAAGTTCTGTGACGAGTGTGTTGTTATGTTTTCTGATTTTGTAAAGATAGGACTTCACCTTGTTTGTGATATTTATCAAGATAAAACATTGCTATTTATTTTCTGTCATTGTTTTCACTACTTAATTCCTTTAAAGTACACAGTCGAATTTAACGAAATTACGGGATTCATACGCACAGGTAATAATGTTATGCTTTGATAATTTCTCAATTTCGGTAACTTCATTTTGCAATCTCAGATAATTTCTGCAATGCAAAACAGCTATAGTTAATCAAGTGTTTACTGCTCAACTTTGTATCCCTTCTGTTCATATTTTCTTTTTCAGTTTTGCATCTTATTTGGTACATGATTGGAATTCTGACAAAACTATATTTCATCAGTTCCTTAAACTAAAACATCTTAATTTGAGAGGCAATCGATTTCATGTATTTCCTTGTGACAATCTATCTCATGTCGGGAGTGAAATAAAGGTAGTTGAAGAAAAGTATATTTTATGGTTTATGACATTTTCCAGTACATTTTTGGTCCTTTTTTCAGTTCTTATCGTTAAAATAATAGGGAGAACCGTGGTCGTGGTATAAGAAAACCCTGTATCTATGCCTGAATCATGTTGCAGTGGTCACTTCTGTTGCTTTTTTGTCACTGAATAGTCAACACATCAACATTTAGTCCCTTATATGTTTCTTATAAAGTAAATAAAGACCTAATTTATTTAAACACTACATGAATAATTTGTGTCATTCACTGCTGAAAGTTGCGTTCGAATTCGAAACGAAATAAGTAGACGGTTACATTCGAATCATTTCTCATATTTTCATCATACTGCACACTTTTGAGAAAGTTAGTCTGTCATAGTTTCGTAACACCCAGTGTAAACAACTGAGAAATTGTATCTGTTTTGTGACTTTTAAACTGAAAAGGTGTAATAGCCAGGTGACTCAGCATCTAGCGCTACATAAAGTATCTTTTAGTCTTCTAAAGCGATTGGTTGCAAGCATCACCGCTCAACTAGATGCATTCAAATCTAGTTAATGAATCTTGATTATTAGGAAACATCCATTTCATATTCCACTACTAATCGCAGCTGAACAGATATTGTTGATATAGGTTACAGGTCGTAATTAATATTTTGTATCACTCAAGCTATGAAATATCAATTATGCCAGTTTCCGTTTCACTAGCTAAACATTCAAAGAGCTGCTGTTGTCATTTGCTGTCAACATGTGACCTGGCATTACTTTACAGTGTTCCAAGTTGCCACTGCTTACATGAGAACACCAAGATGCAAACCGAGATAAAAGACAATGAAATGCAAATACTACAGCAAGGTCATGAAAAGTAACATAACTAAAATGATGTATTGAAGCAAATTGGGAAGTGTGATTTCGAAGCTAGATGAAGATTATATGTGGATGTATTTGCACCATCTCAATCGATTGAGTCATATCATCTAGAGCCCCCAATTGTCACTTTTGGTTGTAGCATAAACTCCAGTATGACGCGACTCAGAACGAGATTCAACGAACTGATGTCACTTCTTATTCTGAACGTCGTTAATGTTTTCTCCAATTAACCCTACTTTGGCTAAAATTGGACGTTGGGACATAGTGTATTTTTGGATGCGTAGTATATATCCTAGCTAACTTGATCGGTGAACGTTTGTTACCTTATAGATGAATTTACCTGTGGTGGTTCCATGACACTTGATCAATGCTTTAAAGCCAACTTTGGCTGTGTACCCTCGGAGAATTTTAATCCTTCCACATTTGGAAGGTATGTTTCACAGCCATATGGTAGCATGGAGTGAAGTTTCATGCTGTACACTAAACTTTTGATAAGCACCTGGATATCTAGTTGCGTTCATAATTGGCGTCAGTTAATGATAGACGACTGAAAATTTTGTACCTATGTTGAGATTTCGTCAGTTGCTGAGCAACTTCAAAGTAAGTGAAGTGGTCAGTGCCTTTCACCATTTCATTTCCTTTTATCGGACGAGATATTATTACAGACTAGTCCTGAGGCAACAGTTAGTATCTAGATTATCAGAAACACGTCTCAAACATCCTCAAATTCTGACTCCAAGTGTCAAGAAGACTATCTCGTTAACGTCTTCACCTTACAGGTATATTTTATCCTTATGACTTAATTCGACTAAGGAGTGTCCTGCGGGAAAACAAACCCCTGTATAGTCAGATGGGATAAGGGAGGTCTGCATAAGCACGTCTACGAAAAAGCTAGGTAAAAAAGTGGATATAGTGTGTGGTATTGACTCACATCGCTCGGTGTAGGTCACTGACTTGATATCTCACCACAGGTTCTTACACAACCTAGTATATACCTTTAGTATTACCATTTATCTCTCAGACACTTCACTCAGCGAACGTCACTACCATGAAACCTGTGAATAGGTGCAGTCGAATTGAGCCTTCACCCTAAGAAAGCTAACTTTGGGCACTAGTTTGTCCATGATCAAGGTTTTATTAAGTCATCTACAGTCAGGTCTCAAATCTGCTCTGTTATCCTGGACTTTCTAGGTCCGAGTTCTAGTTAGTTATCGGTTGGTTTTAGAGCCCAGAATCCTAAACTTTGTATTTTTAAGGTTAAAAAACTATTGAAAACATTTCCATTATGTGCACCTATCCGCTGAACTGAATTTTTCTTTAAAGCTTGTTCATCTGAGTTTTATTGGGTGCAACATCCGAAATAGTTGAATTTCACCAGTTACTTGTGGAAGAACCTGAACTATTCAGTGATATGGTTGGTTGAAAATCCACCAATCAAAAGTATCTTTTGCCTTAGATTGATGAGATATCAAAATACCAATGTATGAAGACATATCCAAATCAGTAGTGCCGCATGATTCAGGTGGAAAGAAATTACGTTGTTGTATTTTTTTGTAAGCTATTAGCAACTGATTTCTTCAATAACAATGATATGTTTAAGTGGATCTCAAACTTTGAATACGGGATACTCTTACTTCCTTTGTAATTGATCAGCATATATATATATAATATAATATATATATATATATATATCGGTTTTCTTATAAGGTGAATCTGTGGCTTATTGATCTAGGCTTTCAAATTTCAACCAGTGGGTCTTGAGTTTGAATCTCATTTCACTAACCGAGGTTTGGGTAGCTAGGTAGTATCATTAGCTTTTACGCAATAGGTATAACTCATATCTTATTGTACGAAAGTGCATGTGGTTTCTCAGTTGCTTTTTGTTTCTTCAGTTTAAAAGTGTTTCATGAATCAGTAGTTTTTTTATATTATATATATTGTTTAATTTTTCAAGGTGTACAATGTATCTAAGTCATCCTCTACTTCATCATCACCAACATTGTCATCTCAATCAATTGACACATCTCATTTACTATTAACACAAAGGAAGCGTTTACTGTTTCCTAATTTAAAATCATTAGATTTAGGTGAAAATCCCAATTTACAACGTATTTGCCCTGGATTAGTGTATTCAACTAATTTACGATATCTTTCATTACATAAATGTATATCACTGATTGAGGTAAGTTATTGCTTTCCTTTGAGCATTTTTTTTCTTCTCAAACCTTTTTTTTATTCATTATTTGATAATATAGTTATCTATAGCTGATAATCAATGTAGAGTTGTTCTGTTTTGTTGGCAACTTCTGAAATTTAGAAGTTGCGCTTTATTCTAAAATTACATAGATGGATACGCCTACACTCATGCTGAAATTCTTAGACTCGGAAAACATTTCTTCTAATTTCAGGTTCTTATCTATATAGCTTTTGATTTACATGAGTTTCATTTCGTTTATTAGTAACTCTTCTGTTCTGAATACCTTGAAACTAACTAACTAACTAACTTTTGTATAATTTGGTTGCCACTTTTTATATCTTACTCAGTGACGGACGATATATCCTGAGTTATATATGCATGCGGACTACTGTATATGAGGATTCTTGTACAAATATCTTTAGATTCTACCCCGTGCTGGTCACCCACTTTCTCCGTAAATAACAAAGGCCGTCATAGAACAGAAGGTGTATTTACAATGGCAACGTCAACAATATATACAGAATACAATTTTTATATATATTACAGTGGTCAGGCTATTTCGAGGTCTTCTATATTTAAATCCTATTGATATTTCTTCTTTTCAGCCAACCTGATACTTACACTTTGGTTCAAGTGCTTCTTCCCGAAATTTTGGAGCGAAGCGATTGGTTGAAAAAGACTTTAGGAATACGAGGCTTCTTATGAAGATTTTGTCAATATTTCTGCACATTAGAGGTATTGTCGTGTAAAACGTGCGATAAGGAATAGCTTAAGTCTGTACTCATGGTCGTCAGTGGAAAATAGTTCAGAATATTCAAAAGGGTCATAAACTTGTATGTCTTTCGAGGCAGGTGGGGCGGGTTATTCGTATTACAAAGTGTAGATCAGCAAATTACAGTTTAAAGAGGCTTTTAATGCCATAGTAATATTCTTCTAGTTACGGATGATTGGATATATAGAAAATCTTTATCAATGAGAGTTTTTTTTGACGACGTAATTTTTCTGTAGTGAACCTACGTTTTAGCATTCGATTCAACTCCTTCCCATCCAATTTTTCGGGCCACCACTGAGCTTATAAGACTGATGTACCATATTATTTTACTTGAGACTACATGTCATCAGTTTCAGCGACTGAGTTCCAAAGGATGGTTCTTGGGTTGAACATTTGCTCTACATCCTTTCAACCTGGCGATCAGCTGGTGTCGTAAACCGTCACACATTCAGTCTGGCTGATTACCTTTAGTACACAAATCTATAACAGGAAGCTGATTTGTATGACTTGTTCAATATCCTAGTTTAGAAAGGTGTTTGTTTTCACATGAATATTACAACCTTGAATTTAATAGTCGTATGCACATTTTACGTATTCGCCTCCATAGTTTAAAAATTTAGCATATTCGTATGTCTTTTTTGAAGTTCAGTAGAAGCCTAGGGTAATATGTGTTTTATGTCTTGAGTATCAATTCATGCATTTTGCCATTTTGAAGTATGGGAAATTAATTTTTGAGTTTCTTTTTCCTTCAAATAAAAAGCATTTTCATTCTTTGATAATCTTATTATTAGCTTCCAGGTGATTTATTCCGTCTGTCAAATTTGAATACCCTTCTGTTAAGTGAAACGCCGTTTAACGAATATCTATCGCCTATTTTACATCCAACGTTGAAGTCATTCAACCAGAATACTGATGAATTTTCAGGTTTTCATAAAAATGCTTACACAAAACGTGTTGTATCGCATTTCAAAGTAGTAACAGATCAGTAAGTACATTACTACTCATATATGTATATGTTTGTCAAAGTTTATTTGCTTGATACACTTCAATACTCTCTCAAATATAGATTAGCTTCATTCATTTTATGAAATTAGCAATAATTCCTATATTTGTAACCAATAAGTATCGTGATAAATATTGTTTTGTAAATTCCTTTCCTTAATAAACCTAAATAGAGGGAGTACGTCAGTGGAATAACATTGATCTGTTTTATTTCAGGGTTTCTCATCAACTGTATGCGATCTAAAATAATTTTAACATTAAAATATGCTAAATGTTCACCTAATTGAATCACTTTGATAAAAATTTACCACTCTGAAGAGAAAATAGCTTTAATCTTGCTTAAAAGCAGTCACAAAACTAATAAGAAGTTTTGATATTATTAACAGATAATGGCTAGAAGTGGAGTTTAGGATGCACATTTCATTCTATTTGTGAACTCGTCAACGGGATGCACTTGCCTTACAGTCAGGAATTCCAGAGAATTATCCACTAGGCAACCGAGTCAAGATAGCCACTTCTTTCACAACAGATATAGTTTTATATGATGTTGCTTGTTTTATCCCATCTCTGGTTGGACCGAATTGATCAATCTTTCTTGGCTTTTGGATTTCTACGCGAATGTCTCGATATTACCTTTATTTTCGATTTTGATAACAATTCTAGCTACCATCAATCATTAATATCAAAATCGAAAATGCAGTCAATGTCAAGACCCATTTGCCAATAGAACCTCAGCAGTTCGGTCCAGTGAACGACTGAATGATACAAGCAACATCATATAATAAAATTTTATCTATACATCGGATGATTCAGTAAAGCTGACCAAAAAAGTATGATTTTAGTCACCGAATAGCTACCACTTTAACGGGACGCAAGAAATTCAGGTCCACCTATTTATTAGTTGTTTCAAATGATTTCTGGACATCAACTTGTGTCCACTATCAATAACCTGATTAACGATTGCACTGTTGAAGACTTTCACACCTCTTAGTCACAAACTCCTTGGAATATCATCACACAAATGATAATCAATCCTTGTTTTTGTTCGTTTGATGTATGCTTTTGGTTTGTAAATTGAACTTTTTGTATACAATTGAAGATAACATAAAAAGGAAACTTGTCAGCTGTGCCTTAGTAAGTTATTCGTATAGTGTAAAGGGTAACTAACCTGCCAGGTGGATGATTACTGTAACATAAGTGTGAAACTTTGGCACTGTAGCACAGTGTAATTCTCATAGGAGATTCGTTTATTTGATATAGCATAATGTGTTGCAGTATTACTTACTTGGTGACGTCTCGAGCATAGACTATTACTTATAATCATGCCATTCTAATCACACACATTTCGATATCTGATTTTTATAGTCCTATCATCTCATATTTCCTTTTTAGTTGTAGCAAACGTTTTCACATCTCCAGTATAAGTGTCACATCATTTCTATTACATGTGTGAACAAAGATTCAGCAATCAATCTCTCTCCACCTAACTGTATTGAACTGAAGTACAGTGACTTCATCCCACCCTATTTTGTAGTTGTGTGTTAATGCCTGCATCGCGATAGTCGAGTATCATTCTGAGTTCTTAATCTTCAGTTGGCTAAATTCTTATTCCCCGATAATCAAACTGACTTCGATCGGATAGTTTTACCTATGTACTTGACCTCAAAGTCATTGCATTGAATTACGCAGATCGAACTATTTTGTTTCATTGGGTATGTTGTATCCGTAAGACGACAGAGCTTATCTCTGAGTTACCTTGATGGTCAGAAGAAGACCTGAAAGACATTAAATTAAATCATTTAGACTCATCTAGAGATGGCTTCAGCAGGCATATCAGGTCGGCTGTAGATTTCTTAATTTTATTTATGATAGTGTCTATGGATTTCTTGATCTCTTCACATGGTCCTATTTGGAGATGTTCATGAACGTTTTTTAATAATCCGTCTTTTGCATAACTAATATTGAATTGCCTTATCGAATTTGGCAGTTATCATGTTTCTGTCATTATATAGAGTTGAATTCTCTAGTTTTAATAAATCTCATCCTGTTGTCTATTGTTTTTTTCAGGGCTAACGCACTGTTAATTTCAAACCTACAAAATAACTCAGAGATAAGCTCTGTCGTCTTACGGATACAACATACCCAATGAAACAAAATAGTTCGATCTGCGTAATTCAATGCAATGACTTTGAGGTCAAGTACATAGGTAAAACTATCCGATCGAAGTCAGTTTGATTATCGGGGAATAAGAATTTAGCCAACTGAAGATTAAGAACTCAGAATGATACTCGATTATCGCGATGCAGGCATTAACACACAACTACAAAATAGGGTGGGATGAAGTCACTGTACTTCAGTTCAATACAGTTAGGTGGAGAGAGATTGATTGCTGAATCTTTGTTCACACATGTAATAGAAATGATGTGACACCTATACTGGAGATGTGAAAACGTTTGCTACAACTAAAAAGGAAATATGAGATGATAGGACTATAAAAATCAGATATCGAAATGTGTGTGATTAGAATGGCATGATTATAAGTAATAGTCTATGCTCGAGACGTCACCAAGTAAATAGTACTGTATCACATTGAGCTATAATAAATAAAAAGGTCTACCATGAATAATTCACTTATAGTGCGGTATTTATTTTGTAATTAGTTCTGTCAGAGGCATAACCTTTGGAACCAGGATTTAGGAAAACATGTTCCTCCTCAATTGCGTGGTATTTCACATTTTAGTTGACTTTTTCTTGCACTAATCGGTGAATTATCATGAAGGCACTTTTCAGCACTAGTAATTACGTCTTCTAGTCTGGTTTTCTACCAAAGGTGTCGCATGCGTTTGGAAAATGTCTCACTAGTCGTCTATTGGTAAAGTAACTGTTGATGTTTAGATGCAGTCCATCGCATGAATTTTAGATGAATAAATCTTTGTATATTCATATCTGTGGTTCATTGAATTACGATATGGAACAGGTGAAAGTTCTCATTTTGATCATGTTTCATTTCAAATTCTTCTTTTTGATGTGGTTTGGTTTCTTTTGTAGACAGCTAATAAGAAATCCTGAAATAAAGGATTTCATACCATTCTCTTAAAATTCTTGTTTTTGCTATATTTTAATAAACGACATAATTGTCTAGGTAAGCATTACTGTATGCTTGAATATATGTGTCTGCACAAACTTCCGTGATGTTGAACGGAAAAAATCAATACACTCTCTGCTTATCTTCTTGAACAAACATATTTTTGGTTGGAGACAATTTGCAGGAAGTTCCGCTCGACCTAGGTTTAATAGATGTTAGTTACAGCTCGTCAGTAGGGTGTATCTAGAACGTTGTATGTGCAACTCATATTTTCCATGCGATTCGGACTCGGGCCATCTAGTTTACGGTCAGCGACGTTACCACTAGCTTATCCGGGTTACAATTGACTTCTGTAGGACTAGGTTGTTTGTATTGATTGTTTGCTTTCTAATGACCAATTAATGCAATTACAACTTTCTCCTAATTGGCTATATCATAGGTGATAATTCACATGAGTACGAACAATGTATAGGTTATTCAAGAAATATAAACTATCTGTAGTGTAGGCAAATCACCTGTGAGACGACCTCAGTGTACACGCTAGTCCTGTTTATTGGTTATAAAACATTACCACTCAGAGAAAAACATATTTTTAGATTGTTGATGCTGTATTACCAGCATCTTAATACGATTTTTCATACATTTTGTAATTAGAAGATGAGAAGAAATCAACAGTATACATTTTTCAGCTGAACTTAGGATGAACCTAAGAATTTAGAAGATGAGAATACCTTCAGTCCATTCTATGGAGTCTCCTGTGAAGGATTGAAAACTTAAATAAGACAACCGACCAATAGTAATATAATCTTTTAATATTCACTCAATCTACTGTCGATTCTGAAGAAATCCTTACATTTGTTAAAATTTTATGTCAATTGTATGTAAAACTAGTGTCTTCAGAGGCAGTCACTGTATAGTTGATAGTAAGGTGTTGATTCCTATGGATTTTTAACATGCCTTTTGAACATTCTAGAGCTTGTCCATTCACGCGTTTTCGTCTAATGGTTGTTGGTCCAACGGGTGTGGGGAAGACAACTTTGATTCGTCTGTTGAAAGCATCCGAAACATTTGCTTCATTTCAAAATAATTCTAAAGAACACGTGAGTTTCCATTTTTAAAATTTAGTTTCAAGCTATCACAAAACCTGTATCCTTTCCTGATTGCTCTATGATAATCTGTTACTAGATGATGATGTGAGCATTTTCAATGTGATCAGTGAAAACCGATCGCCATCTACCCTGTGTGTAGTATACATATTTGTGTAGTCTTTCTCTAGTAGGTGAATGATTAGACACGGTGATTCGAGTAGATGGTTAAATTCTTAACTCATCGGTTGATTACTAATTTCTATCCAGTGTTAATACCAAAGATGACTTATGTTGTTACCGTTTTTGAGAATGATATAAGCATATATATATATATATATATATATATATATATATATATATATATATATATATGGGTGAACACTTCAGTTTCCATCCTTGATGGCCGCTCACTTTCTCGGTAAACAGAAAAAGTGCTAAGATAACGGAAGGTGTATTGCAACGTCAAAAGATATACGAAATATAACGCTTTCTGTATATACTTAAAATGACCCTGACCATTTTCATACCTTTCTAAAAATGCATATCTTATTGGTTTTTCGTTTTTTCAACCAACCTGATATTTGTGCTTTGGTTCACTTGTTTTTTCCGGAACTTTGAAAAAAATATGATTGGTTATGAAAAACTTCTTGTGAAGATCTGGGCAGTCTCCTTGCATACCATAACCAATGATATTTTTATCGTGCATAAAATTCGAAAATTCTATGTTGATGAGTGAGAACCAGTCGACGATTGGATATTCCTCCGTATAAAGTGACCAGGTGGTTTCGAAGAGATTTTACTTTATTTTCTACTATTTCGAAGCTTTTGTGTATTCTACCTACCTTATTACCATATTCTTCAATAAAGTTGATCTTTAACTTGTATTCATGGCATGAGCAATTCTGTTTCCTGTTTATTCGAATGTGTTGTGATAATCCATAATCAGTCCATTAGCCCTACTGTGTACAAAGTTTCTTTTGGACTTAATTGATGACAGGTTTTTTGCAATTCCTCGGGTTTTATTGTAGCTCAGATATAATCTTGTCTTCTCAGCAGTAGTGATGGATTCGTAATTGTAGAATCTGAAGAGGAAGTCATTGAAAATAATTGTTCGCTCAAATAATTATTTTCCTGTTTATTAATTTATGGGGATCTTCAAATGACGAAAGGCTTCGTCATAAGTTGGGAACCTTTTTGTCAACATTCAGCAACTGAGTGGTTTCTGGATATGCATTTACCATCGGTCAAAAGTATTTCCAAACATTTGTTCCCAACCATTTACTTTTGTGTTTAGATATCGTAAATGATGTAAGCAGCCACTTACCTCCGTTATACAATTCTAGCAGTGTATCTGTTGAGATGCTTGAAAAAAGTTTACGTTGTATTTAACTGATTTCCATTGTGAATATGAACAAAGTCAAATTTTTTTTTGTTACAGTCATTTAAAGCTGATCATATCAATCAGGCAACACCTTCGTCAGTGACAACTGGCAATTTATCAGATCATGCATCATCTTTAGTCCAGGTTACAAATTTAGTGTTAAGTCGTACTGGCAAACCTCCTGAACCCGTTAGATCTGTAAGTTCTATGTGAATTTACAGTTTATGCTGTCACTAGCCTAAATCGTTTATGTAATCTTTATTTGATCCTTATGAATGTTTGATGGTTTTATGTGTTGATATATATATATATATATGATAACAGAATCAGAAATGTCTTTGGATGACTTATGATCAAACTCATTGATTTTTCTCTTATTCATTCTCGTTTACCTTATGTGTATTGCATTATTTCAACTTGTAATAGCTGAGATGTCATACTAGTCGACATCCCCAACACTGAATCCTTATTATGACTTAACCTAGAAAGGGATAAACGTGAATATTAAAAAAGGTAAAAACAAATTAAAATGTATTTAATAATTGGTTTATAGTATTTACGGAGTGCTTTTTATGAACCACTTTAAAAACCATCCTAGTAACTACGGCGATAACCAATTAGGTTTCTGTATCTTATGAAAAACTACTTTTCTAGCCGGAAAGCCGGAAACCTGATTGGTTATTAGAGCAGTTGCCAAGGTAGCCTTTAAAGTCGACCTGTTTTGTTGTTTTAGATTTCCTTGTCCAATAAGCCAAAAAATGATTTAAGTAGTTTAACAGTATCCACTGAAAAACCAATGAAGTATTCATAAATAATGAATGTCACTGAATGAAAACGCTACTGTTTTTTCAAGGTCGGAGATGGGCTGCACTTCAAGTTTGTCTGAATAGTGAATATATATATATATATATATATATATATATATATATATATATATATATGATAGTAGGCAGGTTTATCCAGTTCAACTAGCTGAAATCAGTTAGTCTGACATATTCTACTCTATGAGCTGAATTTTTCAAGAAGCTCCACCGATGAACTCTTTTAGATGACTGACAGTCATCTGAAGAACTAAAACAGAAGATGCTGATGAATTTATTAGCTGCTAGGGCGACCAACTTACAACAGATTACAATGCATGACATTTACAGTGACCATTATAACATTGATCAGTAATCATTAAGGTGATATAAGTAATACAATTACTGGGAAATCATGTAATCTTACCAAAAAATGAAGTTAAATAAATCTAATTATTCGTAAACATGAATCAAAATACTACAAAACCATTCAGCCAAGATCACACTGAATTGTCATGAAATTGTGAATTTATACCACGGATGTTGATCTTATTACCCAAAGAAGGGCAACCTAAGTCTTTGCAAGGACTGGCCCAGAATCATGCTCCTGTCCACACCAAGCAAAATATGAAACCGCATTATCCTGGAGGAACTAAAAAATGCTCTGGATTCAAAATCACGACTGGAACAGGCTGGCTGGTTTCAGGAAAAAGAAATCATGTGCTGATCGAGTTGCAACGCTATGCATCATCATAGGACAAAGAATAGAATGGCGGTCAACTCTCTACCTCAACTTCATCGACTTTGAAAAAGCCTTCGACAGTGTCGGCCGGGAAGTACTTTGGCATCACACGCCAGGCCTGCTCCTCAAGTTGAACCCAAAGGGAAAACGACGATTTGGGTGTCCGAGGGTGATGTGGTGGAGATGGTGTGAGGAAAAAATCAAAGCTTGTGGGTAATCGTGGAGCCAGGCTGAGAAGACTACAGAGAACAGAGTGAAATGGAGACGTGCTACTGAAGCCCCATATCGCGCTAGGAACCCAAGGGACAAATAATAATAATAATAAATGTCGATCTTATCACAAAAGTTGGACAGTTGACACATTATTGTTCTGTGAGAAGTGTTCAGGGAAACTGTTTCTTTGTAAACTAGTCTGTTAGTGTGTTTGATCTGATATATTAGTGGCTAGTTATAGAATCTTGAATTCATCCGAAAGTAGTCACCGTTTTTGTCCTAACAACAACAACTACAACAACCTAATCCGAAGTTCTACGTTGGTGTTTGTCTCTGAAACACAGGTACACGATATGTTTATATCACCCTACTTAGCACTCTTATTCACAAATCTTGGTGATGTTGAAACCTACTATTTGCTTAAATATGCCGCATTGTTTAACTGATAACTTCTAGTCGATGTTTAGGACAACTTTGGATATTATATAGTGATCGATTGTCAGTATTTTAGCCACAGTAATGATTTTTCATTTTGTATTTAAAGTATATCCCTTTTTCCTCTCGTTATTTCTTCACAGAATAAGACAAATGAATGTTTTCAAGCGATGAGTAGACATAATTCCTTTTGTGAAACATTAGCATTTGATATATGGGATGTGGTAGCCAATCAGAAAGTAACAAACAGGGTATTCAACATTAGTGCCAGCGGAACCGATCCCTTTCACACATCCTCACGTTTGCCGCCTTCAGCTTCAAGTAACCTTGTGGAAGAAAAACAACACAATCATAATATCAGCAGCAATGATAAGACTAGACCTTATCCCAACATTAATACAATATCAGCTGATTTAGATTATCCCTCTGAGGTATTGGTTAATACACAATTGGGTTTACACTGTGAATTTACAGTTTATTTAGTTCTCTGGTGTGTATCTGATGGTTTATTGGGATTGAATAAGATCACTCCATGGTTAATGAAAATTCAGGTAAATTTTCTTCCAATCATCTTTTTGTTGAAAAAAAATGTATTCCTCCTCATATAACACATGTATATTTGTTTTAATATGCTGCATAAGGTGTCCATACATCAGTATTGAAGCAGCCTAGCTGTACAAATGTGAAAATTATCGATGGGGTTGGGTAAATACTGAACAGTTTATAGTTTTTTTGGGCTTTTCAGGCGCAATGAGAATGCCTCATACTAGGTATTTTTACAATGGGACTCTATATGCAGATGAAAATATGTAACTGTATAAGTCTGTGCAAATCAAATACTGGTCATCATTAAAAGTAGAGTGACATAAAATGGATCTAACCAATTGCTTTTGGGCTGCATACTGTGATATTAATGGTGAGTAGTGGCTAACAATGCAGTCCAAGATGTGCGTTTCATCCTCTTCCGGATTCGTCAGCCGGATGAACCTGGCATTTCGCAAGCTGTGACATCAAAACTATGCTATGTCTATTGCATAAGGAGCGGTCATCGTGATTCAGTGACCTAGAAAATAATGCTCTGGGGTTCGGAGTGCTTGGTTTTGGCTTCCAGTTTTATTGGGAGCACCATCACTTACTTGGGTAATGATACATCCAGCTGATATGCCACAAGTTTGATAAAACATGCGTACTAGTCTTCACCGTTAACCACTATCTATCATTAATATCAAGACTGAAAGTAACATAAATAGCGAGGCATCCTCACAGCAGCCTATATGCAGATAGTGGTCGATCATTTCTGTTCAGCCAACGACAGAGGTTCACAAACCAAAACAACAAAACTGTACAGAGAGTTTGAAATTGCAATTGGTTTTAAAAGCTGGTTAGGGTATTGTGCTTACTTTCTGTCAAGGGGTTGAAGATCCGACTTTTACAACAATGATTAAGTTAGTAACTCAAAGGGAACACTCAAAGAAATTTAAATTCCTAATCCCCCTATAGAAGTCATGTTTTAATATAAAATCTCTGCTTGTTCTGAAAATGCAAACAACATTTTTTTGTTGACATTCTTCTGAAGAAGCTGTGGACCACACAACGAAACATGCAGAGAAATCCTGTTTTGGCCTTATGAACACGTTGGAATCACATTAAAATGTACTTTTATAATGATTAAATAAGATGAGGCGCTCAATGTTTTCCTGGACATTCGTAACAACTATGGTCTGGATCTTTTAATCACGTAATGTTCATGATTTATCACTATCATGCAAAATACGAAAGTTGAGGGCTGTTATTAAAATACCAGTAGAAAGATCTAACTATCTTTAATGTGACATACGTTGAACCTTTTCAGCGTAATACTATCCTCTGTATTAGTGATTTTAACGCAATGCTTTTAATTTTCCGTTGTTATACTAGGTTGAATTGTTCGACTTCTGTTGATATGTAGGCTCTTATGCAGGTGCTTCGATAGTGCCTGAATATTTATTATGGTAATTTACTTAGTTGTAGGTAGCAGCGGAATCTAGGATGCACGTTTCGTCCTAATTGAGACTCGTCGGCTGGATGTACCTGCACCTCACTGAGTGATATTTTTCCCAGTGAGATTCGAACCTCGTACCCATCTCTTCAAACACCAAGGCGTTATCCACTAGGTCACTGATGCACGAAACGCACATCCTGGATTCCACTGCTTGCCACCGCTAAGCAAATCCCAATTTTTGTTCCTCGTCTATATTCTAAACTCATAGGTTTATACTACTCATTGTGAAGTAAGTAGTTGAGATAGTTTTACAACAGCATTTAGCGCTCAAATTAGCCTTACCAATCTCATGGTTTGTCTATCTTCAATAAACTCGAAAAGCTAACAGACGTACAGTGACAGATTGGAAAATACTATGAAAAAGATATTTCATTTCAGTTATGTGAATATTTAGACTTTGATGCCTATTTTGCGAGTTTTTACCATTTCTACTTAGTTTAACTGTTGGTGCATTCAGTTAAATTGAAAGTATAACAACGGTAAAAATGCATGACGTATGGTCATCTTAGTTTTAGGGAACCCCATATTTTACAAGACGTTCTTTTAAGAACTACTTTTTTTTTTAGTATATAGAAAGTAAAAATCAGTAAACCTTGTTTATAACAATACAGTAAGTTTTGAACCTATTCAAACCTACAATGGATTGGATTGTTTATAAAAAAATATTGAGCACCAAGTAGAGCCACTTCATTGTTTTAAATTCATTTTTACTGTACATTAGGGTTACAAATATAAAATTTACTTGGTGTCATCAGCGATATATTAGCTGATAGTGAAAATGACATTTCGTCTCAATATCACATAAATGTTTGACTTTTGGATGCTTAAACAGATACCTGTGAAAAAGATAATTTGTGACTACTAATAAAAATTGATGCTATAATCTTGATGTTGATATCATGTTTGATAAGAGTTATCATATAGAATAATTGAAAGCGTTGGGACTACTTTAGTTCTGCGCTGTTTACTACATAGATTCTGCTTTCTAATCAAATGTCTTACTGTTAACCCTTTGGCTCATTGGTCTAGGCTTTCGACGTTCAACTGTTAAGTTACAGCTTCAGTTCTCACTCTACATACTGAGGTTTGGAACCTCAAGTAGTACTATTAGCTCTCAAGTAACTGGTGTGATTCACTACCTTCTGAACAAATGTGCACGTGATTTCTGTGTTGCATTTTGGTATTTTCGAGCACTGCATTATTCACACTATCTATACTGCATTTGATTATTGGAGCTATCCTTTGATCTTGAGATTCATTTTATTTAGCTTGATAGCATGATTTCATATCTAATAAAAAAGATTTAATTCAGTGCAGTTCATCGAATAGTCCTTAGGTTACGCTGTGGCAAGTGATTCCTTTAAGCCTAACTGTACAAACAATATTATTATTATAACTTACCATTCCACTAAGTGAACTGTACAATTTTATTTATTATTGTTTTAGGTATATTTAATGTTGGAGTAATAACGATGACATTGTATTGTTCAAATGGAGCTGTGGCTCAGTGGTTTGGACAGATGACTATCAACCAGTGGGTGACAGGTTCGAACTGCGCCCCGCCTGCTGAGGTTTGAGCGGTCAGGTAGCATCACTAGCGCTCACACAATAGGTATGACTCATTGCCTGTTGTACAGATGTGCACAAGGTGGTTGAATGCGTTTCGTCTGTTCGTGTGTATTGTTCAACCCACATTAGATGATGCGGAATTTAAACCTACTGTTTTAAATACAAGTGTACAAACCAATCACCCACATTAATCCATAAGTAGCACTTCGGGACGTTTTTAGGATATAATTCCATATTAGATTATGTATTTGATGTAGTAGACAGTGATGCGATATTATTTACTGAATGACGTTTCTATTACGAGCAGTAATTGCTGATTGTAATGTTACCCAGTAAAAAAACACTGTATCACTGTCTGCTATATCAAATTAACAATGCAATGAGCGACATCTCTGTTATGTCGTCTTGTAGCTCATTTAATTGGTAAAGTACTGAGCCCAAGACCCAGTAGTCGCTTGTTTGAATCCATCTGCTATTCAGATTTTCATTTCACCTTCAATCATCACCCAGTACCAATGTGTATCTGCCAAGCCACGATTATCTCCGTTGGTGAAACTGATAATCGGTAGATGAAATGATCAATGTTTATACATCTATTGTGAGCCATATCCATTTATGTGATGGCTATCCAGATCTTAGTAGATTGTGTTTGGTGTGGAGTCTATGGCCTAGTAGTTGAATGTTAAGTGCCTAATTGGATTAAGCCACAAGTATATATATATATATATATATATATATATATATATATATATGATGTTACAAAAATTTTGAAAAAAAGTGATTTATTCTTTTTTGCTTTGAACTGTGTCTTTTATTTTAACTTTTGAGTTATTTACCAATGCTCGCTTTTCATTCTTTTGTTTTTATGTAGTCAATTAGTCCAAATAGCCCGATCATTCTAATCGGTACACATTCTGGCTTGGACTCCTATTGTACCAAGAATCTAGGTGATAACAGTAGAATTCCGTTTTCACATTCAAACATTACCAGAAGTGATGGCAGCAACAACAAAACCAACAATAAAGCAGCAATTATCAACAACCATAAACTTCATTTAACTCTTATGGATTGGCTTGTTCGCAGTCGATTTTTTACAAATCCTGATTTAAACGCCTATGGTCTACCACATTTATACGGTCATATATTTCTTGACCTAATGGATGATGTGAAGCGGAATAAGAGTAGTGGTAAAGATTATGAAGCTTTAATGAATAAAATTTATGATTTGGGTACACTAATTCATAGAGCTGCACATAGTCAAAGTGTTTCAAGTGAGTTAGTTAGTTAGCTGAACTTCCATTTTATCATTATGTTGTATAGTTATATTTCGCTGGTTGATTTCTTGGTGCCTACTGGAGTTGTTGTAACTGATATGTTCATAAATTTGAAGTCATATGTTAAGGCAATTACATACTCGTTAATTGATACATACAGGTAGTTTGTAGAAGATATGAGACAGAGGCTTTACTTTTTTCTGTCACTTATCAGTAAACTGTTTTCTGTGATGCCATAAGAACCACCGCTGGACTTGTTTATCATACTCTCAGTTGTCCAGTTAAAAAGTGTCAGATGTTAATAATGAGATATTCAGCCTGTCTATTATTTATACAACGTCTAAAATATATTTTTCAAAATCAGATGGATAGATAGGCATACTGATAGACAGACACTCCCCATCGTTTGGTTGCTTTTCTTAAAAATGCCGAATACATTAGTTGTGATAATAAGCTCGACATTACAGCTCAAAGCAGTCGGCACCATATGATAGAAGACGCGTTTGTGTTTCATCACTGTCCACTGATTTGTAGATATAGTTCATTAATTGATGTCAGTCCGTGATGAATACCACCCTGAAAACAATAAATCCGCACAAACCTCCGAATCGAGTCATATTTTTGTCTACACTGCCTAGTTGATCAGCCACTTGAGAGCTACCCCATTTCACGTTGTCTCGTCTTAAGTGCTGACCATGTTCTGTCGATCATTTTGCAATGTTGCCATCAAGCTAGGAGGCTCACCGTTGCATCCCGGATAGCTCAGCAGTAACATCACTGTCTGCAGCACTGTGTGACGTGGGTTAGAGTCTCAGAGAGGAAATCAGTTCCTTTTAGGCCACGGGCAGGCCGTGCTGATGAGTGCCAACAACAGTCACGAAAGGTGGGTTCAGGGCTTTTTGTCGATTGCCTCTGACCAAACAACGCAGTGATTAATTATTCTCATCCATGTATAGGATGGTGATAGTGGACCTTCTCAGGTTCACTGACATGGCTTGTTGATAGGCGACATAATCAATCGCTGTGGATATTTATATGATTTTATTATCAGCTATTCATTGTTTTCTGTTATATTGAACAATATTAGCAGCATGAGATTTACTGTAGGTAAGTGAATCTTCCAACTGTAGTGATGCTGTATACATTTGAAATGTTTGTTATGAAATTGGATGTAGTGAATTAATATGATCATGGAATATGCCAGCTACTTCCTTGTTTGAATCATCCACAATGGCCAGTTAAAAGAGAACCAAAGTACTTGTTAGCCATTAATGCGATCATCAATAACAAACTTATAATTTATGATATTCATAAGGTTCCTTACGGTTTTCATGCAAGTAGTCATTACGTTGATTTAAATCCATATGATTATCGGTGAATGCGATTCTTAGCATGAATAATTCCTAGCAATGAATAGTTTTTTACAGCAATCATGAATAAAATTTTCAGAACACTGCTGACACTTGCCATTTTTCTTGGCCTGAAGCCGGGGTTTGACTCTGTTGACCATGGGTTGTTGTTGCAGGCTCTGACTGTAGAGGGAGTACCGAGAAAGTATATACTGCTAATCAAAGCTCTCTACTGGAACTCACGCGGCCATGTAAGGGCCTACGGGGAGTTGTTTTCAGGATTGAAGACAACTAGTGGTGTCTGCTAGGGATGTCCACGGCTACTGTTCTTATTTAACTTCAACATACATACACCAATAGAAATAGCATTAGGTACGTCTGACTTCACAAAGATTAACATACTTGCTGGAGGTGATCTAGTTGACTTGAAATATACAGACAAAATTGTACTGTTAGGTAAAGACGCTGACAAACTTCAGGGTATTCTCTACGCGTCGAGCAGAAATCTGAGTATGTTTAGATAGCTTGCGTTTTGCACCTGTCAAATGTAAGATGATGCTCTACGGCTGGTCTGCTGCAATTACCCCCAGTTTAATGATGAGGAGTGCAGTGGTGGGATGTGTCAACCACATCGCTTACTTAGGCAGCTGCTCCAGCTCGAGCGGACTAGTTACTGACGAAATCTCAGCTTGGATACAGAAGACCCGTATGGCATTTGCCAACTTACCTCATGTGTGATATCGACTGGTGAGTTATCCGACTGCCTATCAAAGAACGAGTATACTGAGCTGCAGTTAGTTCTGTTCTGTTGTATGGCTATGGGACGTCGAACAGACTTGAAGCGGTTGCAATGTCTTGATCATAGCTGTCTTCGTACCATTGCTCATGTTTGGTGGAATCGCCGTGTGAACAATGTTGAGGTCAGGTTAAAGTACTAGGCAAGACAGGCAAGTTGGTCGATAAGGTTGTGAAGCTTCATAGGCTGAGATGGTTTGGACATGGATTGTGCATGCTGGATTAGGTTGGAACAGGTTCAGGCTGGCCAGACCGAGATGTGGAACCAGCCGACTAAATCTTTAACTGTTAGTCCGAGTCGTTTGGCTGTGATCCTCGAGAAGATAGAAATCAGTGGTTGAGGATTCTTGGTGACATAATTGAAAATCAACCACAACGACGCATATGTATTTACTCCTTGACATTTTATTAAGCTTGAATATTTAGACTAACTCGTAGCTTCAGATTGTTTATTCTCTCACACTACTTTATCTTCTTTTGTATCATTCTTTTATCCACCTGTTCCTTGTGTACTGCTGTGAAGCGTGGCAACTTGAAGGGCTGCACTTGTGTGCGAGGTTCTGCTTTGCTTTTTTCAGAACAATAGAAAAGGTAATTATTATCGACGATGACCCTTGTTATATCGCAAACTGAAAAAGGTGGGCCATTGGATTCTAGACCAGTATTTCTCTGTGGAATTCTACTGTCCTGCGTTCGGTCTCAGATGATGTCATGGGTGTAAGCTGATCAATAGTCTTCTCCCTTCAGGGAGAATTATAGTAGCGTATTACTCTGTGTTAACCATTGCGGTAATTATCGTTCAGAAGATCCAGATCTGATACCATCGGTAAGTAGCAGTGATGTTGATTCCAGCATGTTCGATACCACAATAACGTAAAGAAGGAAGAACAATGGTCCATGAATTGTATCCTGAGGAAGACCACTGATAACAGGTGGCCACTCTGACGATTTTCTATTCACTCTAACTCTTTACTTTCCCTCGTGCAAATAATTCCTAATCCTGGCTTGAACCCCATTGTCAATATCGAATTTGTGAAGCTTATTTATCAACCATGTATGTGAGACTTTATCTAAAGCCTTGCTAAAGTTCGCAAATACCATAATCACAGGGAGTTTGTTGTTCATAATTTTTACCCAGTCCTCCCTCACCAGGATTAGGATTTTCAAACAACAGCACCCAACCCTGAAGCCATATTACTCTTGTGTCAGTAGGTTATATGTTTGTTGTTCCTGTTTTGTGTAATCTCGTAGTATCTTCTCCATTTTCTTGACTACGATTCGAATATGATTAACTGGTCAGTATTTGGTGACTAGTTGTTTACTATCTCCTGTAAATAAAAGATTGATTATAGCATTTATATCATTATACATTTATTTCTAACCTCACGGTCTTAAAATAGGACGAAACTGTTCTCCAGTACTTTCTTGTTTGCATCCCTCCTATTGGTGTCAAAAACTAACTTGCTAGGATACTGAACTACGGCTTTACAAACTGGTCTTCACTTTTTTCTTTTTGAGAACGCTTACGAGTAACGGTGCAGTCAGCCAAAAATACGAGTGATTCTTTCCTCTATGCAACAACATCACTTATGAGTGAGATAGGGGAGTTAGTGTCATCTTGACCGAATAAATAAATGGCGTATTAGTAGGTGTATGATTTTTCGCCTCGAGTTCTGACTTTCTGTGATGTCTTCTAGTCTCTTTTATAGTTTCCCCATATCATAATAAACAGTATTCGAGATGATAAAATATGTAACAACAGGTATCACTGAACTATTAACTTTCAAGCTCTTTATTACTTCAATTTCAGTTTTAATGCACACTCTGCAAAATAGGAGCATCATACAAAATAATCTAACAATATTATGAAGAAATAGAATGGAAAGTGGTATGTGAAAATATACTGGAGAGAATCCCATTATATATGCTCGAAAAGCTTCGATCATTTCGGTTTTAATTATCTAAAATGTGAGATACAAAAAAGTCACAGCATAATGCTCACTGGTTTTGATTCTTAACCGTTTCTGATAACCCACTGAGTTACGTGATTGCTCAAAACCTGTATAGGATATCATAAAATACCAGTGGAACTTACCATAATACAATTCTTCTTTTCACAGCATCATACCATGGACTGACTATCTTTCTATTCCCTTCCGTCTGTTTCTAAAGCTGCCAAACTGGGAGGGCTTTGAAGCTGCTAGGATCAGATGTGTAGGGGATGTCCAAATCAAAGATGCGTTGATTTTTCATGGTGGAATTACTTGTTCAATGATGATTTTCGTCTCTTCTGAGCATGCATCCCGGGATTAGTTAATTATTGTCCCCACTGACTGTGAGCATTCTTCGGAAATAACTTTGTTGCAGCACACGGAGTTATCAGACACAATGAGCTTTTAGGAGGCTAGGTCTTACAGGCGTAGAGCAGGACTGTTCGTTCAGAAGCTTGGAATATCCGGTCTAGCTATCTTCCGGACAGCACACTAGGTGACTCAGGTTAGAGTAAATTGCTTTAGCTTTCGATATTAGAAATCACACACCACACAACAACCTAGATACGCAAACTTCCAAACTAATAACAACAATATACTTCTAGATATAAGCTTATGCCTAGACTCATATCGATTCTGTACAAGTCAAGTGCATTTCAATAGTGTAATGCATTTGTCGTACTCATGGGCACTGATCACTACGTAATCCAATGCGATTTGAGTCGGCTATATGTCTCACTGAAGAATAAGAACTTTGTGAAACAATTGTTTTGCTGTTTGAAACAGTGCAAACAAGCCAAGTTCGTAGACAATATTGAGCAGTAGAGTGAAGTAATGAGAAAGGTGGAAGTAAAAATGATTGATAATAGTCTTTTGTGTAATAATATGTAGTAAAACATTAAATATAGATTGTAATGCTAGCTTGATTGACAGTCAGCATACGACGTAAGCAGTTTACAGTCTTCATTACGATCATATGCCACTGTTCATATGAGGATAGATGTATTATTCAGAAAACAAGGCTTAAGAACGAACTTGCTTTTGGGGACCAATTTTTGAGCTTTTCGCTTGAAGTGTAATCCTGTTGACGACGAAGCACTGCTAAGAGCTTCATCTTTACTATTGCAGATTGCGAAATAAATTGAAGCCATTTTCTTACATTCTGGATCTTAGAACCTGTAAGCATCATTTCACTAACACTGACTGCTGGTTTGATCTGTATAGTGAAGTTTAGGCTTCTTGATCGGGTTCTACACGACAACGGAAGTCGATGGTTAGAGACACTTTTTATCACTTAGAATTGATTACAGTTGTTCAGGTGTATACACACATAATCTCTATTCGTAATTTCATATGACATTTCGTTATTTGTTTTATCCCCCTATTCTTCTTCGATAATTTTCTATAATCTCCGACTGCAGTTTTTACTTTTTTTTTAACCTTTTATCGTTTTGTCTTGTATCATGATCTGCTGATTTTGCTTAAGGAAAAGTGAAGCGTTGCGTGGTAATGCTAGGTTCCGTGTTGATATTGATTTACTCATTGACTCATTTGTAATGGAATCAGAATCTCCCGACATCGTCAGATCGGACTTTCGTTTCCATCAATCTGATTGTGATCTCCGAGCATTCACTTTCTCCCTTCCACTTTTGTGAAAGGATACCAGCAAATTAAAGCAATGAGTAAGGTTTTCTAGTCGCAGGCTTTGAATGCATAGCCGTTTGAAAGTAGTTCATGAGTTCGAATCGCCCTGTACTGTACTACAGCTTTCAAGTGGCGCTATGTACATGTTTGGGATTAGACAGAGGTTTCATTTTGTGAGCTATATTCTTCAACTTGAAACAATTTGCCCAGTAGATAATAGAAAGGTTCTACAGTTTGCTGAAGGTTGGTGAAAGACTGGTCTGGTTACTAAATTCTTCTTAATAAAATTCTTCATTTTCTATGGAAGGGTGTAGTTTGTGCCGAATTCTAGGTGTGGGTTACACCAATTGGGTGCGTACCCAACAACTTGATCTACAGGATGAATAACTAACAGTGATAACATCAAATGTTAATTTGCAAGAAAGTAGCTCTTCGTAGTCTATTGTTTAGTTATGTTTTGTTTGAAGCTGTTTGCAAGTTTTGTTTCTCAGTGCCCACACACCCTTTTCTTTCGGGTGCATATCCAGCAGACGATTCCAAATTAAAACAAAACATGACTTCTGAGTTTGTTTGTTTATTCATTTCTAAGTAGGATGAAACTACATTTGTTTGCTCTTTGTGTGATTTCTTCTTCTCCTGTTTTTTTTGTTGGCATTTTATGTCTTTCATTATCATTCATCAAACGAACAAGACCGAACAGTTAACAGTTTATTACCCGGTGTATCAGTGAATGCTAGTTCACACTTATCACTTCTACAATTACCAATACCAAGACTTTATCATTGTGCAGAAAGGATAACACAACAATTAGCTACCGAAATGCACTACGCTAAAATACCCCCAATCATGAAGGTGAATAAATTCTTGTAAGTGTAATTCACTCTTGTAACTTTTCATTAAGATATCATATTCTCATATGGTTCATTCCTTGTTTAATGTTTTACTTCACTGATTTAAATTATCGAGGTCAGATGCATTGCTTTAGTTATCGGACTTAAAACCAGTGTGTATGGGTTTGAACTCAGTTTCATCTTTTAAGATTGAGCAGTCATGTAGTATGATCGACTTCATTACTTCATAAGATATAGTTTCAAGTTGTTATTCATCGTAGACTGACATCAGTTGGAGGGACAAACGAAACCTGGGAGCACTGGACAGCTGTTTCGTCCTAGTATGGGACTCCTCAGCAGTGCGCACCCACGACCCCACACTGCTGAGGAGTCCCGTACTAGGACGAAACAGCTGTCCAGTGCTCCCAGGTTTCGTTTGTCCCTCCAACTGATGTCAGTCTACGATGAATAACAACTTGAAATAATTCCAAATCTTCACAACTCCCTCAAAATTTAAGATATAGTTTGTATTTGTGTAAGTCACAGCGTGTTTAAAATTAGGTAATTCCAACGTTTCGCATGGAAGTCTGCTCCGAGCTTCTTCAGAGAAATAATTAAAATATCAAGAATACATAAATTAATGCAAAGACTCGTATTTGATCTCTTTGTTCAGTCCTCTTCCTATAGTCATTGTCTTTCTAAAATCATTCAGTGTGAAGTTGTATGTCTCTTGTTGTTTGGCTGGCGTATGTATGTTACCACTCATATTCTCCTTTCTTCTAAATATCAGGCTAAGAGGTCACAGGTGATATTATAGTCATTCGACAATTTTATAAGTACAGTGGAATATATATAAGGTTGATATATATGTCATTTTTGATGAAGCTCGGACCAGAATTCCGTGCGAAACTTTGGAATTACTTCATTTCAAACATGCGGTGATTTACACAAGTACAACCTATATGTAATGTCAACGTTTTACTCAGCACCCATTATTTGCCTTTCTATTCGGTCCAATCTTGTTCATATCTTGTTCATTGTTCATATTAATTCATGACTTCAGTTGTGGCTTATAGCGTAGTAGAAGGTGATTATGATTGTTGAATGTATATAGTACTTTTACATAGTGATGAGACTAATATTATATAAAAATGCTACTGGTTGTTGTGTAAATGAAAATTCTAACTTGTTTCTCACTGTTTTTTGTAACTGAGTGATTCTAGTTTCTAAAGCTGCTAGGCCTTAAATAACGTGGTGTTTTTATTATTTATCATCGACATCTTATACTTTTTAGATATATGATGTTGCCTGTGCATATATCTAGCTAACTAGATCTAAATAGGACAAAAGGCGCGTCCTGGATTCCACTGCTGGCCACTATCCCTAATTAGTTCCAAAATTGATAACACTGTTTATGTCTTTTTTTCGCTCACTCATCATTTTCATTTTTTCTGATTACAACATATAGCTACTTGAATGGATGCAATTTCTTGAGGTTGTCTACTGTTATGGCTATCTTTCTTCACATAATTCGTTATGCAGTTAAGTGGAAATAGGAAAAGAATTTACGGTTTATTTCCGTACAAAGCAATCATAGTTGACGTTTACGCATGAGAGTGCTGATCAAATGTATACTTAGTTCTTTAAGTGAATGTATTTTCCTAATACTTCTCTTGGTTCATGCTCCTAGTCAACAGTGAAGCTGTGGGTCACTGATTTAAGCTTTCGACATCCAACCAATTAACCACGAGTTCGAATTCCTTTTTACCTATCGAGATTTAGGTGGCCAAGTAGTATCATCAACTCGAGCATGAGTAGTGTGACTCATTGTTCATTACACCTGCATGTACATAGTTTCTGAGAACATATCGTTTTCGATTTCTGGTCAGCTAAAATTAGATGTTTAAAGTAAAAATGTAGTTCGAACGTTATGATCTTATTATATAACAACTCAAAACTAATTAGCCTATTTATTCAGTTAACAATGAGAATTGATGTGCATGTTAACTGGTTTACACTATCCAACTTTAGCAAATTAGCAAGCATATGTATTTGCTCTTTTTACTTTTGTTGTTGTCTGTAAAACTATAACGTTGTAGTATTATCGACTTTTGAAAAGCTATTGTATATTTCTCTCTTCATCTCTTCCACCACTATACTCTGAATTTAGTTGTACAGCTTTCTGATGTGTGCAGTCATTCCGGAAGTCTGTAAGCTCTTGTCTCTTTAAGTTAAAAATGCTTCATATTTCATTTTATTTGAAGAATTAAGTTGAAAATGCCAGGTGAAGAATAACATTAATTGTTTCCAGTTGCATAGATTTCTATTCAGAAGCACATCACCTTCAAGACATTTATGAATACAGAAATTCATAGACATAGTTAATGTGTAGTATAGTTTCGATAGTTTCAGTTGAACGTTTTAGTATTTAAATGTGAAGGACTGTAAAATATTTAACAAAAAGGAATTTGAAGCTAAATTAAAGTACCTTCGCCTTTTAGCGAAAGTCGATGGATGTTATATTGTTTGTTAAAGAAGTTTCGGAATGCCTTGCTGTAATTACATAATAATACAACTAAATTATTAAGTTGGGACTAGAAATATGTTGAAAAGAGGATGATTATGCCAGCAGTAATGGTTTTATTGAATCGTAAAGAAGAGAGAAGATAATATAAGCGCCACAAAAATGCCGTGTCTTTGACTCAACAGTCGTAGGTTTCGCTCGTTCGGATTGTGACTGCATGCTGTATAACTGTCTTTCGTGGTAATTGGACCACCCTTCCATCCAAGACTTCTCATTTCAATTCAAATACTGCTGAATTACAGACAAGGAATGTTCGCAGGACAGTTGGACAAAATGTTGGATGATTGAAGTAAAGTTAAAACTTGGTCATCATCTGAGTGTCATTTCTAAGTTGATAGAGAACAGAACCAGTAACCTAAAGGTTGCTGGTTCAAGGCTTTCCACAAACCAGGCCTTCATTTTACTGTCAACCATTACAGCGTGTTAGTAATATCAAGCTGCCAAACCATGGTTTTTGCAGACGGTCTGATCAACAAAATATTTGTGATAAATTAATTTATTCTTCAATGCAGAAATGACAGCTGCTTCAACACTACGGAATACCACAAACCTGTATCAATCTCATTCAACAGCTATATGACGACGCCAGATGCCAAGCGAATCACAATGAAAAGCTCAGTGACGCCTTTGAAGTGAAGACAGGAAGGAGTAGGACAAGGTTGCTTACTATCACCCATGATTGCAGTCGACTGGACTGAACTAGACCATGCCTAAGACAACTATGAGGAGCCAGAAGAGGGGCATACACTATTTGACCAATGTAAAGACCCCAGAAGAAGATTTGGATTTCGCCGGCGATAATAATTTATGTCTGATGTCGCACAAACTCGAAGATATACAGGCAAAAACCAACAAGTTGACGGAACAGGTGAGGCACAGAAGACTGGACTTCAAATGAACGTAGAGAAGATAGAGATGATGAAGATACCCAACCAACAACAGCATCAAGGACAAGCACCAATCACTATGAACAGGAGAAACCTAAAGGAAGTTGCCTTTTTCACCTACCTAGGCAGCATCGTTTAACTACAAGCGGTGGCACAGATGAGGATGTCAAAGCTAGGATTGGAAAGGCAGCAAGACAGGCCTTCATTAACCTGAAACCAGTGTGGAGATCTGCACTCAGGATAAAGCGTGAACAAGATCTGGATTTTCAACACGAAGTCAGTCAACTCAGTGTTTCTATGTAATGGTTTAGAGACTTGACGCGTTACGAAAGGGATTTCCAACAAACTACAGACATTCATGAACAGCTGCCGCCTACGCCCACTCGATACTGAAGATCAAATCCCCAGAATAACAAGAATAGGCAGCGAGGAACGCTGGCTAGCTAGCAACAAACCAACCAAGAACCCGTCGTCCAACAAATATGCAGAAGAAAGTAGAGATGGATTGGATTGGGCGTACACCGAGAAGACCCATTGGAGACATCATGCTCCGGTCCAGGTCGTCTTGTGGAATCCAAAATGGAAACGACGAGTTTGACCTCTGAGTCGAGGGTGACATAGAGGAGATCATGTGAGGAAGAAATGAAAGGTTGTGGGGAGCCGTGGAACTAGGTTCAAAGGACTACAGAGAAGTGAAGTACTTTAACCGCTTTAATATCAAAATATGAATTGGTCTGATGATTTTTCGGCTTTTGCCTTAGAAAGTACTTAAACTGTACCTCTTTACTTTCTTTTTTTGTTTGCCTTAGACTCGAGTTGAATAGACGCCTTTGTGATTTACTTTCTAATTCTACGAGAATTCATCTGTCATCGATATATGACAATAGTAGTCATCGCAATGAAGTTCCATATGTCGTACAAGATTCTGTGAACAATCTATCACCTCCACCACCATCATCAACAACAGTAGCATCTTCATCATTATATCTCACTTGTAATACAAATGGATTTTACACATATGCTGAAGTGAAAGGCATATTGTTATTTCTTAGTCAAATCGGTACAATCGTACACTTTAAACACCATAAAGTCCTTAAAAATATTGTGTTTTTGTCACCTGTTTGGTTGTTGGATATATTGTTGAAATTGATAACTATCGTGCATAATGAACGACTATTTGGTTCATCTAATAGGCATTTAATAAACGCTCTATATGAATGCAAATTTGCCAATTCTTCATCAAACATTACTGATCTACAGTATAATCAACTTACTGCTAGTCAAGATAATTATGGTACTAATGTTTATGATGATGTTGTTGATCCATCTTGTTTGAAACGTAATTCAGGTTTGTTACCACTGGCTATGAATAATATTGTGTATTTCTAACTATACTACTATTTTATAGTCAGTAGTTAAATTGTGATAATCCCCAAGGGTTGAACTTGGTCATACGGCATGTGATTTTCTCAGAAAAATATAAAGAGGAGAGCATAAAGAATCTTTGTATGAAAAAGATATATGAAAATAATAAGTTTGACGGTTAGAAATTGTTATATTTTCCAGGCATACGACAATTGGTTTGTCAAAAATCAGCAAAAACAAGAAGTAGAAAAACCTATATGATAAATGACGATTTCAGAGAGGTATATATCACAATAACTCGGACGATATCTACATGTAATGTTTTTCAAACTATAATTTGTTGTGGGTTAGTGAGAGGGTAGGTGTTGTAAGCATTCATCAGAATTTCCTGTTCTCATTGTATCAGAGAATTGGATCAAATAAACTGGTTGGTTGTCAAATAGTAACCAATACTACTGAACGACACGAATAGTTAGAAACTACTCAAGCTAATGTGTAGATTTCGCTAATCAGAGCATAGTAATATAGACACCGGAAAGCTGTTTTCTGTTGAGCTCAACACTGTTGTACTGAGTGGATTCAACTCGCAGAGCCGAATTTTTCAGACAAGTCGAGTCTGGCTGGCTAACTTGGCTTGCGTTAAATAGGATGATCAATCTTCGAATGTTATGCTCCCCACATATAAGTAGTTTTTCAGCCTTTCAAATGTGATATCAACAGATTTCTATGTTCTCCAGTTACCAGACATCTAAATGTTGCTCTGGAGCAACAAATCCATCAAAGCCAGTTAGTGGTTGTCTTGATCCAATGATCACTCTCCACCACGTTGTGGAATACAGGTATACTTACCGACGCCTAACACGCTGTATTTCTTGATCTGAAGGTGGAATTTGACTGCCGAGCAAGGGGTCTTACAGAAGTTTGTCTGAGGTGCCGAGTAAGCACATCACTCTGTTGAACACTACTCTAACACATGTGGGCGTGTTGGAACCTATTTGAGTAGTGTACTTCGTGTAATGTCCGTCATGGAGGTTTTTTCTCTAATATAGGTGTGAAATTTGGGCACTGTGGTGGAAATTAATTCCATATTAGATTTGTTCATTTGATTTGTAACACACGGTGATTTAGTATTATTTAATTGGTGATGTTTCGAGTATAAATAATTACTGCTCATAATCATATCAATGTAATCACGCTACTTTCGACATTTGATTTTTATAGTTACGTCACTTCATATTATTATTTTTATTATAAGTCTCTTGGGTTCCTAGTGGAACATAGGGCTTCAGTAGTACGTCTCCAGTGACCTCTGTTCTCTGAGATCTTTTGAACCTGGTTCCACGACAGCCCACAAGCTCTCATTTCTTCCTCGCACGACCTCCTCCATGTCACCCTCGGACGTCCAACTCGTCGCTTCCCATGGGGATTCCACTCGAGCAACTGGCCTGACGCGTGATGTCCCCAGTCGGCCTTCTCAGTGCATGCCCAATCCATCTCCACTTCCTTCTGCATATTTGTTGTGTGATAGGTTCTTGGTTGGTTCGTTCCCAGAGTTCCTTGTTGCTTATTCTTTCTGGCCATCTGATCTTCAGTAGCGAGCCAGTGTAGGCAGTTGTTGATGAATGTCTGTAGTTTGTTGGAAATCCCTTTCGTGACGCACCAAGTCTCTGAGCCATACAGAAGCAGTGACTTGACGTTGGTGTTGAAGATCCGTATCTTGTTCCGCATGCTGAGTGCAGAAGATCTCCACACTGTTTTCAGGCTAATGAACGCCTGTCTTGCTTTTCCGATTCTGACTTTGACATCCTAGTCTGTGCCTGTACCGCCTGTAGTTGAAACAGTGCTTCCTAGATAAGTGAAGGAGGTTACTTCCTTTAAGTTTCTCCCGTTGACGGTGATTGGAGTTTGTTGTTGTTGGTGGTGGTGCGGTATCTTCATCACCTCTGTCTTCTCTATATTCACTTGAAGTCCCGTCTTCGCTGCCTCTTCTATCAACTTGTTAGTTTTCGCCTGTAGATCTTCAAGTTTATGTGACATCAGGCACATGTCATCGGCGAAATCCAAGTCTTCTAGGTTCTTTTCCGTCGTCCAGCGTATCCCCCTCTTCTCGCTGCCTACTGTTTGCTGCATGATCCAGTCGACCACAATAAGGAATATCATGGGGGATAGTAGGCAACCATGTTTCACTCCTGTCTTCACTTCGAAAGCATCACTGAGCTTCCCATTGTGAATTACTTGGCTGGTGTGTGGCGTCTTCCTATAGTTGTTTAGTGAGGCGGATAAAGGTTTGCGGTACTCCATAGTAATGAAGCAGTTTCCAAATTACTTCTCTGTCGACGCTGTCAAAGGCCTTCTCAAAGTCGATAAAGTTGAGGTAGAGAGCTGATTGCCATTCTACGCTCTGTTCTATGATGATGCGTAGTGTGGCGTTGCAATTTGGTCGGCACATGGTTTGTACTTCCTGAAGCCTGCCGGTTCTGGTCGTAGTTTTGAATCCAGTGCATCCTTTAGCCTCCCCAGGATGATGCGGCTTAATATTTTGCTTGCACTGGGTGGACAGGAGAGTGCTTCCGCGCCAGTTCTTGCAAACACTGAGGTCTCCCTTCTTCGGGAGTTTGACAAGGTAACCCTTCTTCCAATCAATGGCCAGGTACCTTCTCTTCCTTCCACACCTTCTGCAATAGTGGTGTGAGCATGTCCGCTGTTGTCTCTGCATCTGTTCTCAGTGCTTCTGGCGGTATTCCATCTGGTCCTGCTGCTTTCCCGCATTTCAGTAGCTTTATGGCGTTCAGGACTTCCATTTTCGTTGGGGGATTTATGTTCACTTGTAATTCAGCGGCTGCAGGTGGTATTTCTGGACGAAGTGCAGGTGGTGGTCGATTCAAGAGCTTCTTGAAGTGGTCGGCCCATCGTTTCCTCTGTTTCTCTTCTTTTGTAATTAAATTTCCTTCTTCATCTTTTATTGGTTTCATCTGTGTTGGTCTCTTCCCTGATAGCAACCTGGTTATTTGATACAATGTCGTCAGGTCTCTCTTACCTGCAGCCTGTTCTGCTTCACTTGCCAGTGTGTCGTAGAAGTGTCTTTGCGTGCACTCTTCTTCACTTCTTTGTCCAGTGTTTTATACATTGTGCTCAGTTCCTCTTGTCGTTGAGCATCCTTGCACTGGTTTATCTTCTGCTTCACCATCCTCCTCTCCTCTATCAGCTTCCAGGTATCCGTCGAGATCCATTCCTTGTCTTCTTTCTTCTTCCTTCCTAATACGGCTGTGCAGGTTTCTTTCCACATAGCTTTCAAAGACTTCCAGTGTTCTTCCACACAGGTTTCTTCAGGGATGTTGCTCGATGTCTCCCATTTTGTCTTGATGGCTGATTTGAAGATCTCCTTTGTAGTTTCATCCTTCAGTTTCCGAGTGTTGTACTTGAATTGTGGTCTATCACCAGCTTCCTTGAAGGCTTTCAACTTGATTTGGAAAGCAGGTTCCTTGCACTAGATAGTGGTGTGAACCTACATCTGCTCCTCTTCTTGACCTTGTGTCAAGTAGACTGCGTCTCCATTTTCTTGAGATTGAGATCAAGTCGATTTGATTTTTAGTGTGTCCTGGTGTCTGGTGAAATCCATGTCGCTTTGTGGATATCTTGTGCCTGAACACACTACCTCCAATCACCAAATCGTTGAATGCGCAGAATTCTGCAAACAATTCTCCATTCTCGTTCATTTCACCCAGCGCTTCTCGACCCATGGTTAGTTCTCTTCCTGTGTTGTCCCCTCCCAGTTTGGCATTCATGTCGCCCATTGGAATTTTGATATCGCCAACTGAGGTGGGGTCTTGTCCAGTGTTGATTGCAGTTGTCTGTAGAATTCCTCCTTTTTCTCTTGCTCTGCATTATTTGTAGGTGCATAACATTGTATGATTGTGACCTTCTTCCTTTTGAGTTGAACCTTGCTGTCATGATCCTGGAGGAGATTGGTTCCCACTGCATGAGAGCCTTCGATGCTGTTTGGGACATCATGATAGCCACTCGATAACTCAGTGTGCTCGTGGTTGTCGTCTGGGTGACACGGAGTAGATTATTGATTCTCCAGTTGACAGTTTGGAGAGTCCACTCCCATTCCATCTGCTTTCGCAAATCCCAAGCACTTCGATGTGATACCTTCTCATCTCGTTTGCAATCTGGGCTGCCTTACTGGGTTCAAACATGGTGCGAACATTCCATGTCCCCACGTTTACTTTCGCTTTCATCGAGAGAAGACACATCGGCCAATTGGCTTCCTGAAGGCTTTCACCAACTGGCGTCATTTCGCCTCTCCAATTCCAGAGAGGAATAATTTTGTTATTATTTTTTATATTTTGTTTGTGCTTTGAAGTTTGTTTAGCGGTTAGATTTGTTTTACGGTGTAGGGTTGCTAGCCCTATGCCCAACGTTCCCTATTTACCCGGGCTTAGGACCGGCTAGTAACTAGTAAACTAGTTAACCAGGCGAGGTTACGTCACTTCATATGAGTTGTTTTTATTGGTTGCAAAATTTTCCATATCTCTTTTATGGGTGTTGCGTCATTTCTATTACATGTGTTGAGTGTTGATTCGATGAACTAAGATTCAGTAATCAATCTCTCCATCTCAGTACAATCTCTTTATCCCACCCTATTGTGTAGTTGTCTGTTAATGCAAGCATAGCAATAGCCAAGTTTTTCTCTAGATTATTGATCCTATTTACGTCTATTATTCTATATTTAGCTTAGTTCCTATGTTCGGCTATTCTAACTGACCCCAACCGACTAGTTTGACCTATATACCTGACCGCACAGTCATTACATGGTATTTGATAGATTATATTATTTTACTTAATTGGTGTATGCGGTGTCATTATCCATCCCGTAATATGATGCATGGTATCGAGGGTTTCACGTAGCTTATGCACCACGAGTTTCTAAATCTAAACGCAACAATCGTAGTGATTATGGACCAAATACATCTTTACATGGAACTTCTACTGTCGTTTTCAGTATGAGAATATTTTTGCGTTCTTTGCTGTTGTCTCATTATTTACCTTTGCAGAATCGAGTAACCACAGTTCTTCATTCAAATATGCCAGTATTTTTAGTAGTAAATTATGGTCCAAAGAAAGCCTGTATTGTATGAGATGGCAACTAAGTTGTAACCAATATCGTGTTCACAACTTTAGTGTTAATTAACGTCTTTTAAGAAGGGAATGCCAAATTACTTTCAAACTTATTGATGAATCAATTGTATCTAATGTGGTACTCTAGAGTTATTAGTGTTAACTGCTTTTTGCGGGATGACATTTGTTTGGATCCTAGATACAGTAGTATTCTCCCCTCAGTTATCAGATATGCTGTAATGATGAGACCCAACAGGCATACTTTTTAGGTTTAGAGCCTTTCTTCGATTACTTCAAAGCATTTGACTCTAAGCTTTAAAGTATGATACAATTCTTGTACGTATTCTTATAAAATGAAAGAGTAAGCACATTTTATGCGGGAATTATAATTATAATGGATGCGCATTAAGTTCACCATCTCCTTTTTGCCTTTCTTTTTCTTTGCCATCCAGCTGTCATCAATTCGTCTTGTTTAAAAGAATTAATAAACTCTCTGATGAACTCAGATATTTTTCTTGCATATTCAAACAGAAACTGGGATGCTGTCGAAGGAGATGTCTCATTTAAAAGTATATGTATCCCATTACTTAAACATTTGGATTTAATTATATCGATTCGTGATGACAGTTATGATGATAACCATTTTAATTATGGACAGTTTTTAATACCATCTCTACTAGCTGCACGTTGTTTTCAACCTAATCTTTTACACTCTTACCTGCAACCAGCAGTAATTAGATACCAAGTAACTAAATTTTTCAATAACTACTCATGTGTCATTGATTATATGTATATCTATATCATAGCAGTATTCACGAGTTATGGTCTTATCCTAACGTTACATCATTACCAGTACGCATCACCTGAGCCACTAATTACATATCTTAATATTTCCTAGGGGTTGATTGTGTATCTCCTATACAGTTGCAACACATGGTCATTTTGGATGGTTACAAGTATTTATTTAGTTACTAGGGTCATCACAACATCATTTACTTGTGGCGGAATCCGTTTGTGGGTAGCACGAAAGTTTTTTATAGGGTTAGGGTACGTCATTTGGTGAATTTCAGTTGACTAAAGTGTTTTCAGGATACTTTTGTAGGCTACAAAAACGCTGAATTAATAAAAATCCAGTCCAGCAAGAAAAGTGACACTGGTCGTTGATATCTTCAATGATTAAACTGATTGATGTAGGTAAGTGTTGGCAAGATAAGTGAAACTCATCGTTAGAAAGTTTACATAATACATTCGGAATGCAATACATTTCAAAATCAGGTAATTTCTTTATTTATAGTATTGGCCAATTGTGCCAACAGGTTTTCTTCAGTCTTACTGTCTGTTCTAAGTCTCGCAGGAATTTATTTACCTCACTGAATAGGATGACAATTTTGTAAGAGTCAATAAAAGTATGACGTCATTTATTGGTAGTAATCGATAGTCTTACTGCCTACGCTCGATACTGAAGATCATGTGACCAGAAAGAATAAGCAGCAAGGAACTCTGGGAACAAACCAACCAGGAACCTATCGCCCAACAAATATGCACAAGAAAGTGAGGATGGATTGGATTGGACATACACTTAGTGGACCATTCGGGGACATCACGTACTGGGCTCTCGAGTGGGACCCTGATGGGAGACGATGAGTTGGGCGTCCGAGTGTAACATGGAGGAGGAGATGGTGTGAGGAGGGAATGAAAGCTTTGGACAGTCGTGGAGCCAGGTTGAAAAGACTACAGAGAAGAGATTGAAATGGCAACTTGCTACTGAAGCCCTATGTTCCACTAGAAACTCAAAGGACAAATAATAACAATAATAATATGGTCTTACTACTTCTTCCTGATACCTGACACAAAACTTTAAGCTATTCCCATTCTGGACAGAGTAGACCCTATAAGAGACTCAATATGAGTTAGCAGCATATTATTTTGAATGGATTGCGGTTATTACACCTTTATCTGACTGTACTATGCATCAACTGAAGATATTCTATGAAGTTTAGGGTTGATTCTCTTTTTTTCTCGTTACTTTTACAATTAGAACGATTTTTTGTCTACAGTACAAAAGCCTCATTTCCGTTCTCAATCAGTTGATGTTTCCACTCATCGATCATCAAATGTATACAACCGACAGAAGTTAAATCAGCGCATTAGTATAAATACGAATAATTACAACAGCATGGATAACACTGACAACTGTGTTGATAACTGCAGTGACAGTAATGACATTAGTAAAAGTAATAATAATGTTAGTAGTAAAGTGAAAGAATACAGCACTACTTCGTCTCACCAACTTGTTTGGCATGTTCAAACATCAGCCAGCAAAGAAATGGTACGTATATATGCCCTTACCTATATACCACCAGGTTTTTGGGTACAGTTGAATACAAGACTACTGAATGATTCAAGTTTACAAGGAATTTGTGGGTAATTCTTATTATCATTATTGTTATTGTTTAACCTTTGTCGTTTCAAAAATCATTTTTCTACAATCGAGTGATACACTAGCTCAAAGCATTTCTGGTTATTTAAACTTGTTTCATGTACTTAGAATTATGTAATGATCGAAATACTATAGACCTGTTACCGAGACTGAATTGTATTAATTTGTCTTTAACCTAGTGAGATAATGATTGAGTGTAACACACCAAGGTTCTCCAAACACTTTTCGGTCTGAATGTTGAGAACAAAATATTCGAGTTTGATTATGAAGTAAGCGTTGTAAAAATGCGTTGTACAGTCAGATAATTTCCTATTTCATTGCTTGTAGTTTCTCATCATTGATTGCACCGAACTAATTGCTCTCCATTGGTGTATAGGCTTCTGTGTGGATACTTTGATATGCCGGTAATGTCAGTTTGCTAGTGACGATGTATAGTGACTAGCAGTAGGATCTTGAATCTACGTTTTGTCCTATTGTTTACTCGTTGGCTGGATGTACATATACCTTAGTCAGTGATGTTGTCCCCCTCCCTGAAATCAGAAATTAAAACCGACCGTTATCACGACTAATTGCCGTAGTTGATGACGCTCTATCATTTAAAATGATTGGTCTTGTTTTCGAGTCCTGGTGGGAACGACGTCAATCACTGGGAGGCAGGTGCACTAATGAGTCCCTAATTGAAGAAAACTTGCATCCTGGATTCCGCTACTGCTCAGTGTCAAATATTGCTATCAAAATAAGTTCTATTAAGAATCGTCAGTGTTAAAAGGCATACTTGACCAGGTTTCTTTTTTGCCTCGTTGTTTCAATTCTAACAAAACACTGAAATGCTTACTACCTATAATCATAGCTGAGTGAGAAACTTTAGTTGTAGTTGCATGCATATAATGCTTGTGACAGCCTTACATGCGGGTATACAACATGATTCTCCTGCCAGAACCGCAACAAATGCGCCACACAAAATAGTTTAACAACATTATGAAGACATAAAGCGAAGGGAAGTGGATAAAACTTAAACAATAAGAAAAGAATGATCAGAAGGGCAGTCCAGTAAGGTACATTTTTAAGACGAAACATCCATTACTTTTCAGCAGCAGAAGATAGTAGGAAGCTGCAACATGACTGTCACCAGTTTCGATTCTGAGCCATATCTGATAACATCTCAAGCTACTGGGTTGTGTGATCTCCCGGACCCCATCCAGAGAGCCGTGATGCAGTAACATTTGGTAACCCGACACAACTATTCTTCATCCCATAGCACCACTTCATACAATGACTACCCCTCCACTTCTTCCATCAGGTACCAAGGCTAGCAATGAGTGGACGGTACGGAAACCTTTGGAACGACATGCGTAATACATGTCCGTGCCGCCGAAACTGGTGTTTCCATATGACTTCAGGTATTGAATGACGACCTCCGTCATGTCTAAACACACGCTGTCATACCTCAATTACTTATATTGTGTTGTCACCGGAAACGAGCAATCCTACGGAGACAACGATGATGTAACACACGGAGTCGTCGCAAATCCTCAGCCCGGAGAGGCCAGGTTTTACAGGCGTAGAGCAGAACTGCTTTTACTGAAGCGTTGTAAACCCGACCATTCGCTGTCAAAGTAATGTTGCAATGGCTTCAAAGGCTTACTAGATTGGCGTATCCCACTCTGGCTTTCTATATGCGGCTGAAAATTTCACCACTTACACCTCCACCAGCACCCACACGACTACCCAGTTACATGAAATTTTACGACTACTTCCAACGGCTCACCACCAGGGGTGAGCTCAGGCATAGGCTCCTGCCAATCTCGCAAGATTACTTTGCGCTAACCGGTTAAGTGCGACTTGAGCAGCCTGTGTGTTATCATCATATAATAAGACGATATCGTCGCATATTCAAGGTCGGATAGCCGTTCTCAGGGTATTAGATCTACACTACCATGACGTACTTCCTTGAGAGCCATCTCAAGAATGTCATCGATGGCAACGTTAAGGAGGAGTGGAGAAATCGCGCAACCCTGCCTGACCTTACTGCTGGTTTGGAACAATGGAGACATGTGGTGGTATGTCCTCAGTCTACCTGAGGTGTTATTGTATATTGCTTTCAAGATGTTAGTAGATTTCTCAGACACGCCCCTCTTTAACAGACAATTCCAGAGTACAGAATCGTAGGCAGACTTAATGTCAAGAAACCCAACAATTGTTGGCCTGCAATACGTGTGGTAGTGTTCAAGCATCTGGGGAAGGGGAAGCACGTGGTCAATGCATCCACGACCTCAATGAAACCCGGCCTACTCTTCACTAATTATTTCCTCACGTGCTTAGCAAAGCCTGCGAAGTATGACAGCAGCCATTATTTAGTCTAACCTATTAGTCTTTCATAGTGAAGTGAAGTTGAGACGCACTTAACTATCTGTTCTCACTCTCTTCTTTCTCTGATCAGGTAATAATTAGAATTCCCAGGTGTTTATCTAGCCATAATAGCCTTTTTATCAAGCAGTCTACTGTCATTTTGTGAATGTGTAATATTTTGTGCGCTTTCATGAATTTTTTTTGGGAAAAATCTAGACGCATTTATTCTCTGTCAAAGTTGCCACCTCAATTGTTTGAACAATTGAATGGGAAAAAGCCTGAACATTGTAATAGTTCTACTAGGATCTCTTTTAATGGAGACAGTTGTGGAAGTGATGTTGACGATGTTAGTCATAAAACAGGTAATTTACCACCGTCACAGTTCAGCTTGAAACCTGAATGGACAGTATGGAGACGTGGTATGCGTTTATCACTTTGCCATGGTCAAATTGGTTTGGCGCGTTTACAGCAACTGACACGTGCAAACTGTGCATTGTTAAGGGTAGGTTTTATTTGTAAACATTACCATATTTATATTGTTGATCTTGTCACCAGTATCTGTGTAAAAGTATATTATTCTTCCTTTATACTTTTTTGTGTCTTTCGATCTTGTGTGATATTAACTTATTTGCCTATTCCTATTCCGTTTTCTCCCTTGCGAAGTAACTGTGTAATGTAATTGTTCGAAAAGTCCCGCTCAAATTCATTGTATTTTTTTAAAATAAGCTCCTTTTTCTCATTAAATTTTTGCTTTCTTTAATAATTCAATCAGCGATGTTATACAGTAGGATATAAGCTGAAGTGAAATACATCCAAGAGAAACCTAAAGTGAACGTTAACTCTTCACTGTCTTTAGCTAACCATGTATATCATAATGAGGGGTATTTCTTCTCTATCAGCTTATTACATACCTCAGACTTCACTTTTTCATACATACTACGATGTATTTTTTAATTTTTTTTCGAACTATGCATTGATTCTTTTTGTTTGACGTCGTTGGTAAATATAAAGGTGACAATTATGGATTATCACCTCGATTGAACTCTTGTCATTGAAAGGAAATCGTTGGACTTGACTATTACTTGTACCGTGTTCCGTTCTGTGGAAATACGTTCATACCAGGATTTTCGATAAAATAATCCTGTAGCTAAGGGTATTTAACTTCTGAGCACCAAGGTGCTAGACAACTTGACAAGGATATGTCGATGTGTAAAAGTATGTAAAAACTAAACACAGTTTGACTAGGCCATCCAGGGCCTTCATATTAGTCGATTAAAATGTAATTCATTCTTCGTCTGCTGAAAAAAGTTGATTGAAGAATATATCTGAATGATGAAAACCAAGTTCTAGCCTTTTTATTTGCTTTGAACAAAATTTTACATGAAATCAAAATCAAATTTCACTAAATTAGGTTTTTGTCGCGTTTGGTTTTGATAACATTGATCTAATAACTTTCTCACTTTTTTCCTGTTTCATTTTATTTTCAGAATCATTGTCTGAACCGATCAATTTCTAAGCCTAATAATCAAGTGTCAAACAATTTACCTCCATCAATTCCCTCTTCTTCTCTATGTAAAAATGCAGCATTGTTAACTTTATTTCATCAGAACCTTGAAGAATGGGATGAACCATGTGCAACGGAAGGTGAAGAGGTGCTTACACGGAATAAAAGAGTCATTGCTGTTAATAATCATACTAATTGTTACAGTAAAGTTTCTTCAATCACCTCTAATACGAACTATGGGGTTTATCGTAGTGGTGTTGTTGAGGCGATTAAACATTCTTACGAAGGACGCCATCTACGTTTAATGAATTGGGTAAAACAACCTCCAACTACGACAACAGCCATGATATCCACTTCTTTATCACCATCATCGTCGACAACATTCATAAAAACTCGATTCACTTCTGATAGATCTAATCAAGACTGTAGTTTGTCTTCAGTGAAAACTGCATTTGATTTTGCTTTACAAAGTAATGGTTACTACATTGATCAAGAACATGGTAATTAAAAAGGAGGGGAATGTATTTATATGTCTTGAAACGTTTAATATACTTTTTGCTTGAATTGTGGTTTGAAAAGTTTTCTTCATCATAGTTTATGATCATAGAAGTTGCATAAACCGATCAACATGGAATCTTTCTTAAACGTGTGGTGAAGATGCAAAATGTTATGTTGTGAAGTTTCTGTGATTCTATATCGTGAAACTTCTTGTGAAATACGGTGAATTCACTACGCCTCTTTACTATGTCTTTAAGCTCAGGTGGCTGAAACCAGTGTTATCAGCCTATGGGAGTAATTGTTATTTCTCACACCATTGAGGTAGAGTAGTGTTGATTGTATCGTCACTGAATGAAGAAGTAGGATGAAACTCTTGTTGTCATTACAGATCTTGCCATATATATATATATATATATATATATATATATATATATATATATATATGTATTAGTGACAAACCTGTACCTCTTATTGAGATACAACCAAAAAAATACAAAAGCGAAATAAAAGGCCATCAAACTACTACAGGAAATATCCTGTGTATTGATCTATGATCATGATGTGGATTCCTATGAAAAGAAGTGAATTTTAACACCAAAATGAAAATGGTCTGATCACCATTTTATTTATCTTAAGTATTTATCTCAAAGATAATTAAACCATTCAAATGGATGAGTACACTAAAAGTAAAAGATCAAATGAAAAGACGAAATTCAAGGGTAGAGTAGCAATGAAAAGCATCAAAACTACAGCGAGGGTGAATTGGCTTTGCTTTCAAGTCCTAATTTATTGAAGAAGGTTTACTTTGGTAGTAAACTGTGAACACGTAAAAGTAGTATAAACTTCGATAAGTTTAAGGTTTTGTAAAGCAGTTTAAATGATGCATAAACACTGAATTTATAACCTGACTGAACGGTATGTTTTACATTTAAGGAAGTCGTATGTTTGTTAGGAGTTTTGATAGGGGTCGTATAATTCAACCTGTTTGACAGCCACCTGAGTGTATTAGCTACCAAACGCTTAACTGGATTCATCCATAATCCCATCTTATATAGTTGTGATCACACGTACATTTAAAACGGTCCATGCAATAGAATGTGATAGTTTTCCAAATTGTCTGAAGACCTATACAAGCATATAGGTGGAACATTTTCAGTTATCCAAGCCGAAGTTGTGTAGTGACTCTAGAGACCACCTTAACAATTACTGAAATAACCAAACTGGGATTCTGTAGTTTATTAAAAACAACATTTCCAGCAAAAGTAATGGAAATTAATTGGTTACCTTAGTTGTGAGCACTGACACCATTATTGTAGAGGGGAAATGTTTAACCTAATACAATAGTATATTTCTTTTATGAGCTGTCATCTATCAAGTTTTATGTATTTTATGAATATCCCGACGACATAGTCAAAATATTAGCTGGTGAGTATCTACAAGCCGATTTTACTGGTAATCACCAGCAGCAGAGGTAAATGCAGTAAAGATTTGGCACCAATATTTATCGTAAAATCTGTTAAACAGACGTTAATTTTTTTTATTTCTGCTATCACCCTTCTCTCTGAGCGTTTTTCCTCAGAAACAATGTACGTTTCAATTTTTTGATAAGCTGATATATCTGTAAACATATGATCACCTATTGTGGATGCTTTTGAATACTGACCACTGTGTACTTTATAGATATCTCAGTTAGCTGCAGCTCCAAAGTGAAAACGACGTTCTTCTTTTTCAAATATTTTCTGTTGGGAAATTTCTCAAGATCTCTTCGCCTGCTAGTTTATTTTTTCATTCAGTGTTTGAAGTTATTGCGTTAATTCACTAACTAAGCAAATCTATTCTGAGTTAAATGAATTATTGTCCGTAATTGACCACTGGTCTCTCTCAAATGGTCTCAAGTTAAACCTTTCTGAATGTTAGACTGTTAATTTTAGCCCCAGGTGTAAAGTAGACTTGTGTGAGCTGCTAAGTCTCATGACGCCTGTTGCATTGATGGCATTTCTGCAAAAGGAAATCGAGTGTAACCTATTTTTGGTTGAGTTTTACTTCTGATCGTTGTTGGTCGTCTCATATCTTGTTGACTTGTCATAAAATCTTCCGCTTAACTTATTACATAAAGAAAATGAGGTTCTCAGGTATAACTCAACCTCTTCTTTTACAATTTATTAATTCCTGCATCTTACCTATTCTTTCTGTTTTCCTCTTTGATGCTTCCTGGTCTTCTAAAAAGGACTATGTTATGTTGCGTAGCGCCTTAAAAGCCATCAATTGGGTGAGTGGTTACTTCTGGCCCAAATGATCAACACTGTAGTTGATAAACGTTTGAATTCTTGCAGGCAACTAGCTACAGGAATTTTAACTGACACTGAGCATCCACTTCATTCACAGATCTCTTTTTGTATCTCCTCAAGCAGGACAAGAAGAAACTACATAAAACTGTACGCTCGTACAGCTAAGTAAAATTCGACTTTACTTACGTAGCACGCATATCTTGTGAGGAAAAAGGTGTTAAACAGAAATCACACATCAACTTTGTAAGAGTTCAAAATCTCATTTAAATTATATAATTAACTATGTAAAATGTTCTCGTTTTTAATGTTTCTTACATTAATTGAATTTTTATGATTACAAAATTCGAAATGTTGTAAAGGACTATGTATATGGATATATTTTGTTGTTGTTGTTGCAATATATCATTCTGAGAATTCCAATTTGTACCACAAACTGTTTGGAATAAAGTGGATTATTGTTATTATTATTAAAATGGACCGGGAAAGTGTCCTCCTTTCTTTATGTCTTAATGTTGATGGTTAACTGTAAAAACAGACTGAATTGTATAAACAACCATATGCATGTCCATACACCTGGTTAATGAGGCATACTTATTGTGTGAGGACCGATGATATCACCTGGCTACCCAAACCTCTTTTAGTGGCATGGGGTTCGGAGCCATGACTAACTGGTCAAAAGTTAGCCTAGACCATTGAGCACATTTATCATTCAATTTTTTTTAACTCATGATTTCATTTTGCCTAGCTGTTTTATGAATATCAGATGTAGAAAAAGCCTATGTAATAAACTTATCATCTTATCTTTTTCAGATGCACTCCAAAATTCATGTCTTTTAGAAATCTATTTACCAAATCTTAGTATTTACTGGAAATATAAATCAGCGGATAATTCTTCAACATTCGATTCTGAACAATCAGAACCACTCATTAATGATAACAATCATAGTCGTATTGTTGAACATTGTTTAAATCCTGATTATCGTGCAATCGCTGAACTGCTGACAAAAGTGTGTTCCTTGTTTTTTTAATTTTGTCTATTATATCATTTCGTGCATCGATTATTACTTTATTATTATTATTATTATTTGTCCCTTGGGTTTCTAGTGGAACATAGGGCTTCAGTGGCACGTCGTCTCCAGTGCACTCTGTTGTCTGCAATCTCTTCAACCTGGCTCCACGACAGCACAGAAGATCTCATTCCTTCCTCATACTATCTCCTCCATGTCACCCTCGAATCAACGCCAAACTCGTTTCCCACCTGGGTTCCACTCGAGTGCCTGGCCTGGCACATGGTGTCCCCACACGGTCTTCTCAGTGTATGTCCAATGCAATCCATCTCCACTTCCTTCTGCATATTTGTTGTGTGATAGCTTCTTAGTTGGTCCGACAACAGCCAGAGTTCCTTGCTGCTTATTCGTATTATTCTGGCCATCTGAGCTTCAGTAGCTAGCCAGCGTAGGCAGTTGTTGATGAATGTCTGTAGTTTGTTGGAAATGCTTTTCATAACGCGCCAAGTCTCTGAACCATTACATAGAAGCACTGACTTGAATTGGTATTTAAAATCCACACTGGTTTCAGGTTAATGAACGTCTGTCTTGCTTTTCCGATCCTGGCTTTCACATCCTCGTCTGTGCCACCTATAGTTGAAACGATGCTGCCTAGATAGATGAAAAGACTACTTCCTTTAAGTTTCTCCCGTTGACGGTGATTGTAGCTTGTTGTTGTTGATAGTGGTGGTGTTCGTGCATAGATGCGATAACTAAACATTTAGCATCTTCATCATACGGTTCTACTCTGCATCATGCATCATCGCTTTTGTCTATATATGAACCATAATGACTGGTCAGTTAGTTTTTCCACTTCATCTACATATCTTAGTTGTCCAGCCTTATTGTATTTGAAATCCATGTACAACGGATGTAATGTATTATTAAATTACTGCGTAGGATAGTAGTGGCTATGGATATACAATTTTTGAAGGTTAGCAGAAACATGAGACATCAATTTTTTGAGGTGTTTCATCCTACCCAGCAGTTATGTGCAATTAAATGCATCCATGATATTGGCCGAAGTGAATGTCTGAGTATTCTTAAACTGCATTTTAATGCCAGTAAATAAAGTAATAGGCGAAAACTGTGCATGGAAATCATATCTTTCAACCGTGACTTGATTGTTTTTCTCACTCTTTTCTCGAATTTTTTCGGACAGGAACAATTTGATCCGTATCTTAAGCGTCTTGACTGAAATCCAGTCTGTTTCAATCATTTGTTTTGAGGTCTTTTTTTAGTTTTCCATTTCCGAGCCACAAACTATTACTGTAGTGCTGGTCTATGTCAATATCTAATTTGTCAATAAAGCGGGAAGTGATTGAGTGTGTTGGTTATTTAGGTATTCATGTCAACTCTAGTCTTTTGGTATCTAACGAAATCCTTATACAAATGCAAACGGTTTATTATGTGATAGTTGGTACTGTTGCGTAATGATTTCTGGTTTTATGTTTTTGGCGTTACCTGTTGTTAATGCTTGTATTTCAATATATAATAACTTCAACTAACTCAATCTAACGATCCTACGGGTCCATTTAGTATAATTCATCATCTTTAGGCAAATCAAAGATAAAATTGATACAGAACATTTTGAAATTAACATTAGAGTGTTTTTTTTATATGGTTAATTGAAACCTGCATACGTAATATCTACGAAGCAAATCATTTAAACAAGTGGTGGATTGGTTTAAACTCAGGAATTAACAGTAGACTTTATAGTTATCGACGTTTCATCTTACTATTAATGAAAGAAAATATCTCTTGACCATCAAAAGATGTTTGAAACAGACATTTCCAGCTATTATAGCTAAACCGTTACTTGCTCATTCAAATGGTGGCAGTAAACTTGGTTAGATTTGACACTTAGCTATCGAGTAGTAATACCCATACTCAAGTCCTGTCCTACCTATTTTCTTTTATCTAACAACTGTTAGCATCGTAACCTCTTAAATTGTGTGATTTATAGCCCCTGGTACGTAAACTTATGCTACGTTGCTGAGGTTCACTCAAAAGAAGCCGATTTAATCGAAACTTCCACCTACTTGATTAGTTGAGTGCAGGAGTGAAGATGGTCACTTTTCGTTGGGTAAATCATTTATATCGTTATTTATTTAAAGAAAAAAAAATACTTCAAGTACATCTAATTTAGTGGTAGCAGATAGTTTCGGGTGTTTTAAAAATAGAAACGGTGTATTAGTTTGCCTTGATAATCTGGCGATAAACAGTCTATATAAGGATGATAGTTCACTACTTATCTCTAAACAAATATTAGGCATAAGAAAAATAATATGCAGCCCAAGTATTTGCCACCAAGCAGCTCGAGCTACCTAGGTTAACCAGGAACGGGAAGAATTTTTTTAAAACAGAAATGAAGCACTAATGTACTACTTCATATTAAGTTTGAGAGAAATCAGGGATACTAATTATCCTAAAGAATCATTGAGGTCACTGCAGTGCATGAAGCCTTTCAACTGTCCAACTGTGGTGTCAACAGAGTTTTCGGGGGAAACCACTCAGTTGAGATCTCTTACACATAAGTATCATGTGCTAACAAAAGTACTACTACTGAACAGCTTGAGTCGTTAAAATCACTCAGGTTGGTCTGTGGTTTTTTCACAGCCAGATCAGGTTGATCTAAACACCGGACGGCCGTTTCGCTTGTTTGGGGCCGAGTTCATCAGTGGTGTACCCGTACAAATTCGGCTTATAGGGCCGAATTAGTTCAGACCTCTCGAAACTGACTACTTGACTTTCATGGATTGGTATACCTAAAATAGAATGATCATTTTATAAATGATCTACACATTTCACGATCGGGGCACACTTCTGATGAGCTTGACGCCAAACAAGCGAAACGGCTGTCCAGTGTTTAGTACACTCTGATGTGGTTGGCGAAATTCTGCGGATCAGCCTGCATAGTTTCTATTTGCTCAAGTTGTTCAGTAGTAGTATCTTTCACTAGTAAATAGGCTTCATGAGAAGACTGTAAATAGATGGTTAGGAGCTCTAAGAGATGTGACTCAAGTTAGCTGGCATACTGACGACGCCTCCTTGCCTCCTATCATGTATTTCAGATATCTCCGTTCGTTTCATTCCTTTCATTTCTTGTCTGTTGACTTTTATTACTGTTGATGTAACCATTTTTATTCAACATTGTCTTTAATCTTGTTGACTTCTATCTATTATAAATGGTCGTTTGGAGTGTAGGGATTGAATCGATATGCAAATATGCCAAATCCCTATAGTACCTGTGTTTTCCCGTGTAAAATGCACTATTTTTCTTATTTTCTACAATATTATTTGTCGTTGGTAGTAAATCTGAACTGGAATAATTCCTATTGGTTTCTTTCTCTTGAATTTTGCATTTTTGTTTTTCTTCTCTCTCCTTTTTAGTTAGTGAATCATGTAGATACACTATTAGAGGATTGGTATCCTGATCTTGGTGCCAGTTGAATCAGTCTAATGAAGGTGTGTATTTGGTAGAACGTATCATTCCATGCTGTGCCTGTCTTGCTGCCTCAAATCATCGTGTTAATGTCACTGGTTCCGCTAATCAGAATACTGAATGTGAGCTGAATGGAATAGGGAATAATCACACCGAAGACAAGCATCGGTATGTGATGCCTATTGAGAAGTTATCTGCTGAGACTTATTCTGATAAAATTGTAACATCTGATTGTAACTTTATAATTTAGATTTCGTTATATAGCTGTATATTCTTCTCCACAAGCTAATGGAACTTAAACACCCCAGATCTACGTTTATACGACACTCCATAGGTTTTTTCCAAGTACATAGCAGTTTAATTTACCACTTGATACCTGAAAAAATAGATTATTTAGACATTGAAAGAAAGTCATAAGTTTTGAGTTGGCTTTGTGCAGAGGATTCAAAAATAGGAATGAAAACGCATGGGGTTTGGTGAAGACCGATAATTTCTTCTCATTCCATCTTCTTTTTTTTTACCATCACGTGATTATTAGTGTTATGAGAAATGGACTTCATTATATTGTAATGATTGTTGAACTTTTTGGCCTTCTGTTATATTTATTCATTCTCACGTTGTCTTAGACCGTCTAAACACTTATTCAGTCTGTTACTATTTATTGACATACTGGTCATTCTTCGTTGTTTTGTTGGATCGAATTGTTCGACCTCTATTGGCATATAGGTGCAAGTACATTCAGCTGATGAGTCCCAAATAGAACGAAACGCGCGTCCTGAATTCTTCTGCTAGCCACAATCAACCTTATTCAGACTGTTCTAATAAAATTTACTGAGAGTTTAACAATATGACAGGTAGGGTTTCTTCAGTCCCCTTTTACTTTTTCTCAGTATCCACTGCAGTATTTCGAGTCGTAATGGATTTCTTCTAGGAATAAGTTAACTATTCAATGAATGAAAGCTGTTTCACTTTCAATCGAACACACAAGTAATATACTGTGGTAAATATATCAGTGAAAAGCTTGTACACTGTGGAATGGATTAATATATTATAGGTAAATTTTTAATGCAAATTTTTTTTTGCTTCGGTAATATTCCAAGCAAAATTACTTCCTTTGATCATACGAACAGTTGGGATATTTTAGCAATATTTATTCACACATTTACCAGTAGGCGTCGTATATATAGTCTCTACTCATTATTCATTAGTCTGTTTGTTCAATAGAATGTTCCATATGATTTAGGGTTGTGTTGATTCGCCTTTACTGTATGTATTAGGGGTGACATGTATAAATATGGATTCTGTTATTAACCTTTCTTTATATTTGTTTGTTTTGAACTTTAGTATGGTAGTGTTGTTCCAATTGACGCTATGTTTTTCATCCTATGTATGAGTTGCCATTGATGAACGTTTTTCCAAATTCTTGTACGTTTTTCGTTCTGTAGACTGACATATTTGTTTATTCTTTGCTTTTCATTCAGTCTGGTTTTCAACGATCTTGACGTTTGTCCTACTTAGCGTATTGAGTAGTTTGCACCCGATATTTTATACACCATATTGTTCTTGTCCAGTATTTTAACCGGATATTTTAGTTGCTTCAATTTAGTTTTTTAATCATATTCATTGGTTTTAATACTGTGAAAACACCAGCCTTTCTAAGGTTTCTTCTAATTGCATCTAATGTACCTTTTTGCATGGTGATATTACTGTCTTCCTGTAGTTATCTTTCCTAATAACTTCTGTTGTTGAGTTTTGTTTCTTATTCTTGATGTTATCGTTTATGAATTCCTCTGTGCATAGATTCTGTTATACTATCTTGAATAAGATGTTCATTGCTTTTCATTGGTCATCAGGGCATGTTGTTAGTCTACGTATTCTATTTGTCAGATACTTTATTAACGCTCTGCTACTGAAGCTCTATGTTCCACTACGAACCCAGAGGACAAATAATAATAACCTTCGTTTTACTGTGGTTGGTTGGGCTTAGTGATAATTGAGAAACCTTTCGGAATGTATTGATTTTTTATACGATGTTGTTTTTAAGGTACTTCCTACCATTCTTTTGATTTTACAGTCCAACATTGGCGGTTCCCCAATTCATTCTGGATTTTCATAGTGAATTTTATATAGGTGTAAAACTTTGGCACTGTGGTAGAATTTAATTCCGTATTAGATTTTTTTTATGTGATTTATAACACACAGTGATCTAGTATTATTTACTTGGTGATGTTTCAAGCATAGATTATTACTGTTCATGATCATATTAATGTGTATTATTATGAGCAGTAATAGTATATGCTGGAAACGTCATCAAGTAAATAATACTGTATCACTGTATTTTATAAATCAAATAAACAAATCTAATATGGGAATAGTGAATTTTATTGACTCTACCTGATCGTTTAAATGTGAATGGAATCCTTTAACATCCTTCTTATTTATAATAACTCGAGTCTCATCAACTTATCATCACTGAATTTTAGAGCGTTGCTTTCCCGAAAATTTATAAATAAATAAGCTATTCTTGATGAGATAGACGATCCCGTTGCTACGACTTCTTTTTGTTGGTACAATTTCCTATCAAATATGAAGAACGTCATTGTTAAGCAGAGTTATACTCAATTTGTATTCTATCGAGAGCTGTGTTCCTTCTCTTAAATCTTCGTCATTTTCTAGTCTTTTTTTAAGGCATGCTAAAGTTCAAAAAAAAAATGTTAAGAAAGGTTAATAACAGAATCCATATTTATACATGTCACCCCTAACACATACAGTAAAGGCGAATCAACACAACCCTAAATCATATGGAACATTCTATTGAACAAACAGACTAATGAATAATGATAGAGACTATATATACGACGCCTACTGGTAAATGTATGAATAAATACTACTAAAATATTCCAACTGTTTGTAGTAGTAGTAGGTGACAGTAGTAATAGTAGTAGGTAGTAATTTTGCTTGGAATATTGCCGAGGGATAAACTTATTTTTGTAAACTTTGTATTAACATGTACTTATACAGTAGTATAGTATGGTAATATATTATTTGACTCATCGATATCGGATGAAACACTGGTATGTGTACATCTATTTTGAAACGCGAATTTAATATTACCTGAATGAAGTTTTTTTTCTAAAACATAAGCTAGACTACCTTAGGTAGTATCTCATGGACCGCTTCATAGTACTCTAGTCTTTGAGGTACAAATCACGGCATTGAATGCTCTGAGTAATTTGTACTTATTATCTATGTTATACATGTGATTACATTGATTCTGATAATATTAATATTAATATTAACATTGAATTACCTACGAGTCACCTTAAAAAGCTGATATTAAGATATACATTTAATGTATACACTTCAGATTTAATGATGTAATTTGTAATCAGACTGACAGAGCCGCAATGGGGTCTCCACTCTGCACTGTCTTGGCTGATATCCTAGTGACAAGCTTGAAAACGAACTGCTTACAGAAATAATCTGAGGACTTTATTTGTATAAAAGGCACATTAATGATACTTGTTTGTAAAGAAACATGTTCAATGGATGAGCTGCTAAGATGTTTTAATGATTATTACTCGTCCATTCAATTCACTATAGAAGAAGAGTTAAATTCAACGTTCCACTTTCTAGCTGTAATGTTAAACAGAAAGGATGATAGCTGGATTCAAAGGTCATTCTATCGCAACTTGGATCGGCCAGTTCACTAACTTTAATAGTTGAGTAACTCTTGGTTGTAAGACAAATCTTATTCACTCGCTGTGTTCCAGAATCTATAAAATATGTTCAGAAGACATGGTGGTTGTTGAAACCGAAATTCTTAGAACAACACTATCAAATGACGGATACCCTAAAAGATTTATTGATGAAAATCTGAAGAAGCAAACCACTCCTCATCCTATTACGGTTCCTATGAAAATCTTATCCATGAATCTGAAATTCAAAGGAGACACCACAGCCGAAGTGCTGAAAAACCGTCTGTCAAGGTCTATCAATAGTAGCTTTTGTACTGCTAGACTGAGATTGATTTTCTCCAGTTGCCATCTGAGAAACTTGATAAACTACTCAGCTGTGGGAAACGTCCACGTAGGCCGTTCAAATTTTAAGTCATTTGTAAATTCTTTGTCCTATTTAAAGTGTAACATCCAAGTTAGCTAGCCAGATTCAGTTGATCTGAACAACTCAACTCTGTAAGCTGAATTTTTTTAGGTGCACCGTTGAAAAGCAGAGACGGCTCCAAACTTACGAAATGAATATCAGGTATTTAAATCACTCTAATCTGTCTGACGAAACTCACAAATGAGTCTGAGTGATTTTCAGCTACTCAAATTGTCCAGCAATATATTTTGGGCATGACATTTTAAATTGGATAATTCCTACTATGAAAATAGATTGCTGATAGTGTTGATTTCTACTTTGACGACTTTCTATAAAGCTTTAGTGTCGCTTAACCTGAAAATTGCTTTGAGAAAGTTTGCTGAACAATAAAGTGTGCATTTTCATGCACATATCTTTAGCATGGGCGTATTTAGTTACAGTATACTGCATTCTTCATCTGCTCAAATTGAAGATGGATACTGTCTTGTGACATAATGACCAAAAGGATAGTGTCCTACTTACAGTTAAGTCATTGAGCATACTCATTTCTATCTTAGTAACCTAATCGTTTACAACCGCAATCAATTTAGCCTTTTCGAGTGTTCGCATATATTTTTGCTGTGTTCTGTGTGTAATAACTTGTCAGTCTATCATTACTATTATTCAACATTCTTAGGTTCCGTCTAGATACATGTTATATGTGATGAAGAATTGCATAGTTTATTTAAACATGAAGTCATTCACCGTAAACTCTAAAATTCTGTGGTCAGTCGAATTCTAAGTCGAATGACAATAAAATCGCATAACCATCGAGTAACCGTGCTATTACTACTTATCAGTTATTACAAAGAACTGCAACTATTATTATTATTATTATTATTTATCCCTTGGGTTCCTAATGGAACAC